GCCACAGACCGAAACCACTGATTAGGAAAATCAGTACCATCTTTCCTCTAGCCCCACCATTCTGGCTGGCGGGATGATTCTTATTGTCTTTCGTGCGAGTCATCAATCAATACGGTAAAACAGTTGTCAGGAAACGGGCAGACTGTACACTTTCTGCCATAATGGTCGTAACCGTCTTATACTCCCCTCTAGGCCCTATAGACTAAAAATACATTAAAGAATCAAAATGGCCACGGTTAATATGCTCCGAATCCGGCGTCTCACTGGACCGAGCGCTTAGATCGGGTCGATGCCCCCGGAGTTACTACGACTGCTACTCACGGGAAAATAGAATCCGTCTGGTATGAGAGATGACAAATGTGCCGATCTCCCTCACTCCACGATTTGGGTCACCGGGGAGCTTATCAGATACCGTACTTTACTTGGATTTCTTACCAGGTACAATTAAAAATTACGCTGAAGAAATCATTGTAGAGAATTCCATCAAGTACTTCATTCAAAAGTAAAGAGAAAAAAAAAGTCTGTGTTATAATCCGAGTGAGAATGGAATTGATCAAAACCCCGTGATTAATAAACTCTGTGGAGCTGTGATACCTTTCAGGGTTCTCTGCAACGTTCCATGCATCTGTCTGATAGGTAGTCTTCTGCTGTACCAACCATAGAGTCGCAGCCACGAAAGCGAAGAGAAGAAAAAAACCCCACTTCTGAGTGCATCGCTGACCGCATCATGTCTGTGATAGCCACTTTTTTTCCATCTTATGTTCCATAGGCTTTTCCATGATCAGGGCCACGGACTCCACTATGAATTCAGCCTGTTTAGAGCCGAATCTAACGGTGGTAAATCAGTAATGAAAATCAGTAATGTAATCAAGTCACCGTATGTATGAGCAAGCTTATCAGATGACCTTGTTTTCTTTTCGTTCTGTCAAGATCCTTGGCTTTTAGAAAGCTCACTAGGATTAGATCCAGGATGAAGGTTAGTCTGGTCGTACATATAGTAGCTTTAAGCCCCCAGTAAGCACGCCGTGGTGCGGAGGTCTTGAGGGGCAACTGGGGAAACCAGACAAAGAGGGAAAAAAAGAGTACAGAGTACTTGAGATCTAGATGCAGAATGCGGGTTGTGTCAGCTTTTATGTACTGCATAGAAGAAGAGGGAAAGAGGTTGGCGAGACGGAGACGGAGTTAAGGTAATCTGCAAGGCTAGCAAGACCTCTCGCTACGAGGCAATCCCATGAGCCTAAGACTGCTTATATAGGAAAAAAAGGGCTAAAATAGCATCTTAGCCCCGAACGTCCTAGAACCAAAGCAGTAATATGAATACGTGAAGTCATTGAAACATAAAATACCCAAACACTCAAAACCGCCCCACCGAAAGCTCGTGGTAGACGCATTGAAAAGTACCTGCTCCGCCGGAACCTGTTGGATCTGTTCCCTCCCAACAACTTTCCATTTTTAATTTTCCTCCTTTTCCATATCTCCTACCTCTGTTCATTATTCTCTTCAATTTTTTTTTTTTCTTTTTGATTATACCCAGTTGTGTTGTGTGGAAAGATGGCCAGTTTGATCAACCAAACCGATGAGCGCCAGAGTGCTGGGTAAGTGGCCGGGCTCTCCCTCTCTGACATCACCTTTTCCCCCCTCTCCCCCCGGCAGCGGAAGCGTGCCGGCTACACCTCAACTTCACCCCTACCAAAGAATTGTTGCTCTCTGAACGGGCGCACGCTTTGATCTTTCATCATCTTTTTTTTTTTCTTGCCTTTCTTTTTCTTCGCTCTGGCCACTTTATAAATCAATCGTATCGCCGATCAACCTCATCTTACCTTATCCCCCGCTTGAACCCCTCCATCGGCTGTTATCCACTGCAAATTTTGCGCTCATCAATCTGAGCCGTTTTCGACTGACAATGGCCTCCCAACGTAGCACCATCGAATTGAAAGATGACACCATTATTGTGGTGCTCGGTGCCTCAGGCGATCTCGCCAAAAAGAAGACGGTTTGTGCCTTCTTTGGATTCCTCAGCTGGGTGACTCAGGACTAATTCGTTTGCCAGTTCCCCGCACTGTTCGGCCTCGTATGTGCCCTCGATCATCAACGAAACCCGCAAGCTTGGAGCTCAACTAATCCATGTCTCGTTTACTTAGTTCCGCAACAAGTTCCTTCCCAAGGATATTAAGATCGTCGGATATGCGCGGACGAAGATGGACCACGAAGAATACCTGAAGCGCGTGCGCTCGTACATCAAGATTCCCACAAAGGAGATCGAGGAGCAATTAGATCAGTTCTGCAAGCTGTGCACCTACGTTTCCGGCCAGTACGACCAGGATGACTCGTTCATCGAGCTTAACAAGCACCTCGAGGAGGTTGAGAAGGGCCGACAAGGAAAGGAGCAGAACCGTGTTTTCTACATGGCCCTCCCCCCGAGTGTCTTCATTACCGTTTCGGACCAATTGAAGCGCAACTGCTACCCCAAGACCGGCTTGGCCCGCATCATAGTAAGTCCTCCAAAACGTGATTTTACCGAGGCACATCTTGGGGACCCCTTTCTTGGCAAAATGTGCTAACCCCACCTTCTACTATAGGTCGAGAAGCCCTTCGGTAAGGATCTGCAGAGCTCTCGCGACCTCCAGAAGGCTCTGGAGCCCAACTGGAAGGAAGAAGAGATCTTCCGTATCGACCATTACCTGGGTAAGGAGATGGTCAAGAACATTCTCATTCTGAGATTTGGGAACGAGTTCTTCAATGCTACATGGAACCGCCACCACATCGACAATGTCCAGGTATGTTACCGCGATGGAAGAAGCTTCAACTAAATGAAACTTAATTCTAATCCTTGCGCAGATCACATTTAAGGAGCCTTTCGGTACCGAGGGCCGTGGAGGTTACTTCGATGAATTCGGCATCATCCGTGATGTTATGCAGAACCGTATGTTTCCATGAATTCAGATACGAATACCCAAGATACTGATCAATCCTAGACCTTCTGCAGGTTCTCACCCTGCTTGCCATGGAGCGCCCCATCTCCTTCTCTTCGGAGGATATTCGTGATGAGAAGGTCCGTGTCCTGCGCGCAATGGATGCCATTGAGCCCAAGAATGTCATCATTGGACAATACGGCCGATCTCTCGACGGCAGCAAGCCCGGTTACTTGGAGGACGACACTGTGCCTAAGGAGTCGCGTTGCCCAACCTTCTGTGCTTTGGTTGCCTATATTAAGAACGAGCGTTGGGATGGTGTTCCCTTCATCCTGAAGGCCGGTAAAGGTAATTTATTCATCTGAAGGTATCCCGCCTTATTAACAAAAAAATACTAACCTCACCCCAGCCCTTAACGAGCAGAAGACCGAGGTTCGCATTCAGTTCAAGGACGTCACTTCCGGTATCTTCAAGGATATTCCTCGCAACGAACTTGTCATTCGCGTTCAGCCCAACGAGTCCGTCTACATTAAGATGAACTCCAAGCTCCCCGGCCTGTCCATGCAGACAGTAGTGACCGAGCTGGACTTGACCTACCGCCGTCGTTTCTCCGACCTCAAGATCCCCGAGGCCTACGAGTCACTGATCCTCGACGCCTTCAAGGGTGACCACTCCAACTTTGTTCGTGATGATGAACTGGATGCCAGCTGGCGCATGTTCACCCCTCTCCTGCACTACTTGGATGACAACAAGGAGATTATTCCCATGGAATACCCATACGGTACGTTAAAAATTTCCCACTCTGCATCAGCAATTGACACAAGATTTACTAACTTGATACCTCTTTACAGGCTCTCGTGGACCTGCCGTCCTTGACGACTTCACCGCCTCGTATGGCTATAAGTTCAGCGATGCCGCTGGTTACCAGTGGCCGGTGACTAACACCACCCCCAACCGTCTGTAGATGGTGGTTAATGTAGCTGTTTACGACGATACGGGTGGGACATGAAGACGAACAAAATCCATTTTATTTGATTTACCCTCACTTCTGTTAGCTGGCCGGCCGGGCTGGCGGGAGTCGCTTCGCTGTGATCTTGGGATTCCGAGCTCCACGATGCTAGAAATGGAGGCCGAGCAATGAAACAAAGTTATGCAAACATCTCGAGACTTTTTATTTTTATATTTATGTATTTCCGGGTTTCACTTATGTCCATGGTGTTTGCATGTAATCTCGGGATAAAGACACCACTTGAATTTCCTTCTCTGATATGCCTTCCTCGTAATGCCGATACTTCCGAGCACTTGAGCACTTAGCTGTAGTTATTGAATTTTTTTCTCTCCAATTTCAATCCCAGTCGAATTTTGGCTATAACTTATCCACTTAACCCCCAAGCCCCGGCCAGTCCACGTACACCCACTATGCAATCCCGTTCTATAAATGGCACCATTACTCAGCGGATGCACCAATCATGTTTCTCTGTCAGTCCCATCCAACATTTGAACAGCTACATACTTCAAAATATGCCAAACCAGGTGTGAACAAGTCAAGTCTTGGTATAGAAAAAAAAAAAAAAAACACAAGGTTCATTGGCAAGAAATGCTCAAAGCACCCTCATCTGGCATGAGACCTAGATCGGCAATTGATGGTCTCAAGCCCCTTGGCGGGTCTGGCGCAACGATAAGGCGGCCGGGGGCCCGCATAATGGCGCTCAGGCCAGGTCCTTTTTTCTCCTGCCATCCGCTTCGCTTGCGCCCCGGAAATTACGAGCCATTGTCCACCGTTCCTGGATTCTTCTCTCACCCCCTGCACACCCCCAATTGAGAGCCTTAACCACCTCCGCCGTGATCCCCTGCACTCCCATAACGATATCGGAACAAAAGACCTCCACACGACCTACACGAATCCTGTTTAGCATCTCCCCCTCGACCGCCCCAAACCTAGCCTCGTGCTTGCAGTCCGACCATCCCAACTGCACCAAACTCCAAAAAACACCACAATAAATTACATAGCTGCACAACCGACCCCAGGCACTAAGAATCCGAGTCCAAACCCCACGCCTCCGTCCACGTTAACGCTCCACCTACCGCCTACCCGCACCGGAACCTGCCAACGCGCCAACCAGCCCCATTCGCAACCCCCAGTTCTTTTCGCCCAATACCACTGAGCGGGTCAGGCTGTATCGTTTCAAGCTGCGCACTCGACTGCCGCGATACCGTGTTGTACGCTCCGCACACTCGGCGATCATCGGATTTGGGTCTTTGTGCCCCCGCGCGCAGGAACTGAGCACATGCCAGTGTACGCATAGGAAACATGCCGCAGGCTGCACGATGGGCGGGGACTCCCTCCATCAAGGGGAAGTCGGAGTCGACGCGCATGATGTTGTTGACGTTTAGCTTGGTGGGATTGCAGTGCGTAAACTCCCCTCATACATTTTTCGTTGGTTCTGGAGATTTGCGGATATGAAGATGGGCTCTGAGGGATTGTGGCATGATGATCCGTGGCTGACTGGATCCATATTCTGATAGATTTACTTGGGGAACTGAAATGACCTGTAAGTTTAGACGAGACTTGGATTGGTCATATGGATATTTGTTTCATGCTCGGAGGTTGGACTAATGCATTTGTCTTGTGACTTCAGATTGCACGCCCTACCTTCTTCAACTCGGGTTGACAAAGTCGAAAACTTCTTTGGTGTGGATCGCTGGTCCGCTGTCTGGATTGATCATTCAACCTCTTATTGGTGTGATTGCGGATCGGTCACGGTCTAAATGGGGTCGACGAAGACCGTTTATGGTTTTCGGATCTTTCGTTGTGGCGTTTTGTCTGATCGTGCTAGGATGGACAGCGGAGATTGTGGGGTTATTTGTTACGGATCCCGAAAAGGTACCTAACCTACGCCATAGGATCCTTGATCTGTGGGGCTTGAAGCTAATTTTGTTTTTTTGTTACAGGCTAAAAATATCACTATTGCGTTAGCCGTTTCAAGTATCTATGCTGTGGACTTCTCTATCAACGTTGGTAAGTGGGCCGGGATATGATTTTTCTGACTATCGCTCACCAATTATTAGTACAAGCGTGTTGTCGCAGTCTTATTGTGGATACATTACCGATTCCATTGCAGCAAGCTGGCTCGGCCTGGGGTATGTTTCGATCTTTTTTTGTTAAATGACACTGGGATTTTAACATTACATAGCGGGCCGGATGTGCGCAATAGGCCAGCTCATTAGTTATGTGATCGGTTCCATTGACACGGTCAGCATTTTTGGAAGTTTCTTTGGAGACACACAATTCAAGCAGATGACTGTTATTGCTGCAATTTCATTGATCGCTGCCGTGGCGGTGACTTCGTACTCTGTGAAGGAGCGCGTTCTAATCTCAGCAAGGTAAGACATCTCTGCCAGTATTGAATTATTTTTCAAAACTAAAAATATGCATGGCAGGGATTCGGAAGGGTCAGTCGGTGCCATCCAAGTAATTTCACAGCTGTACCAGACCACAATGGAACTGCCGCCGCGCATCCAGGCAATCTGTTGGGCTCAGTTTTGGGCATGGATCGGTACGTTCACCAACATAAACCCGACAAGTCTTTTTGCTAACGAAACCAGGCTGGTTCCCTTTCCTTTTCTATAGCACCACCTGGGTAGGCGAGACCTACTTCCGATACGAAGTACCAAAAGATGAAATCACCAAGTCAACCGACATGCTCGGCGAAGTTGGTCGTGTGGGCAGTCTCTCACTCGTCGTCTTCTCATCCATCACCTTCTTCAGCTCTGTCCTACTCCCATTCTGTGTACAGTCACCAGATAACAAACGCTCCCGCTTTACCCCCCGACCCCCACCAGGCATGGCCGCTGTCCTTAAAGCCTTTACCGCGATCCGACCAGACCTGCAAACCGCCTGGTTCATCTCCCAGCTCATGTTCGCCGCAACCATGATCTTTGCCCCCCTGGCCCACTCCCGCGCCTTTGCCACCATCCTGGTCGCAATCTGCGGTATCCCTTGGGCAATCAGCGCCTGGGCCCCCTTCGCTTTTATGGGTGTAGAAATCAACAAACTCACCATGAACGGCGCCTCAGCACCGGGTATCGCGGCCTCATCCACCCGCGCCGGCGTGACAATGATCACATCCGCCAGTCTTCGTGCCTCAGCAGCAGACACAGAGCTGGAAGTCCTCCGCCTTAATCACCGAGACACAGACAGTGACACGGACGAGGAGGACCCTTCGTCTCTTCACTCGAATATTCCGTCCACGGGCGAGCTAACGGGTATCTATCTCGGTGTACTGAACGTGTACACTACCCTCCCACAATTTGTTGGAACCTTCATCAGCTGGATTGTCTTTACGGTCCTTGAGCCTGGCGCAACGGAGCCTCCGAAGGATGGTGATGCGTCGGATACGCATTGGATGAATCTTGATCAGGACAAGCCCAACGCCATTGCCATTTGTCTTTTTATTGGGGCGCTGAGCGCCCTTGTCGCTGCAGAGGCGACGAGACGTTTACGATACGTGTTGTAAGAGGTGCATTACTGTATTAATAGATGTGTGGACATGATATGATTTGGATTAGATCCAACTTTGAACAGAACAGACCAAAAACAGCTTCACAGCTGTGGAACTGGGCCCATTATGGGTCTTTTTTTTTTATAATGAACAGATATTATTATTGATTGCTTTACTCCCCCTAACACACATGTGCATGTGCAAACTGCCCTGGTGGTGTTTCAATTGAATGCTTGATATAACTCCGGGGCTATACATGTATAGATCGGTCAATTTTAACCTCGTGGTCTTTAGACATGGATGGACATTGATCCGCGTAGCCCCACCTGGTCCTTTTAGTCTCCGAGTTCTCAAGTGCTTCATGAATCATGTTTCTCTCCCGCGCTTTCTCCCCTTGTTCTCTAGCAATCGACCTTGTACACATGTATTCTGTGTATATTGCTCTTCTCCTGACGTACCCTTTCATCTCAACTGCATTCCCGAGAGCTCAAAGTATCTGAAATTCAAACCGAACAGATTTATAATCCAAAGATCGGCCCGAAAGTGGGTCCCTGACGAGATAATGATGATATAGAAGTTCTGCAGCCCGAGCTTAATTTTCCGCCCTTTTTTCCCCCCTCAACAGCTCAAGTGCTTCCATCTTCCCCCCAGAAAACCCCTCCATTTGTCCTCACAAATACCTAACCACAATCAATTGATCAACCCAAAATGACTCCCAAAATTCTCGTTGTCCTCACCTCTCACGATGAGATCCCCGGCGTCGGACCTACAGGCTGGTACCTGGTACGTACCCCGCCATAGCACAGCTATGTAGCTATACAAGTTAGCTTAAGCATCCGGCCCAGAACCAAATATGCAACAACATTGAACCTTGGAAACATAGACTTATGTCAATTCTCTCATTAGCCTGAGTTCGCTCACCCCCACGATGTCCTGCACAGCAAGGCTTCCTTGACCATCGCCTCGCCAAAGGGCGGTAAGGCCCCACTGGACCCTGGCTCGGCGAAGATGTTCGAGTCCGACCCCGTCTCGAAGAAGTTCTTGGATACTCAGGAGGCCCTGTGGACCAACACCCACAAGCTTGCCGATATTGCGCCCCGCGCTGGAGAGTTTGATGCCATCTTCTATGTTGGTGGACATGGACGTAAGTTTACATACCCCTTCGCTAGAACATGTGTATATCATAATATATCATATACCTATGCATTTCGAATCCCATGCTACATATGAAACATTGAAAGACGCAAAATAAAGACCAGAAACTGATATATCATCCATCCCGTTTAAAGCCATGTTCGATCTCACCACCGACCCCATCTCCATCTCCCTTATTGAGACCTTTGCCGCGGCCAAGAAGCCCGTTGCGGCCGTCTGCCACGGACCCTGTGTGTTCCTGAACACCAAGAACGCATCTGGTGAGCCTCTTATCGCTGGTGCGGAGGTTACTGGATTCTCCAACTTGGAGGAGGATCAGGTTCAGCTTTCTGCTGCCATGCCCTTCATGCTGGAGACCGAGCTGCAGCGCATTAGTGGTGGTAAGTTCGTTAAGGCCGACGAGCCCTGGGCGCCTAAGGTCATTACTGCCAAGACGAACGGAATTGGTGGTGCTTTGATTACTGGACAGAACCCCGCGTCGGCTACTGGCGTCGGTGAGGCTATCCTCAAGGCATTGGGACTTTAAATAATAGATATACACATAGATATTTGGATTCGGGGGTTGAGAGCACAGAAGAGGATGTATCGAGCCAATTGAATATCTGGTCAAATTGACAATAAATATGAACCAAATTTTAAGACTAAATAGAATAGATTAATATTGTACTTGAAACAAAACAAAGCGATTCGTATTTAAGAGCGATCTGAATCAGCTTGGGGAATTCAGTAGCGAAAGGGGAATAGAGCAAATAACAAAACAGAAATTGATCGAGCAGAGCATATCAGATCAGATCGGATAGATCCGATTTGGGGAATCAGATGGTGACGAAAAGTGTAGCCAAAGAAGATAGGAAAAAGAAACCGGATATCTGCCCAGCCGGGTCGGGGGATGTGAAAAGAAAAGGGGACGAGGGGAAATAAAACAAGTTAATCACAGCCAACAGGGTACCGTCAATCGTATCGTGTCACAGAGTTCGACATCGGTCTTGTTTGTCCTTTCCCTAAGGCTCAATTGATTCCTTGCGAGAAGAGACGTGCCTTTCATGACCAAGCAGAGACATGGTCAGAAAGAGGGAAATCAAGACCCAAGACGTGTGGTCGAAGAGGGGGGTGAATGACGAGCCAAGGGAAGATCGAAGATTAAGTCTGGTCCCAGATATAATGTTGGAAGATGGGAGTCGATGGTCGACACAATGAAAATAAACAAACTTTGTCTATCACAGCAGAGGGTCTAATTTAACGGGCGGACTCCATATCGCCGGTGAGCTCGGCGACGCGGGCCTTGATGCGAGCAACACGGGATTCAATGGCTACAAAACAACGTTCAAATGTTAGTAAAGTCCGACTATGTATGATAAGGGTAAAACTTACTCTCTTCACCACTGGTGTCTCCCTCGTCGGTACGCTCGGACTGGCTGGTGCGAGTCTCAGGCTCCTCAGCTACAAGAGCAGTTCTCTGAGCGGCGTTCTCGCGAATCTGCTTCCATCGGTCTTCAGAGAGGCTCTGAGGGCTGACAGCCTCCAGCTTTGCCCCGTTACCGTTGGTAGGGGTCTGAGGACGCCCATGCTCAGTTACCGTGTTAGGAGTGACAGGGAGATCATCCTCGGGGATGAAAGCCGGCTGGTCAACCAAAGGACCCTGGTCGAACTTGGAGAATTCCTGATCAGCGGCATCGCGCTCGTTGGTGCCAACACGAGACAAAGCATCATATTCAACAGCACGTCTGGTCTGAGGCGGGCTTCCGGTACCGACAATTTGAACATGACGTTGTGAGTTGGGCTCTTCAGACTGGCGGGGAGTGGAGGGCTTAACGGGCTCCGAGGCCTGAGTCTGGGCAGGGGCCGGGGCAGAGGCGTCTGTCGTAGCCGGCTGCTGAGCGGGAACCGGCTTCTTCTTAAGCACGGCCTTGGGGGCAGTTTCCTTGGCAGGCGCTTCCTGAGCAGCCTTGGCCTTGGCCTCGAGAGCGGCACGAGCAGCCGCTACCGCCGAGCTGGTATCACTGACACCGGTCTTCACAGGAGGCTGGTCGGTCTTTTTCTTGCTCACAAACATACTCTTGAAGGCACCGGTGTTACCGGCCTTCTTCTTGAGCTTTTTGCTGCTTTCGTCGGAAGCAGCCTGCTGAGTTTCACCCTCAATGGGCTGTTCAACGACAACGGCCTGAGTATCCTTGGAGTTCTCCTTGTTCGCAGACGCGGGTACGACCTTACTCAGAGTACTCTTGGCTGGCTCGGGCGAGGGTGGCAATGGGGTAGCTACGGCAGCTTTATCCTTGGGAGGTGGTGGGGGCCCAGACTTAGATGTACTGGGCGGGAGAGGAACTGAAGGCGCCGCAGGCTGCTCTTCCTCAGGCTCGGGTATTTCCTCAACGTCCCCAGATACGTTTCCTGTTCCCGCGCGACTGTTGTTAAGATAGGCAGCACGGAATGTGTTCTTATCGTAGTTGCTGGCCCACTTCATGGCCGACGAAGCCTCGTTCACGATGCCGGGCTGAAGAGTAAGCACCGAGTTAGTCTTGGTCGAGTAGGCTTCGGAGCGGGAGTGAGCGCCGGCATCCTTTGCCTCAGCCTCTTGCTCCCGGTGCTTCTTCTGAAGCGCCGCAGCCGCGGCTTGAATTCGCTTGTGCTGATCGGGGCCAATGCTGGTTTTGCTTTGTGGAGCCTGGTTATTGGGCCGCTTGTAGGAGTCCTCTACCGAGTCCACCTTCCTGGCGGAAGACTTTCTGCGGCCGAGCTTGGTTCCCTTCCTACTGCCGAAGCTAAAGAAGCTCTTCTTCTCAACAATCTGTGCGCCTGCCTCTGGCTCGGGCGCAGCACCCTTGATTTGCTCCTCCAGAACCAGCCACTTGGTTCCCCGAATGACAGTTTCGAGGAGAGCACAGCGACCAAATACAGCCTTGCGCGAAGATGGCTCATCACCGGAAAGACTAGTGATCCAGACCCACCAGAACGAATCATCCAAATCCAAGGAGCTGATGCTAGCCAACTCAGCCGGCTCAAGGGCTGGCTCGGGAGCCAAAGTGCGCCTATGCGATTGGGAGCTCTGGCCACGACTGGCGGCGATCGGGGGCAGGACCTTGTCAGGTGGCAGGAGTAGGGGGCCAACTGGGTTCTTCAGTGGGTTATCATCCGAGAAACCAGACGACATAAAGTCCGCCCAGGATGGGGTCGTAGGCCGTCCAAGATCACCACCCTGTGATCGAGGCACGGTGCTCATGCTAGCAGCAGTATCCGGCTTTGCGGAAGTTGTGGTCCGCTTATCTTCATCTTCGGGATCCGATTCAATAGAGCCACCAAATCCAATATCCTCAAAACGGGACCATGAAGCATCCCGCAAGCTAGTTGACTGCTTCGAGCTCGAAACACTCGACTCATTTGTTGATGAAATACATCTCAAGACACGTAGACACTCGTCCGTCAGCGCTTTGATGGGGTCTTCAAAGTTGGCGAATTCCTGGAGGTGCCAGTGGTCGTCGCGATATTCAAAGTTCTTTGCGCGGCGCAACAAAGAAAAGGGCGTAGGAGAGACCGTATCAACAATCATGACAACTTTAGTGGTCGTGACTTGGAGCAGCGTCGGGGTTTCTGGAGGATATTCGGTCGCCTCGACGAGGGATTGAAGGGAGATCGGTAGCGATGAGATACCAGTAACACCGCGAGGCATATCGGGGGAAAGTGAGCGTAAGTAAGCGAAAAACAAGTGGCTTGTCGCATCAGCGGCACTAGAACAAGATAAAGTTAGGATTTGATCAAAGAAGAAAAAAAAGAAATCAGGCAATCGTACGCAGCCCAATTTTTGTAGGAGGCCTCAAAGCCATTTCCAGTATCATGGTGCTCAAAGGCCCACCATCCAGCATAGCGCGAAAGCTGGCGGCCACCCAGACCATTAGATTTGCCATGCGCCGCAATCGCCGCAAGTAGGTCGAAGAAATCAAAAATAATTTTGGCGCGAGCGTCGGTGTCGACACTAATAGGGATGAAAGTTGCAAAAGCATCGCGGGCCAAATCCGAATCTTAAAAAAAAAAAGAGGTATGGTGTCAGCGGATTTGTTTTCCACCACGCAAGTCGCAATTGATGCGCGTACCTTGTTCGCCAACCTTGAAGAGTTCATATGCCTCCCAAGTAACTACACCGCCAGGCAATCTGCTCCAACACCATTTCAAGACGCTGCAAAGAACCTATGCGGGGTATCAGTATTATGAATTGCCCCAATTGCTATACCCAGCAACATAATTCTTACCATCGGCTCATTGAGCCGCAGCTCCTGCATCAAGGCATCTCCGCTGACCGGGGCGCCCTGCTCAAAGGACTGGTTGAAGTAGTTTCGGACGAACGTACGAGCGGCGCTAGGGTCGGAACTGGGACGGAAGGGAAGGAGCAGGAATGGGGTATCGAGAGCTAAATTGGACGAATGATCAGCAATCCGAAGTATGCGCGTGGCAGCGGTAACACCACCACATGGTTGAGATAGAAATTTGTACCCACCTCGTGCCTTCAACTCCTGCGCACAACCTCGAATGAGGTCTTGTACCTCCTCAGGGGCCACCTCCTTCTGCTGCCAGGCGTCGGTCCATTTTGGCTTTGCGGGGACGGGGTTTGCGGTGGTGGTTGGTTTAGCCTGTTTCTTGGTCGCGGTAGAGTCTTTGCTCCGAAAGACGCGAGAAAAGAACGGCATTTTTTTTTTCAGAAGATTCACACGATCTGCTAATAAATAGCTTGAATATGAGGCGATTGCGCTCGTGCACGCGTGTTCCGGTCGGTTTTTAGCTCCGTTGTTTTTTTTGGGGTTTCTTCTTCTTTTATCCTCGAGATCTGCATCAACAAATAAACATTAGCGGGGGATTTCCAAAGGGAACTGGGGAGCCGCGGCGGAAAACCGACAGATAATTTAACGAGTGGAATAAGTATGGAGGATAGAAAGAACCAGACAAAACCCGGCCAGGATGTCCTGCAGCCCTGGGGACAGGCTTAGGAAATAATAAAAAAAAAAAAAGAATGGAAATGATCTCCCTAGTACGGAGTCTGTGCTCTCTCTCACTCTGGAGAGGTATTGGGTAAAGTCAAGGGATCAACCAGTGAATCGGGATCAAAACGAGGGAATAACGAAGGAAAAACGGATCATCGACAAAAAACGATCACGACGCGAGGAAGAAGCGAAGTTGTTGACTTCAGGGGTAAAAAAAAAAACGGGATCGAATCACACTAACCGTTGGGTCTCGACCGCCCCCCTCTTTGTTTGGGTTCCCTTGATGTTTTTGCTCCCTACTTTTTTTTTCACTGACTCGGAGGATTTTGGTTTCTGGGGGAGAATTCTTATCCTGTAAAGAAATAGATGGAAGAACTATACAGAGCCAAAATATGACCACGAGTGTATATGGAATGTGTGAGCTATACACATGTCAAGTGCCAATGTTAAGAGGTTTGCGGAGTGGATGATACCGATGGCGATCATCATCTCCAGGAAAGTTGGCCCAAAACTGACTTTATTCGTCCCAAGGTTAAGCGAGAGGCGGTGTTAGGGAATTGAAGATGATATGAACGAACCTATCATATGTGCATTAAGGAGGTATACAAGACTATCAACAGAGGTACATGGCTTGGGAATACTGAGAAAGACGATTGTTACAGGTCTATTGGGTGATGCGAGAACCAATCATGAACTCGGAAGCCCAAGCTTGTTTCATTCTGGGTCCTTGGAGACTCTTGGCTTTGTATGTTAAGGATTCCAAGCTTGTCAACTGTAGTATACTCAAGGTTTGCCGTTTCTGACCTTCCTGTCATTTGCATGGTGAAACGTGGGAGATCAACAACATTGAAGTTTCCGAACGGGCTGGACCTGGGAATAGCTGTGGTATGCTTGTACATACAGATTGGTGTTTAACTGTACATCACCCAGGAACGAAATTCAACAGATTCCTTGATATCGGGGAGCTTAGGCCAAGCCATGGCCCCATTGATGTCAATTCAGCGATTCAGCACTGACATTCTCCATTTTTCTCCATTTTCTCCTGCAAAAAGACGCTTTTTAGCCGCGAATCCCCTGATCTTTCACGGATTCAACCAATCACACAAGTCACATGCTCATCACGGGATCCACTGTGATGTGACCTACATTGGATTACTTAATCGTGGTTATTCATCCTATTAATAGCCTCTGAGCCTCAGGCCAACACATGACGCTTACCTCATCTCCCTCCTTTCCTTTTTCTTTCCCTCAAATAATGAATGATTCTATCTTTAGAATCAACCTTTCTGCATCGTCAATCAGCCCCCCCATCCCGAGGTTTACTCCACGGTCCATCGCGTCCCTGGTTCCCTTTGAACCCTTTCGCCCCCCCCCAACCTTCATTCCTTTCTTCAATTTTGGTTTCACCTATTCTCCACCCCCGGGTCTCAGACATTGTCCTCGAGATATTTGAAACCTACGGCATCTGCGCAACGCTCGACTGCAAACTTGCTCCTACATGTCCCCGTTGCGCTGCGCGATAGATATTGCTTTGCAAATAACCTCCAGTCGCTTGCGCCAGTGGTAAAAAAACCCCCCCCCCAAAATTCCCCGTCGTCCCGGTCAAGGCGACTCCCTTTTCTATAACTTCAAGCGCGTCTTGTTGGAATAGTTCAAAATGGGTCGCAGAAAGATTGAGATCAAGGCCATCAAAGATGATCGCAATCGCTCAGTGTAAGTTGACAATGTAATTCTGTCTATACGTACGATGAACGCTAATGTCTGGTGCAGCACATTTTTGAAACGAAAGGGTGGTTTGTTCAAGAAGGCGCATGAGTTGGCAGTCCTTTGTTCAGTCGACGTCGCAGTTATCATCTTTGGGCATAATAAGAAGCTCTACGAGTATTCTTCATGTGATATGCATGAGGCTCTTGGCCGGTACCAATACGTGAGTGGTGACTTTCTCCCTATCAGTGGCAAGGCGTAAAGTACTAATCAATGTGTTTCTGCAGTTTGGTGGCCCTCACGAGCACAAGGGCCCTGATGATTTCTCCGGCAAGCGCGACGAGGATGACGAGGATGACGATGACCACACACCGGCCCCCGAGGAAATGCAAATTCAACAAAGCCACCCCGCTGTTCCCCCTCATCTCCAACAACCCGGTTTCCAGCACGTCAACCACGCGCCTTCTGCCTCCCCTCCCATCCAGAACGGTCTCCCGACACGCCATAGCACCCCGCAATCCCAGATCTCTCGACCTTCGTCCAGGAATACCCAGAATACACATGCTCGTCGTGTCAGTTCAAACCTCGGTCCTCATCAGCATGGCACGCCGCCGCCACCTCCGGCGCAGAATGGTTATTACATGTCCAACCCGTCCATGTACAACCCGAATGTCCACTCCGCTATGAACCAGCCACGCCCCCCACAGTATGCTCAATATGGCCATCCTCCAGGTCCACAAGGAACACCGCCCCAAGTAATGCCGCATCCACATGGTCTCCCCCAACAAATGCCTCCCCAACAGCAACATTTCCAGCACGCGCACCCCTCACAGCAGATGGGAATGCCACCTGGATCTCATGCACCGGTACAGCAGGTCACTCAGGCCTATATGTCGGACCAGGGCCGTGGGTCGATGCCTCCGTCTTTTGGCCCTGATACCCATAACCGCGAAATTACCGAACGCCCAGAAAATACGTCGAGTGGGTTGAAACCAGATAGCCAATCACCACCCCAGCCGAAGTTTTTGTCCAAATCCAGAAGCATTTTCACGCCTATCGACGATGGAGGTTCCGTATTAGCTCGACATTTTGGAGCGGGTCCATCGATGTACGAGTCGCCTCGTGTGAATCAGAATATCAAGCCGGATAACAAACAGGAGGATTCGGGCTCCAGAGGCGACTCAAAAAGTTCAGCTTTCGAACCGCCTCGCACACAACCGATTTCATCGGCCCCGGACATCAAGCCAATTCAGCGAATCAACAGTAGCCAGATCCCATCCAAACGTCCACAGCTGAAGGTGCAGATCCCCAGTGAGAGCTCTGACCGGGGTAGTGCAACGGCCGACTCGTCTTCACGCGACTCCGCGGGCAACAAGACAACGCCTGCAAGAGGGAACGGGGAGAATCCTCCACCAGGTGGTGTGGTTCTCCCGCCGCCTTCTCCATCAGCTGGGGCGATTCTCAGTGCAGGCGCTCAAGGCCCTCCGAACCCATTTGCACGCCCACCGCCGCCAGGTAGCCAGTCACAAAGCAACGCATATGGCAGCATGGGTAATGGCAATAACAATAACATCGAAACGCCGATATCTGCCCTTCCGAGTCGCTTTGTTGATAACCTTCTCCCGTCACCGTCCACTTTCTTCCCAGAATGGGGCTTTGGCCGCTCGGGACCAGACTCAAGCCTTCTACCTAGTCCCCTCACCTTCCCAACACCGGCGTTGCAAAGTGGACCAAGCTTTGCAAGAGAAGATGAGCAGGACAAGAAGCGCAAGAGTCCAGACAGCGGGTCACCAGATGATGGTGCAAATAAAAAACCAAAACCTTGACAAAATCATCCCCTTCCTCCCCTTCCTTGCCCTCGTTGATTACTACCTCTCCTATTCCGAATTCCCGATCGAGACCTCCATTCGCAACATCTGAACATCCTTTATTTTACCATATCACCATACTACCATTCTACACCATTCTACACCATTCTACCCTGATTCTTATTTTTTTTCCTTGATTTGGTTGAGTCCAGGATCTTTATGCTCTTATACCCCGGCTTGATACCTCTTCTTTTCTTTACTGTGTCACATTCTTTCTCATGTTCTTTCTTTTGATGGTTTCTGTCTTCTGTCTGATGATTTCAACTCGATACATTTGAATTTTTCTTCCCGATTATCTTTTGAAATTTACCCCATGAATCTTTTTGTTATGAATTTCTGTTCTCGTCGTGCTTGGTTGTCGGAAGTCGGCGTCTTTATCTGTTTCGCGTGCGTACGGATGATGTACATACAATTTGATCCTTCTAGGATAGCAATTCCAAATGATCATTCAGAAAAAAAGACCTGTCAGGGCTGACGATCAAATGGTTGTATCACATAGGGGGAAAAGTACGACCTAATTCCTCGCCCATTTGACCATTCAGGATCTCAACTTCCCAACACGAAAAATCAAAATGTAACCCTCGAACCCCTCCCGCCTAATTGACCGAATCATAACAATTAATTGCAGATCCGAACTGCAGCTCTACAGCATGAAAACATACCTCGGCGAATGAAGGTGGGGTGCTATGTGGAAAACAAAGCCCGAACGCCGGGGACTCGGATCATCGAGAGTATAAAACGTCGGGATGACGAAGACCTTCCCTTCTTCATCTTCGTCTTTTGATTCCCACAAGGTACCCGCCAAAACAACCTTATTCACTTTATCTGTTTACCAAATTGAAATTTCGCTACAATGACTATTACCGGTAGCTGCATGTGTGGTGCTATCCACTACGCCGCTGAAGGTTAGTTAACATTCACAACCTTGTCTACATGGCAGACTTAGTGCGCTTGCTAATTGAATTGATTTCCAGTGGACAAGTACCTCTCCGCTCTCTGCCACTGCACCGACTGCCAAAAGGTACTATTCTATTCGTATTCGCATCCCAAGCCAGTTGCATAGACAATCCTGACATACATCGCAATTCCCAGTGGACTGGAAGCGCTTTCACTTCCAACGCCGTTGTTCCCCGCAACAGCTTCAAGGTGACCAAGGGTAAGTCCAATTCCAACGTTACGCCCACATACTACACTGGAAACTTACCAGTCGGTTTTATTACCACTGCATATAAAATAAATGAGATTGAATTGAACCAAACTGTGAATCCAACCTACTAACTCTACTTCAAAAGGAACCCCAACCACCTACGATGTCGTCGGAGCCAGCGGAAAGATCAATAAACACTTTTTCTGCTCAACCTGTGGCTCGAGCCTCTATACCGAGCTAGAGCTGATGCCAGATATGACCTGCGTCAAGGGTGGTGGACTCGACAACAAGGATACCAACCTCGGCGGCAAGATCGATATTGAGTTTTACGTCAAGGACCGGCCTAGCTACCTTGCTGCTGTTCAGGGTGCAAAGCAGGAGCCTATGTTTGGGTAGACGAGTCAGCTTGTTTTAAGGAAGTGGATTCACGTGAATTCAAAACTTGCGATTGACATTCCAGGATGTTGGAATCCAAGTTCAGATTGTTGGTCAATGATGTCTAGATTCCGGAGCTTACTCGGTGTTTGATGTGGGGCAGCTTATAATTCATTGGCCGTGATAAAGGATGAAGTGTGGGGGTGGGTCAAAGGCCGAATGGATCCGGGATGAATTAAGGAAGTGCATCAATAACATTTTGAAACGCATAAGGGAAAGAACAGATGGAACCTACGTAGAAATTTATTATGAACTTCTCCAAAAAATTCACATGATCAAACCTCCTACTAGTAGCATGCACAATACAACCAGTTTATAACAAGCGTGCCGATCGTCACTCATCAAACACAAAAGCCCGCGCAGAAAGCAGGCCCTTTCGATGGAGACGTTTCACAATTGTTTCGATACATGCAATATCCTCTTTATAACCCGACTGATCCACCTCGAACGTCTGAAATGCCACTCTGAGCGGGAAAAAAGCAGATGCCGGCCCAAAGAGTTCCATCTCATCCTGTAACAGATAGTCCATGCTCGAGTAAATTTGTCTCGCAAGCGCCAATATAAGCGTATCAATTTCACCAAGTCCCTGATCGGATTTCGAGTTCTGGGAGATACGAGTTTCAAAGCGCTTGATTTCAGTCATGCACACGATTTGGAGAGCCCATAGGTTGGTGAAGACATTGGCCATAGTGATGTTCGGATACCAAAGAGGAAGGGGTATAACGGTGTCTTTGGCACTTCTGTAAGGCCAATACGGTGGAGAACCGTCGACGTAAAGCATTATTTCCCAGTTCTCTAGGCGAGAAGTTAATTCTAGAAAAGATTGAAGAGTTTTGTCGATACAGGAAAACTCGATTTTCAGGTCAGGATTTTGGTGTAGTGAATCGGCCTGGTGTAGGAGCGAGGGGAGCACGACAGCCTCATTGAGGAGCTGCTGCATGACGGATGGGTCGAAAGTAGAAAATGGTGTCTCAATCCAAGCTGGAGAGGAAAGGAAGATTGGGCGGCGATGCAGGATGGCTTGAAATGTCTTGAAATCGGGATGGACTCGTCAGTATAAAGTTAGTGGATTAGGGTAAGACTAGAGGCACGAACCAACAGAGGTCGAAACCCAACAAAGAGTTTATGCAGGAATCCATCTTGACATGCACCCGGACCATAGACTTGGAATAATAATCCTACAGCCTTGATATGCTCCGCCATAGCGGTAGTCGAGTCCGGAATCATAAGCTTGATTGAAAAGTTAGCAGCTGTTTAGATCTTGTGATGATCAGGAGATCCAAGGATTACATACTTCCGCTAGAGTAAGACACATAACCGTGGGAATCATATCAAACCGCACGCCGCCACCATTCACGTCCAAGCTTTTCCGTAATGTATGTATAGCTTCGTGGTAGCTTCTGGAGCAATTCGTATTGGCCATATTTGGCCGTGATAGTATCGAAGCTGCCAACGCTTTGACAGCCTTTGTAAGAACCAAACTGCCGGTGTTTAAGCACGGGAGGATTGATAAAACCTCGACCCAGGACCCGCAGATTCTAGGCTCCGCGTAATCGGAGTTGTATATGCTCGGTGCTCTTTCAGTTCCAGGGACGTAATTCTGGACAATCAATGCGGAAAGCTGGTCTCCGTTTGGCGGACTCGAAAATTGCCGCGGTATCAAAAGTGCAGCTGAAATTGCGTGTAATTTTTTGGTCATGACCTGCACAGTTGCTTGGCTTTTCACTGGGGTTGATGCTTGGGTACGTCTTCGCCTTGATGGCGATGGCGTGGAAGTATTGTTTGGCAGAAATGTCCAATTTGTTGGGTACCCATCACACTTGAGCCCTGAGAAGACACATTGAGTGCAGGCTGGATTTTTTCCATCGCACTGTGATCAGTTGTGAAGATTAGTGTCATGGTTACAAGTAAGTGTCAACACTCGAGAGGCAGTTCATACCCCCAACTTTCGCCTCCTGCAAGTCTGGCAAACATTTTTCTGTTTGACTTTCATGTCGCTGAGAGATAGTTACAAGTCAAATCGAATGACCTCACATATTTTAGTAAAGGGTCCCTTTACTAGTTGCCAATGGCGATTTGGAAAGAGGAAGAGAACTTAATGACAAATTAGGCTGATGTCATCCAAGTCTTGGCGGAAATTAAGACCAAAAGCGGTTAGTCTGACTGCGGGAACGCCCCACACTAAACCGGGGAAACGCGGATTAGGTAATCTTGTAAAAAGTGGAAATGTCAGCTTACATCATGTAAGCTCACATGTTACAATGCACATCTGATTCATGGAATTTCTTTAAAAAATGGCCAAATCCGGTATCATACGCCGCCAAGCCATGGGGGAAACGGGCGACAGGATTTGAGTCAGGACTTGAGTCAGGATTTGAGTAAGTATTTGAGCTTAATTTACATAGTCTTGGCGGAATTTGGGACCAGAACGGGCGAACAACTATATGGAAAGTAAAAGATTTCACATCTTCCCTTACAAATGACACTGGCGTGACCTCGACCTGTGCCATCTGAATATTTCTGATTGACTATAAAAGAGGCGACTTAGAAGCCGGTTTCCAAAAAAGTCATTCAAAACCAAACAACTGCATTCCACAACATTCAAGCTCATTCAATCGTCACGACTCACGGCCCACCTAAAACCAACTAGATCACATACTATCTTCTATCTTCTTGACCTCATCATGTCTCCATCAAAATTTAGAAGCAATTTCAGCATCACCCACATCGGCACTGCTACTGCCATTTTCGAGATCGACCATGTCAACATCCTAACTGACCCCTTCTTCTCCCCCGCCGGCACAAGCTGGGACGTGGGCGGCGGCATGGTCCTCAAGAATACCGAGACCCCAGCTATGGGGCTGGAGAATCTTCCCCGTATTGACGCCATCCTTCTCAGCCACGAAGACCATGTGGATAATCTTGACGAGCTCGGCCGCCAACTCTTGAACGGCCGACACGTCTTCACCACCATCGACGGCGGTAACAAGCTCGCTCCCCGCCCCGCTGTCCGCGGCATGAAGCCATGGGAGACAACTTCCGTCAAGCTCGGAGGCACGGAATACGAGATCACCGCAATCCCATGCCAGCATCTGCCCGGCGGCGAATGCACGGGCTTCATGCTGTCCACAGAGGATTTCGGTGTTCACCCTGATGGTCGGCCCAACGTCATCTACTTCACCGGTGATACTGTATACTTCGACGAGCTTGCGAAAATCCCTGAGAAGTTCCATGTTGTTGCTGCTGTTATGAATCTGGGGTCGGCGCATGCGGCTCTGCCTGATGGAATTGTCCAGGCTACTATGGACGGCAAGCAGGCTGCTCACCTTTTCCGTACTATCAAGGCGGACTGTCTCGTCCCGATGCACTATGAGTCTTGGAATCATTTTACGCAGTTTGGAAATGAGTTGGTGGAGGTCTTTGAGGCGGAGGGAATCGCGGAAAAGATTCGCTGGCTTATCCCGGGCAAATCTGTGAACATTCTGTGAGGTGTGCTTTTGGTTTTATATGTCATTAATAAATATTGTATGCACATAGTTGTGAGAATGTCTGGAAGACAGCAAGAAGGTGTGGAATTCCATCATACTATCATTCAGATGTCTACATGAAAGGGCTTAAATTCAGTATGTACATAAAAGATGCGTGACAATAATAACCAGAATCTTGAGTGGAGAAGCCTCAAGTGCTCAAATACTGAATCATTCCAGAAGCATGTGAAGATGCAAAAATGAGGAGACCGACATTGATCATCAATTGATTCAACTGTTCTTAGCTACTGTTATTCCGTCTGCAAGATGTCACCGTGACGAGATAGCCCTGGAGACCTCAGGACGACATCGGGACCGACATCTGGATAAGGCACTGGCAATGTTAGGAGTTACCAATACCATACGGCTTGATTTGAATGTAAACTTGATCAATTATCTAAAGCAAAAATGAAGAGTATCAAATCACAAGTTTGGAAACAAGAAATTATTCAAAAGACCTCCCCACGAAGCCATAAACGATTTGGCAAGGGTGCACATGGGTAGACTCAAAGTGTCAACGCCAACCTCAAACCTTCACCTCAACCTCATTGGTAACAGCATACTTGCTCCACCGGCGAATCACCGGTCCAAACTTGTAGAAAATATAAGGGACAGGCACCATAATGGCGCTAATGCACCCCAAAATCGTCAAAGTCCAATGCACGCCCATATTCTTATAAAATGGCATTCCAACCACCGTCATTCCACCAGCAGCACAATACCGTGAAACAGTCATGAATCCCAGCGCCGATGCCGCATAGATATCGTACGAGTCAATCACGTACATGTACGAACTGATGAACACGCAAATTGTCCCCAGACCGAAACAAGTTGACGCCAAGATAGGCGACCAAATCGACACAGAAGAGAAATCGGTCCACCCCATCCAGAACAACGAGATAGGAATGAACGGCGCACCAAACATAGCAAACCAAAGTCTGATTTCCGGCTCCGTATGCACACCATCCAGAGCATGCGGATCAACGCAAGGATCAGACCCATTCACCGCGCGTGCCGCAGCTGTAAAATCCTTCTTCGTCTGTATATATACGATCGGCACGAGAAGAACACAGAGGGCAATACCAACATACATTGCCGCCCAGATCACATTCGTCAACCCCTCCGAGACCCCATACGTATCCATAAAGATATATGTATAGCCATCGAAGAAGGTGAAAAGCACAATGTACAGCACGGTCATATAAAGCGAGATAAGCAGGATAATAGGCTCATGGATCGTGATGAGGAACTGCCTCTTCATCGCCCCGCCAATGCGACTAAACAGCGCCACCTTTTCCAGATCCATCTCAGACCGGAACCGCCGATCACCCGTGATCTTGCGCAGCTGCTTTCCCTTCCAGTGCAGCAGCAGCGGGGCGTACGTCTCCGGCTGAAACAGGATGATGCAAACCATGACGACACCTGATCCGATAAGAATAATCCACCCGCTCCAGCGCCACGAAAGCTCGCTCGTCTGTCCCACATAGTTCGCCAACACGGGACCCAGAACCGGGCCGCCGAACGAAATAATAGCGTACATGGGGAAGAAAACCGTCTTCTCAAGCGGATTCCATAGATCGGCGATCGTGCCGCCAGCACAGGTTAGCGGCGGACAACCAAAGACACCGGCCAAGAAGCGGAAGGCGAGCAGGGCGCCAATATTAGGCGCGAGTGCGGAGCCCATGATGAATATCATGAAGAGGGTTAACGAGCCTGTGTAAACGAGGTTGCGGCCCAGAATCTCGGAGAGCGGACCGCTGAAGAGGGAGCCGAAGGCGAAGCCTAAAAGGTAGAGGCCTGTGCGATTGCGGTTAGCGGGCCGGTGCTTCGTTCATATATACTTGGACGGAAGCGCAACTTACCATCTATCAGCGAGCCTACGACGTCGCCGACGCCAAACGCGGCGTCCGTCTGCGATAGTACTCCAGAATTGATTGAGGATGCTGCGCCGACAATGAAACCCAGGGCAGACACAATCAGAGTGGCGGTTACGCGGCGAGCTAGACTGTAGTTCCGTGGATGCTGGGGATCATTGATACCATCCCAGCCGACGACAAAGACGCGGCTTGGCCGATTGGACGCGTGATCGACATGCGAGCGAACTTCGATACCCGGAAGCCCATATGCGATTGTAGTTTTCTCTGAATTGCGAGTGTGATTCTTTGCGAGAGCGTCGTGCGAAGGATGTAAATCCTCGTACTCGATCTGGTCGGAGTCTGCATCGGCATTTTCAGCTACGGTGCTGGTTTCGGACTGGCTCGTTGGCGACGACGGTTCGTTTTCATTCCGGTTTTCATTTACGGTTCCAGTCTCTTTATCGTTCACGTAGGACAGGCCATTGTGCCGCTTATCGCGGTGCTGCTGGGGTGGCAAATCCGCCAGCTGGTTTCGGACGGCATTTCCCAAGCGGCGATACTGTGCGTAGGACTGCATTTTCACACCTTGGGATTAGACTGAATTTTTCAAGATCCCTGAGTTGTATTCTCACCGGTTATGCTAGCCAATCTGCCGAGTTCCAAGATGGTCGAGTTCCTGGGACGATTGGCTATGTATATAGTAGGATCTGGTGTACTCAAGTCTCAAGTGCTCTCGCCTCAGTATAAAACAAGATATGCGAGTAGGTGGGAACCAGGGGAAATATAAAGAGATGCCGACTCGGAGACTTCAAGGGTTCATGGGTCCGAATGGTCCGAATGCTGAAAAATCGAGTTTGTCTAGGCCGGAGACATTTCAATTCAGGATCTGCATGTCGGTGGGTCTCTTGCGTAGTTCTGTCGGACTCGGGCCGATGGGAACGGAATGCGTAGTTTCCCCCGTTGCTGTTGGATGTTGACTTTAATTCCACTGTTTGAACTTGGCAGATTTTAAATAAATAAATGAAAATGTGGGTGATACATCATTTCGAATAGTCACTTTTTTCTCGATGGATTTGCTGATAGAAACAAGAAATTCCGCAATGTTTCATGGCGGCAAACATCTCAACGGCTAAAGGTCGGGATGAATTGCTTGTTTGAAGTTGTTAGTGATGAAGTTGGATCTCGGGCAGTTCTCCGACTTCATCCAGTGTTCGGGGAGCAGTGAAGACCTTCAAATGCCGAGCTTCCAGATGTCGTTTACTCCATGTCAGAACACTGACTGGATTCTGAGCCGCTGCAAGCAATGTTTCTAATTATATTGATATACCCGCAGTAAAAATAGATGAAGCAGAAGACAAAATGACTGGTTGATATGCAAATGAGACTTTTTGAATTAAATCCAATAAAAATAAGTTGTGTATGGCCAGATGATCAAGGCCGACAAAAGCTGCTATCCGTTCAAGCATGAAAACATCATCATGAAGCAAATGCTATGACAAAGCAATTATAATCTGATGAATCGCACCCTTGTACCGCCAGCAGTCTAAGGATAGACCGAATAAGTATTATACAATAAATGTAGCGTGTAGAGAGAATATTCTGGGTAAAAAAAAAGTACCGATTGGTTAAGCCTCTTGCTCGGACTTGCCCTGGGCCTTGCGCTGCAATTCAAGCAAATCCTGTCGGTTGCGCTCTTGTTGATCAAGACCGGTCTTTTGAATGGTATGCGACTTGCTAAGGACCTTTGGGCGGATAAATAGAGACAAGCAAAAGCCCACACCGGCGACGCAGGTGTATAGAATCCACATTCGGCTGAGAGCGAAGGTGAATGCATCGAGCACGACGACGCGCTGACTTTCAGTGAGACCCTCAATGAGAGACTTGGAGGACCCGGCGAACGAGCCAGAGATCGTTGCAGCCTTTTCGGCTCCGACGGCAGCGATAAGCTTGGCAGATTGTTGGCCCATGACGTTCTGGTAGACGACAGTTCCGAGGACGACGGACATTGAAGTGGAGAGCTGGCGAACAAAGCCAAACGTCGCCGTTGCGATGGCCATATCGGCGGGACGAACGTTGGCTTGGAATGCAACCAGGGGGGCTTGGAAGTTGGGTCCGATACCAATGCCGGCGATGAGTTGAAAGATGATTATACGGGGCCACGAGGCGTACGGCTTCAGGTCGATGTACAGACCAAAACCAATAGTCATCATAAAGAGACCTACCGCAATTACTTCGCGGTAGCGACCGGTCTTCTTCATGAGAATACCAGTGCCTGCGGAGCTGATTGAAAGTGCGAGGACCAGGGGTAGAACGTAAACGCCGCTCAGAATCGGTGATGCCAGGAGGACAGTTTGGAAGTAAAGCGGAAGGTAGTAGGTGCCAGCGATGAAAACGAAGCCGTGGCAGAAACAGACCAAGAGGATGAGGACGTTGTACCATTCACTGAAGAGGCGAATTGGGATGATGGGGTACTTGGCGATTTTCCACTCGGCCAGGAAGGCCAACACCCAAACCACAATACCGAAGACGATCAAGCAGATGACAGTGGCGGAGGCCCATGGGTAGTTCACACCACCAAATTCCAGCCCAAAGAGAAACATAAGAGTACCGCCAATTATGGTAAACGTTCCGATCCAGTCGACGGTGCGCAGGCCAGCCAAGAGCGGGGTCTTGGGAGATTCGATGTGGAGGAAGAAGAATAGGATGACCAGTGATACACCACCAATAGGCAAGTTCACGTAGAAGCACCATCTCCAAGTAACATCGGTGGTGAAAGCACCACCGACGATTGGACCCAAAGCGCCCGCGACAGCCCATGTAGCACCAAAGATACCATAGTATATGGGTCGATCACGCATACTGAACAAGTCCGAGACACTGATATTGGCCAAAATGAGAATTCCACCACCACCGATACCTTGGACTGCACGACCGGCAATGATCATAGACAAGTTCTTTGCCAAGGCGCAGATCAAACTGCCGATCAAGAATAAGACGTTAGCCGACAGAATAATCGGCTTGCGACCCCAAATGTCAGAGACCTTTCCCCACAGAGGAATACAAGAGGCATTGGCGAGGAGGTAAGAAGCAGCAATCCATGAGTACCCACTTTCCGTGGCATGAAACTGATCCGCAATGGTGGGTAGGGCGGTTGAAACGATAGTCATATCCAAAGCCGCGAGAAACAAAGCCATACAGAGGGCGGCCATAACCAGAGCAATCTGCTTCTTGCTCATCTTTGCGGCAGACGATGGGACGAGGTCGAGGGGTGCACCAGATCCTGCATTTGCATTTTCTGATGGACCTTCATCTTGTATTGATGTTGATGTATGGACTTGATCTGTTGGTTCAACTTTCGGCTCCACATCGGCCTGGTGATTTTGTTCCGGCGCCACAGCCTCAACAGAGCTCTTTTCCACGAGTTCATGCGAGATAGCTGTATCGCCGCCACTCGAAGCATTGCTCGGAGTAGGCTGAGTTTCGACTGCCATGATGCGCAAATTGACAATCAAGAAAGAAGAAAAGAAAAAAGAAAAGGTCGAGCGGGGGAAAAAAAGAAACGCGCTATGGAGGCGATTCGTCAAGTGACCTGTTCCGGATGATTTGTGCCGGCGCTTGGACTCAGTGAAGAGTTAGATCGTTCACTAGATGTGTTTTTTTTTTCGAAATCCGAAAATGAAATCACCACGATTCCAAGAGATACACTCCCCCTTTTATGTGAGATCAAAGAAGCTCGGGGGATTTATGGAGATAAAGAAAAAAAAAAGAAAAAGGAAGAAAAAAGCCTAACGGGGTTTACTATGGGTCGGCAACACTCCACTTGGGGAAAAAAAAGGGTACGGGAGTTTGGGAAGGCCGAATGACCGAGCTCCGTTGTCCGAACTGACTCATACTAGTATGTTCTAACACGTTCAGTCCTTTGAAGACGGGGATTTTTGCCTGCAAGATGTGCAGCATGTGCAGCATGTGTATGTGTAATATGTGTAATATGTAGCGGTGAGTGTTAATGCAAACACTCAAATGCACTCGGTTGGAGCCAAGCCTTGATCTGTATACTTGATGCACGCAAGGGGTGTGGGTCGAACTCCACTTGAGATGTCAAATCTGCTCTCAAATCCTCACATGCATCTTCGGTTTATCTTCATTTTTGTGTTCCCTTTGAATGTCGAAAGCCGGTTGCATATTTTACCACATGAATAACGGCTCTGTGCTATCTCCATTCCCCCTTTTTTTCTAGTCGTGTAACGTACTAGTACATATTGTGTGACGAAAAAGAAGGGGTTTTAAAAGCGGAGAACTATCTACTATATCAATGCATGAAATGTTGCCCCTCTTTGCCAATATCACCATATGTAAACATCCAAGAAATTTTCAGAACAAATGGAAAAGAAACCGACGAAATTTCCAAGGTTCATAGGTAAGGGGGTTTGATCTCGCCCTAACTGAAAACTCCTCTATACTGACTGAACGCCGAAAATGTAGATCGATTTGGGTGATTCTACTATCACCATATATACAAGTACTATGCATCAATGAAACGTATAGGGGAAGGTAGAACTGAACCCCGGACCAACTTGAAATAGCCTTACCCGGTACAGATCGGGATCTCATCGGCATTGCTCAGTTGAGGGTCCTATCAGAGTAACAGACTGGAGGCAGGGTATAGAAAAAAAAACAAAAACAAAACAAACATGGATATGTCACCACCAAGAAACAAAACAGGAATGAGTGAGAAGAGAATATGGGGGAAAGATGGCAGTGAATAACAGGCGCTAGAAAGGAATTTACTCTTGCAGCTGAAGGATTTCTATTATATTGTCAGCTCAGAAGCTCCCAATAGGCGAGCCAATACAGAAACGTCATAACGTACCAGTCAAAAATTCCTCAAAGCTCACGGTAATATATCCATCGCGATCATCATCGTATCGTTTGAAGACATCCGTCATACGTTTCAAGGTAATGCATGCCTGCACAAAGAGATCGAAGCTCATGCCATTATGCTGAGGGTTACGAGCCGGCGCATTCAGCTGGCGTGTCTTGCTCTCGAAGATCGTGAATATCACTGACACAAACTTCGGGCTCAGGCGGTATCCGAATGCGACCAGCGCCTTCTCGAACTCCGGCAGGCTGATGCGCCCGCTCCGATCTTCATCGAACCGGTCAAAAAGCTCCCTCCACGCAGCAAGGTAGCGCCACAACGATACAAATTCGTCAAAGTTGATTATGCCGTTTCCGTCGCGGTCGAACATGCGGATCATCATCTTGACGGTACGTGGGTGGAAAGAAGTGTAGTCCCCGTTCACAAGGGCGGATCCGAGCTCATGTTCAGTCAAGGAACCAGAGTGGGACGAGTTCGCCGCGCGGAATAGAGGATATAATTGTTGGGGGTCATCGCTGGTAGGGACTGCCAATGGGGGAGGAATGGGTGATTGGGGAGGCCGAGACGAAGGTGGGGGTCGAGTTCGGCTGGCCTGCGACGGGGGTGGACCAAAGCCATAGTTTTGTGGCGGTGGTGAAGGGTGCAAAGGGTGCGGCTTGTATTGTCCTGAAGGAGGGTATTGGTTTGGTGGGATAGCGGCGGGTGAAGGGCGACCGTTGTAGGAGTTCGGGGCATGGAGATCTGGGCGCGGGGCAGGCGAGCCATACGGGTTGTGGTGCGGGGGGGCACTAGATACGGGAACACGAGGGGGAATGCCTCCTCCGCTAGGAACAGACTGAGCTGGCGGACGGGTTGGCAGTGGTTTCTGTGCTGGTGCTGGTCTCCCTCCTATTTGCATGGATCCGATCATTTGCGCGACCTAAGGGATGGTTAGCGGGGAATTGGACGTTGCGATGGTTGCCTAAAAGGCGATTACCTGCTCTGGTTCAGCATGCCTATACCAATCGATTGGGTTAGCGATCGCGTATTCGTCAAAATCACCCAGACATATGGACTTACGCTGGCAGCGCATCGGGGTTGTAACTGGTGTTGTAGGCCATGGTGACGCAATAGGCTAAACAGTAAGACGCGTGTCCACAAGATTTCAAAAGAGTGAGGACTTCTCGCGTATACAAGAGATTGAAGAGAGGATTGGTAAGATAGGAGTCTTAGTCTTGCGCAAGAAGTGAATAGGAGGAAAGAATTTCAGGGATCGCTGAGGCGATGTGAAGTTGAACGGTTCTTGTCAAAGCGGAGCTGTGGGGCGAGTGGTTCTCAAGTTTTGGGCCTAAGGCTGATAAGTCCGAAGCCAAGCCTAAGAAAGGAAGGAAGGAAAAAAGAAAAAATTTCAGTTGTGCCCCCACTATCAAGGGACGAGATGGTGGCTTTGAAGTAATTCCCACAATCTAGTGCAGTTTCAGCCCTATATAAGGGAGTTCTTTGTTTGCAGCCTACTAGTAGTAATTGGCCCTTTCTAGCTTCATCGCCTCCATGAAGCACCAATTGTTCAAAATACACGATTCCTTCACACCTCCACAAGCCAATCTTTCCCTCCCCTGAACCATGCCCGAAGTTATAATTGGAGGCTCCACTTCTGGTTATTAGTATAGCCCTACTCCGTACTAAAATTGGCTTTATATTAATAACATTAATACGGTCATCAAACACGAATACGAGCCAAAAGTGGTTAATCCTTAGATATAATACCGCGAACTTCTGCTGCCTGATTCGCTAGCAGCTCGATGATCTCCTTCCACGCCTTTGCCTGGAACTGCTTCCCTTCGTCTCCAGTGGTAAGAGCTTTGGATTCACTGAATATCAAGTTAGCAAATCGTACGATTGGTCAGGATTGAATCTCAATTCAGCCTTACTCCAAATATCCATCACTCCGCCAGCATTTCCCCTGTGACTCAACACCCTGAAGCGTCGCGCTTACTAAAGATCGGCTTCCTTGCTCGGTCGTTCGTGCAAAGAGCCGATATGCTAGCCAGCTCAGCCACCGTTCATAAAACCGTTTAAGGTATTGACGCGTAAGGCCAGATTGGCAGAGTCCAGGGCTTATCGTGTTGACAATGACGGGCACTGTGCCGTCCTCATTACGAACCAGATCCGCAATAGTCTTGATAACATATTCCAAGAGCAATTTTGAGATGCCATACTGTTTCGGACCCTGGAACCTGAGCGCGGAATTCAGGTGATCTAACAAAGATTCTTCTGTCCTGAGGCTTTCCGCCTTGGCACGAACAAACTGCTGGCTTGAGACAACACTTAGATGGGTAAGCTCAGCACCGGAGGATTCCCGGAGTTTCGGGATAAGTAGCAAGGCCAGCAGTGAAGTCGAGAGAGTATTCACTTGTATTGTCTCTTCCCATCCCTCGGGCGAGAGTGCATATTCACGGTTCCAGAGACCGGCATTGAGCAGCGCAATGTCCACCCGGGGAAGCTCCTTGTTGACCCGACTAGCAAAATCCTTGACGCTTTGAAAATTGTTCATCTCAAGCTCCCAAACTTGAATCACACCTTGCCGGCTGGTAATCTTTTCAAGCTCGGCTTTAGTGTGGTTTCCTCGCTCCAGGTTGCGACTCCCAATCACTAAAGAGTCGACTCCTAGGTTGAGAAATTTTATAGCGGCTTCGTAGCCTAGACCTGAAGTTGCTCCAGTCAGGAGAACTGTTTTGCCGGCCAGAGAAATTCCTCGAGGGTCAGTCGGAGGAGTATATTGCATTTTGAGAAGTCGGAATAGCCCCGCCATACTGCCGGCGAATTAAAACCAGAATCACGAAAAGAAATCTAGTTTGGGTGGATACAACTTTTGGAAAGCTTCATTTCAATACTCACAATTGAAAGTTCAATTAAACAATTTAAACTGTTCAACCAAGCAAAAGCGGATCAAAATAGATGACATCAGCATGCTTAGTCATTGGCCCACATCCATTGAAACATCCAATCATGCAAGAGTTGTAGTATATCAGCACTTGAGTAGTATATCATGCATCGGGATTCAGCATTCAGCACTTGAGGTTATTTGGATTTGGATTTGAATACATCACATAAGCTATCCACCACCTGCAGACCATGAAATAAAAAGAAAATACAGACATCAATTGATCGTTATAAGATCTCATTTTACATCAGAATGGCGAAGGGAAACAAACATGGCAAACAAGCGGGTGCAGGGGAACACGATTTCTCAGCAACACAAACCCCATTGCTCGGAGCCTCGGATGTATATGAACGCTGAATGCCGAACAGTGAAGAAAATAGGAGTGTACATAAACCCTCAAATTTTCGCTTGCCTCATTCAACTGCACAAGTGCAGCCTTGCATAAAGCGAACAATTCCGGACGCACAATAACCAGACGGTCCAGACTCCAGACCCCACCACTCTCTTCCATCCTGTTTTGAAAGCTGGATTTGTGGCTGGCTGAGCATGGCTGCTAGTTTGCAAGGGCACCAGGTACATCCTGAGGGACGTACATGGAAGACGCATTTTCCGAAGGGCGATCTCTGGGTATTTGGATATGGGTGAGTTTTTTTTTTTTTATAAAAGAACATTCACAGGCGAGATAACCGAACTCGAATCCGATATTGTTGGATCCATATTTGATCATAATTCATAATTCACAATTCATGAATTCTACTTCTTCCTCAAGGTAATAATTGAATGAAACACGGAACACTAATCTCGATCTCAATCAACAGGAGTTTGATCTGGAAACCACCCCCACACTACGGTGCGTGAAACCAATCTGCGACAACCCGGGTTTTCCTTGCCTTGGAGAAACCAGACCTATTAGTCGCCTCCAAACTACCCAATACATCCATTCCCGGTTCCGGGTGAATTGTAACGCGCCTAGCTAACATTGCCATGCAGACCAACGCGTCCCAGGCTACATCAATGGTTATGTTCGACGTTTTTGGCAGGTATGAGCCCCCATTATCAGTAGAAAAATATCGAAATAAAGAAAGAAAAAACCGCTGCGAGTCTAGAGTGAGCCAAAGCTGACACTCGAGTGCATGGCGCTCTCTTTTCAGGCTAGGTAAGTGTTTCGGAAGGACTAATCCGGACACGACCGTCCACACCTTCGTATGGTTGATAAATCTTCTTTGGACTGACATCGCTGTTCTTTTTGCCGGACTTAGTACCGATCACCGCGGAACACCCGAACAGCCTGGTCGAGTGGTTACTGTGATTGAACGAGAATTCTGGGAAACATTGGATGACCCGGTAAACTATCTCTCTGTGCTCAGATGCGTATCAAGTGACTTTTCACATGACTCCAAACATGACTACTTTCAAGTCACAGACTAGAACCATGCAGCTAACCACTATTATATGCTAAAAAGCTCGCTCAATTGGAATCCGACTCTGAATCCACTGCCAAAGTGTGGGGCGCCGCATACCATATTCCGGCGTCACATGCGGAGGAAGTCCATGACTACCTCGATGAACGAGAGATAGATGGGTATAGTGCGCACTTCACCCCCTTCCACCCTGTCTCCGGGGAAGATCCGTCTACTAGCTCCATCTGTATGGTGTACATTGGTCAGCCCACCAACCCACAATTCCTACGGGAGCTTGCTCATCGTGAGCCGCAGCATGTGGCGCAGGTGATAAGTGGGGGACATGGACTTAGTGGCAAGAACACAGAGTATCTATTCTTGTTAGAGAAGGCGCTAGAAGGAATTGGACTGGGATCTGCAGATGTTCATGTCACTGATTTGGTCAAAAGAGTCAAGGCCATTGAGGCAGAGGGCGAAGGGGAGAGGGAAGAGAGGGAGGCAGCGGAGGAAGTAGAGCATTCTTTGGCTGCTCATGAGGAGGTTCAGAGTGGAGATAGTATTGAGTGAGTTGTTCCAAGGTTCATGTGGGTTCTCGGGTTTAAGGTACTTAGCTTCAAATCAATTGATGTTCCAAAAAGATTTGCTAGTGCCATACTAGACATGAATCATGATATATGCGGACTTCAGGATCCAATGTTCCAAGGCTACTAGTATACCTTGTGGTTACAAAGATTATTTTTGTGGGCCCGCACGATCGGGTTCTATTCAAATGTTTGCCGGTTTTGAAGCCTACAGGCTATAACTTAGCACGGTTACCCCCACTACACTCAATAGTATGTCCGACGGAACTCCAGATGTTTTGAACCGTTGAAGAGGGTGAAAAGGCTGAAAAGGCTGAAAAGGCTGAAAGTGATTCTCTCCTCGTACTAAAATCCCGTGGATGAGATTGACAAGCCTGGAGCCACACAACAAGATAGAACCGTTCGTGGCTACTAGTCACTAGTGCAATAACCTCTGGCTTTTTAATATTGAGTGATAGATCATATGAGTCAAGTGTCTTGGGAAGTCTTGGTGAAACCTTGACCTGGCAATTTTGGCACGCTCGACAAGACTTCATCTGTCATGTTCTCTCACACATGTGTGCATTCCTGGGCAAGACTTGTATTGGAAGTAGCGCATTACCAGAGGAAATACGTCGTGATCTCGTTGATTGTGAGCTACGTCTTTTCGTTTCACACCCAAAGTTTTTCCCAACAATCCCAAGATCTCGATATCAATAGGTAGTCGAGCATACCCACAAAACATGGACGTAAAGACATAAGAAGCCATATATAGGACATGATCAAAAGAAAATTACTGTCCCCCCAAAACTAGGTCTACCTGTGGAAGGCATGCCGCATAACCGCAAGCAGATATTAATCTGTTCATAACTTCATACCAATAAAAAGACAAGGAAATCATTGCATAAATCCACCAACTAGCTCCGTGCCGTACCGCATTGCATCAAACCTCATTTTCCGACGGACTTTGTTCAACCCATTTTGAAAAACAGTCGAAGAAGATTTTGCGTGTACCAAGAAAGACGACAATGGGGGGTATCGTTAAAGAATATGGAGCCTTAGTTGCCCTCGGGGCCGGGAGCTTGGTTGTTACGCCATCCTGTCAAGAACCGCGTTAATATCCCAGCGTACATGTAGTAGTTAGCACCTGAGAATCGAGCTTACCTGCACCACCACCGCCACCACCGCCTGTATTATATGTTCAAGTTAGATCCTTGTGTTTTCTGACAAAATCAAGACCGGAAAGATATCATAATCACCATAGCCGGGGTTATATCCAGCACCTCCACCGTAACCACCACCACCACCATTGCCGTATTGGTTATTGTAGCCACCGTATCCTCCACGGTTACCACCCTGCTGGTAGCCACCACCGGCACCTCCCTGATAGCCACCACCGGCACCGCTACCTTGGAATCCTCCACCGGGTGCACCACCGGGCTGCTGGTTGTAACCGCCGCGACCCTGGAAACCACCGTCCGGGCGGCTGGGTCGGTCAAATGCCTTATCGACACGAATGGTCCGACCGTCGAATCTGCAAAGAAATGTCAATTCAAGGTTACTCAAACATAAAACATGAAGTTAGGCTATGAGTCCTTCAGATACATACTCCACGTTATTCATCGCATTCATAGCCGCATCGGCCTCGGCATCAGTGGCAAAGCGAACAAAGCCAAATCCACGACTGCGCAATGTTGCGCGATCCTTGACCACGATCTGAAATGAAAGATATCAAGTAAGATTGAACGTTCCCTGAAAGGTACGAGCTGGGGTAGGACTGGCGGGTACTGACAGCTTCTTGGATCTCTCCAAATTGCTGGAATCCCTCACGAAGGGTATCATCATTCGTATGCCATGAAAGGCCGCTTTAAATTTCATATATAATGTGAGCTGGCTAGTCTAGACCCCCATGGTGAAGGAGAAGAAGAACAAAAGAAATAAGATTGAGAGAAAAAGAAACGGGAAGTAAAATGAGGCGAAAAGGTGGAACCAGAGGAAACATACTGCACGAAGAGCTTAGACATGATAGCCTTGCGAAACGTCGGCAAGAAGCCAACCAAAGAACTGAAGGGGAACTAGATTAGTCTAGAGAGAAAGAAGCGACTGGAGACGAGAAAAGAAAGGGATTGAAAGGGTTGTGCCCGGTGCAAAGTGGCAGGGAGATCCTAGTGGTTGGGAAACGAGTCAGCAGTCGAACCCGTGTAACAATCACACTGCCTTAGGGCTTTCAACATCCTTGAAAACTTCCAAGGTCTGGCACCAATAAAAATGAACAGAAGGTGCAACTCACTTATTACTTTGAATTTGGGTTTGCCGGGGGGGGGGATTTATTGCTTTTGTTTTGTTGCTTTTTCTTTGCTAGATTGGGGCCAGTAATAAGGAGTGATCGGACACAGAAAGAAAGATGACAGAATGAGGTGGGGGAGAGTGCGACTCAAACGTACTAGTGAATCAAGAGGAGCTGATGAGCGAGAAAGCAAAGGAGAATGAGAGAGAAGCACGGAGTAAGAGAGCGAGAGATAGCCCCCGCCAGCCTAGACCTCGAGAAAAATAAAATAAAAGGTGATTTGATTCGGGACCCGGCGGCCTCGTCTTCCATTTCCCGCTCCATCAATCAGATGTTACCCGAGGCTGGATCTTGAGGGATGAGGACACGCTAGCCAAAACGGCTGATTACCACTCCCAAATTTGATTCCGCCTCTTTGTCTCATCTGTGGATGTGATACGATCAAGGTCGGATCTACTTCCAACGGTTGGAAACATATAGTTACTCAAAACACAACATCCCGGGGATTGGGGGGACCAAAGAACGCGTGGTTCCACCACGAAGAACCCTGGGAGTGATTCACGGGCTTGGGTGGGGTTCTCCGGTGTCACCTACGTTAGTTTACTTAAGGACGGTACCTCACAGTTTTTCATGCAGTTGCGATGTGTATGAAAATCCAATGTTGTCCCGGCCCTTGTTCGGCTCAGTGCCCAGAAGGGTTTGGCCCCCAATTGGTGCCGCCTGCAGAAACCTTGGAGGGTACTAATCTGGCCTAGTTGAGCCTAGCCAGCTGCCAGCCAAGCCAATTGGAGCTCCACGACATTGATCATCAACATCCAATCCAAGCTGTACGTGGACCGTGGTGGAGGGGTAAAAGACCCACATGCCGCTTAGGCCGTAGGTCGGAAAGACTCCGAGAGATACGGAGTAAGGGAGATCAACACATGGATCAGCCTGAGATGGCTTGACAAGGCGTATTGAACCTTGAATACCTAGTATCTTCAGGGCTGAAGGTAGATTCAATTAGCCGACGGAGTTAGGGGAGTTAGGGCGAGGATAACACCGTTTGCTTTCCGAGTTGCCCCAGCTTGAGTGTAGTGCAAGCCCATTGTCCAAGATGGAAATCGAATTCACGAACGGATCATGCAAGCTCATGATTTATGACGATATTCTCACCTAGGCGAGTCCCAATCAGTGGGATCTGCAGTCAAAGTGGGCGGAGGGGCCTCAGGCTCCTGTGTACATATTTTGGAAGATTTCAAGGTTGAGGGATGACAACCTTGGAAAATCGACGGATAGAGACTTGGTTTTTCAAGGTTCTTTCAAGTATTGGGGAGTGGAGGGGCTATACTTCCTACATAGTTTTGCCCGTGAGGTGCGTGTACGTAGGTGCAGGGATCGTGACTTCCGTCTGACAAACATTGAATTGAATGTACCCGTGGATCTCAACAGTGGAAATTCAAATCTTAGAACCTTACTTTTTTCAATTGTTCAAATGCTGGCATTTACTGACAACGAGCTTGGAAAAATCTGGTTCTGCCCTGGGAGTTAGATGTCCTGCCATCTCTTATTGTATCACTGATCAATGGAGACTGATTGCACCTCAATACAACGATGGCTCGCAAAAGTTCCAGATTCATATCACACTCGCAATGCAACAAGTATAGTCCCAGAACCAATGCCACGCAACGGCCCATTTTTCAGCAGACTGCTGACATATGGAGCACAGTAGGCAATCGGAATCCACTTGACCTACTAGCTATTGATGATCCGTTGCCCACTGTGTCGGATAATGTTGACAATGCCCGTCAACACGCGCAAATGGAAGGTGCTTCACGGACGCAGGGCCAGATCTTACCCGGGAAACCCGACTCCAAAGCACACCGAGGATTCGACCGGATGCCGCGCCACAGGATCCGAGAAGATCGGTATGAGTACAAGGGTGCCGATAATAGCAAAACGCAGTCTGCATCACAAAACGGAAAAACGAAGAGAAGGCGAAGCAGAAAACACACGATGAACGATGTCTTCCATGCGGCCAATGTTGCTCGCGAGAGATTAACGGTAAGACTCGACTCTTGATGTTCCTTGAACACCTTTCTAACACTTGGACGAAGCTTCGCGGCAATCAAAATGTTGGTATTTTCAAAAAAGGCAAGGCATCATCTCCACTCAAGCTACACGATGGTAAGTTCAAACAGACTCTGAACATAACGCAAGACAGGAAAACTGAATATGGTTCAAAGCGCAGGATCTTGCATTCTCAGAGACATTGTTCCTAACAAAAAGACGACGAGATTCTCCAACCAATTCTCCACCCAGAGACAAGAAGCGGAAGATGGCTCACAAACCTGTAAAGAATGGAAAAAATCGACAGCAGAAGCGGCCTGAGTACATGTTTTCTGACCTTCCCAAGGAACAAGACCTTGAGGGCGACAACACAGAACAGCCTGTCTCCCGGGCTGATGAATCTTGTCCTCCGAATGAAGGAATTGAGATTCACAGAACCTGCTCCCTGGGCAGAAGCCAGGCCGTGAATTTTCAGAAAGGTCAAACAGATTTGAGGAGGCCAGATTCATCATTGAAAAATCCAATCGAAAGGGTCGCCAATGATTCCCAGTCCGCTACACCTTATACCTGGTCCATCACAAGTCGGGGGAAGTCCCAACGAGAGCATGCTTTGGAGGCTGAGCTGTTGAAAGTCCTTCTCGTGGGCCTTTACCCAGTCGATGGAGCTGCCCAGTGCACGAACTCAAAGCAAGATGTGCCGCGATACTACAATATTGATGAGTTGAGAAGTCTTCTCGAAAGTCGAAAAATGCACTGGACATCAGAGAATAATTCCCCTCGCCAGAATATGGCCCTTTCGCCGGCCATCTCCTTCCATCAAGATCGCATAATCAGGCCCAACAAGATCCATGAAAATATGTCAAGTGGATATATTTTTGATCCTAACTTGAAGTATGTCCAATCAAGCCATACGGGAGAAAGGGAATCGATACAGAAGGGGAATATCTTAGAGAGAGAACCAACTAAACCGGCCAGTCGGCCCCAGTGCGAAATGATCAACTTGATGTCACAGCCCAATCGGCTAGAGCGACCCTGCGACAAAATCTATGGTATCCAAGAGACATTAGAACGCCGATCAGATGATTTTTTTCCCAGCACTCTGGATGCAGCATTCCAGGCGATTGTGGACCCCAAACCCACAGCTGAGGTAGATGATTTGACAACCAGTGGAATACATCAGGCTTCACCAATCTTTGACTTGGAAGCCACCATGAAAATGGTCGATCCCAATGGCACAGAGATCTCAAATATTCCTTCGAGGGGCGCACTGCTACATTCCCACTCCGGGGTTGAGTCACTATATTCTCACTCATTTGCTGCTCATAGCCATCTCGATTCCATGAATTCGATCACACACCACGGGAGTGGTCGAGGTAACGCCATACAGCCTGAAATCCGACCCAGCAAGTTTATGGATGCCTCAAAGATGCAAAGACAGTTACTTATACATTCCACTAACATTTCTTATCCAAACGATGACCCCATTCCGCCTGGATTCTGGCGGCAAAATAAATTACATTAACATTGAATCTGCGATGAACAGACTCTTATGATTAGATGATCAATAATACCATGTATATCAACCGATTGGCGATGAAATTATGTCTCAATGTTTATTTTTGTTTACATGCCCATCCATGGATCGCAGGATGATCCATAGCCCTGGCATATGAGTTCTGTTATGTTCAGGTTAGCAATGGATATCGTTGAATTTCCAGGACGTACTATTTCCATTTGACCGTTTCTGATTAGCCCCGATGGCTAGCTTCAAATGTTGTCGCTGTAGAATTAAAAGGTGGTCATTGCTTGAGCGTGGGTGTGGCTGACTTGAGTGACACTCGGACTAAAGAAGTTGCGCGAGAGAAGGTCCGGTGCTGCGTAATTCTAGGCCCGGGGGCATATTTACATACGCGTAATCAGATTAGGAGCAGGTGATTGTTTGAATAGATATGTTTGGGTATAGAGCAATCTAGAGAGCAAGGCACTATTAACAGAAAATACCACGGGAAACTGATTTCTCGCGTCTATCCGATGCCTCAGTAGATGGCGTGCCAAACAAATAACCTAGCGTGGTTTTTTATCTGACCATCTGAATGAACAAAGGTCATTCTTTTCAACGCCAATAATGCGAGTACACAAAATAGAAAAACAAAGATAAAAGGAACGAGATAGAACAAAAGAAGATAAATGGGCGCTGTTATAGTGTTGCGGCGGCCTCGATAGCTCCGGCGGCTTTGAACATTCCCGGGCTCCGCATTACGAATTCAACCGGGTACTTCCATTGCATGAACCGTGTCCAGCCTATAAAGGATTCTTATTAGCGATAAAGTCCATCTTTGCATTACTCCATGTCTGCATTTCTTAGCAGGAATGAAACAACGTACTCCAGTATGCGCATTTCCGGCCCATGTATTTCCCAATAAATGGCACAAGCACCATGGTCAAAATCAGCTCTAATTGCTCGATGCTTTCCTGCCACTCTGCCTCAGCATCGGAGTAGTCGTCCGAGAGGGTTTCGAGGTCAGACTCAGTGGTTGATTCAGATGGCAATGAAGCGACCTCATCATCGGAGTCGTACAAGTGTTGGCTGGAGGGGATCATGTATGCAGACATGGAGAACGAGGGATTGGACGGAGGAGGAGAGGCGGACGACATTTTGGCGGATGTTGTGAGAGATGTGGAGAAGTGAAAGTTGGAATTGACGAAGAGCAGTGGCCTACCGACTGCCCTGTGATGATCAAAGCATTTGTCCCACGAGTAAGTTAGGCAGTGTTGATCCTGCTGTCGAGAGTTGTAGGTAGACGCCGCGGGTCTCACAACTATTACGTAACCAATTCAGGAGCATGCTGACTCATCGAGTTGTGGGGCTCTTGTTCGTGAATGTATCAGTATAGAAGAATTGGAAATGCGAGTCAAGTGAATTGGACAGAAATTGGGAAGAGTTGTACACATTGGTCAGTCTAAGCCTTGGAGGCATTGTGCTTTATACTACTAGTAGTGTAGTATAGACTAGTAATAGTCTATTTGACGTAGTATATTTAATGAGTCTTAGAAATACGATGTTTTGCCCTTACTATGCAGGTTCAGGCAAAAATCACCAATTAGTATCTTATCGAGTGTGAGTTCTTTCACCAGAATTTTCCTTGACCAAAGCTGACTTCTTTAAAATTGTATTGCAGTCATTTTATTGCTATGATCACTAGAGTTAAACAACTTCGAACTAGACTTCCACTCATGGATGTATACAATGCGCCTGCACGTGACTGAATCCATGAGTCAGGGTCACGTGCCGGTCCCGCGATAACAGACACTCGCCTCTCGCCGAATATTGAGATATCAGAGCCAGCATCAAATTCGTCATTGTCGACATCGTCATTCTCCGACCTCCACACAACTCCTACCCTTGTCGAAAATACCCTGGCGGTGAAGTGAAGTGAATTTTGCAACCACCCAGCATGGCGGACGCCGTATGTTACACCTGCTCTCTTTTTCATCGCACCCACATTTTCTTTCAAGTCTGCACAATACCCCTCGGTCAACACCCACGCTAGTCGCGCAAGCCACCTGCTTCCTAGCTGGACCCCGAGACTTTTTCCGCCCTAAAACTACTGATTCTATTGACTTTTTCCGCCTTGCTCTGTATTTTTTTTTCCATATCACTAATTTGTGGCGGGGCCCGAATAGGAACAGAAGCAGCGCAAGTCCGTTGCATTCAGCGAAGGATCGGTCATCATGGACACCAACGGCCAAGTCACAGAGTCTTCCGAGACTGAGAAGCCTGTCGGTACGATGCCATTCCTTCCTCCATTGAGGTTCCACCCGCTTGAACCCCGGACCCGCTAACGGATAGGTTTCAAAATTATAGACAAGGAAGTGGACGAGGTCACCGACATGTTCAAGGGTCTGGCAAAGAAGAAGAAGTCCAAGAAGTCCTCCAAGGAGACTGAGGGCGAGACTGAGGAGGCCCCCGCCGGCGACGCCGAGTTCGACCCCTCCGCCTTGAAAAAGAAGAAGAAGAAGTCGAGCTCCAAGAAGGCCGACGCTGGTGACTTCGAGGCCAAGCTTGCTGAGGCCGGTGTTTCCGAGGAAGCTGGTGAGCAGGCCGACGAGGAGGAAGTTGTCCCCGAGGGTGATCTTGAGGCCGGCACCGGTATCTGGGCCCACGATGCTACCCAAACCATCCCCTACTCTCTTCTCGTCTCTCGGTTCTTCTCCCTCATCCAGAGCCACCACCCCGACCTTCTGTCCAGCGGAACTAAGTCGTACAAGATTCCCCCGCCCCAGTGCTTGCGTGAGGGTAACCGTCGTACCGTCTTCGCCAACATTGCCGATATCTGCAAGCGCATGAAGCGATCCGACGACCACGTCATGCAGTTCCTGTTCGCTGAGTTGGGAACCAGCGGCAGTGTTGACGGTAGCCGTCGCCTGATCATTAAGGGTCGTTTCGTTCAGAGACAGATCGAGTCCGTTTTGAGGTCATATATCGGTAGGTTTCATTGCGCACCTCTTTTAGCTATCTTTTTTTTTTTTGGAAGATAGCGCCATAACCGTTTGTTTCGCAATTCTAACAAATTTACAGTGGAGTACGTCACTTGCAAGACCTGCCGCAGCCCTGACACCGAGCTCAACAAGGGTGAGAACCGTCTGTACTTTATTACCTGCAACTCCTGTGGTTCTCGTCGTTCCGTTGCCGCTATCAAGACTGGTTTCCGTGGACAAGTCGGCCGCCGAAAGCGTACCGGTTAAGCGCGATAAGGACTGGATTTGGCATTTGTGGGGGAGGCAGTTTGTTACTGTCTCTCCTTTATGGCGTGTCATGTACTGGGATCGGTGGATGGTGAAAATGAGACCCCAGCATTGTATCTTTACATCGCTAGGGGTTTGAGATGAGGAAACGATTTGAAGGATAGAAATATTTCGCCATGAAATGGATTGATATGACCACTTACTTTCAAGCATTTATTGACTAGAGCACTCGGCTCTTTTATTTCATCGCTTACTGGGGTGCCAAAAGCTGTTTCATCTTTTACATTGTTCGCCTAGCCTAGGTCTTCTTTTGCGCCTGGTTTCAAACTATGATTTTACTCTGTTCCATCTTGAAGTTTACCCTCTAACAGCCCTGTATATGAAAAATGCAGCGGATCACTAGTAGTTCCAAATCCTCCTTTGCAAATATGAGGACAGTTCTGCTGATCACATCGATTACCCGCTACATATGTATTGATGCTGCAATCAATCTCGAGCTGCCATTACCTGGAGGTGGAAGATTTTACGCACGTAAATTTATGCCTGAGTCTCCACCTGGGTAGTGTTCCAAGCACCAGTTGACTGTTCAAAAGGATGTATGGATCCATCAGCATGCGAGGGCTATGCCTATAATACTATATAACATGAGTTGATGGCCATGAGAAGTACCTGACAAAAAATACCTTGGCTTTCATGACAGCTATAGAGCTCGAGTGCTATGATAGGGAATAAGTATCACCAAAAGAATGTAAACAAGAACGCGAGAACAAATTGATAACAATCTTACACCCCACCCATCACAGATTCAACACACAGATTTAACCACTAGCTGTGCTCATCTTCATCTGCATGCCAAACACGTTCAAATTTCTCGTCTGGAAGTAAACAGTCCCGGGTCCCTTGAACTTGCAAGCAAGACCTTCAGCAGAAGAGAAAGCAGATATCAATCCACCGGATGCAACGCGCTCGAGCGTATAATCGCAGTTCCATGCGACGAGGTAACCATTATCAATAAAGTATTTCTCGCCCTCCACAAGCTAAAACAACCCGATTGGTTAGCAAAGGACCAAACTTCGAAAAGAAAAAAAACATCACCAAGATATAACTCGGGATTAAGGTATATAGTAGATCGTGACGTACCTCCTTCTTGATGATCGCGCCGAAACTCTGGATCCACAAGAGCCCAGACCCGGTGATTTTGTACACGAACAATCCCTCTCCGGAGAACATTGCCTTTGTCAGACCCTGGGTTACATATTCGTGGCTGACAGCGGATGAATGCGCCAGAAAAGCGTCTCTGCCAATCATCCATTCTGTATCCTTACGGACGGGAAGCACCATCAGATCTCCCAGTACGGAGGGTGCGAGTAGAAGTTCTCCTGGTCCTGTATAGGTCGACATGCCCATATGGCCTTTGGCAATGAGCTTCTTCATGGTGAAGTGGAATTCACCCCGGAGAGTGATTGTCGGCGACATTGCCAACATAGCACCTATCAAGGTCGAAATAAAACTCCTGTTAGTTTTCACCGCCCCCCAAGCTTTCAAACATGAATGAATTGCAGTTTAGATTATCTGGGGATCTTACCTGGCTTGACAATCAATGGAGCACCCATGGCCAACTGGATCGTCAAGAGGGAGTTCGAATCACGATGACTGATTCTATAGCTCCCTCCATTAAACGTGCCGGTATTATCGTCGTGGGTTGCGACAGCTCCTTTGAAATCTCCGTACGCGGGCGCTCCACCCGGGATCTTCTCCATTCGACCCGTGTTCACGGAAGAGGACTGAGAGATGGGTCTACTGATATTTGGGGCCGCGGGTTGCTGGAACGCAGCTGCGGGCTGTTGGTTATAGATAGGTGGCTTTTCATGCGGGTACTGGCTCTCCAGTGGCGGGCTCTGAACTGGAGGGCTGACGGACGGGGGCGGTCCCGGATACACATTATTTGCTTGTTGGGCCTGAGGCGGGGGAGGATAGCTAAAGTTGTTCGGGGGCGCATGGGCTTGTGAAGCAGGCGATGGTTGCGATGGTGGGGGAGAGACCTGAGGAGGCGGAGGGTATGCTTGTGGTGGGAAATTGAACGCTATATACTTCGGTCAGACACGTCCAATCCTCGGTTTTCCGGTGGGGGGGTTTTTTTTACTTGTCTGGTGAGCCGGCGCTGTGCGGGTAGTTATTAGCACTGTAAATGAGTATTTGTAATTTTCTATGCAACTACTTACCAGACATCGGCGGAGGGGGATAGTGGGTTTGTGGTTGCGGCATTTTCTTGTTTAAGAAAGATGGCATGGGTCCATGCAAAGGTTGAAGGTCAATTAACCTTGAGATGTGAGTAGATGATCTCTGCTACTACCTATCAAGCAATTAGACATGATAATTTCTCATGATCCATACTGGACATACAAATCCGCTTTGTGATGTTGCTGCGGGGTAACCAAATTTAGAAGATGCAAGTTGTAGTTCGACCGAGTGTGGCTGATCTACAGCAACAAATGCAGTTGTAATTTCAAGTTGCGACGATGATCGAAAAGGACGGACAATTTCAACAGCAGTTGAGGGCCTGCTCAAAATGCATGTAAAGAAGAACTTTGCAAACGGAAAAAAAAAGAAAAAGAAAAAGAAACACACACTTCTGGCTGAACCTGAACCTCGGGGAGCTTCAGGCCTATTATTAGGTGTGGTTCGAAGGGATTGGAAGCGATGAAGAGCCTTTTAGATTACTCCGTGGTAGCTCTCGAATCACACTTGACTACTGCATAATCATCCCACCTGGGCGCTTACAAGGACCAACTGAGCAATGTGATGGGCTACTGGGGTGCAGTAGTAAAGTGGATCCTCAAGCGTGATTGGCAGCTCCACGAATGCGCCAACAAGCCAAGCTAAATACGGAAGTCAAAAGTGGGACACGAAAGGCTCAACGGGGATGGATGTGATTGTTTTACCGCTCGGACGGACTAGACTCACTAGTAGAGTATCACCAATGCCTCCAAGTCTCCAAAATATAGCAGTCTTTGACTCTTGATATTCATGCAAGTTTGGCCAAGTTATAGTGCCTTGAGAATCAGGAGTCCAAATTGAATCTCGTGGCCTCAGGCCAGAGTCCTCAGTCCACTTTCGACAAACATAACGCTTGGGCCCTGGCGCTTGGCTATACTCCGTAACTTGTAAGTTTATTAGCATAACAATGCATGACATTACATCCCAAAACATTGAAGCGATCTCCAACCAGTCTGGAATCGAGACATCGTTAACGATTGGGCGGATATTGAGGGAATGTCTGGGTTTTTTTTCCTTTGAAATGCCCCCTCTCCCCTCGAACTTCGCTATCCCAGCCTATATCGCACCCGGCAACCATTCTGCAACCTGGTGCCGTAGGTGTGTGAACGACATTCTGAATGGAACGATATGTGTGCCTTCTATGAGGAACCCAAACCAATGTGCTCGGTGTGCGAATAGCGGCCACCAGTGTATAATGGTTGATTCTCGTCTGGATAAATTTGCCGATCCTGCGATTGCAGCGCTGCTTGCGGGTGCTCCGGTTGATGTGTTAAGTCCCTGGGTGACAGCCTTTTGAGGACAGAGAAACCTTCTGACTGCTGCGATAACTACCCGCACTCAACCTGCGGATAGTCCTCCACGTCCCGGTCCTCCTGTGCCAGCTCAGATTGCGATGGCTCCTTTATTTTTTATTTCTGATGTTCAGATTCATGCTATCGAGGGCATTTAAATCCTCATTACCACCATCCAGGCTCCTCATGAGCTAGATCTATCTATAGGCTTGAAAATAGGTTGAAGAAGTAATTTTTTATCTGTTCTTTTCATAAAAACATCAATGTTATACGAAGAACGTGGATAGAATCCAAGATATTAAAAAATATTAATCTGACAGAAGTGGGAGTCGAACTCGGGTTGAATCGATTTCCCTATCTACTGTCGTATGTCTGAATGGCGTCAGTTACTACATCAATCGAGATATCAACCCTCTCAAATTTCCCTATTTTACCATTCTACACAGTCCAACTGAGCGCTCAAAACAGAACATTTCATTCTACCACTGAAAACTAAATAAAATTGACAAATATCTAGCCCAGAGGGGCCTCTCTGCTCGTAGCGCCTGTGGTACAAGGAGGGAGGTCTGCTACTGGGCAATGTTCCCCGGTGTAACCGACACCCGTCTCTCAAGTCCAAACGGCTAACTCTGAGAAGACCACTTGGGTGATATGGCACCTGGGGAGGGCTTTGCCACTCGACCGTACAGCCGGTTGTTGAAAGGACACCTAAATTCTTTCTCTCAACCCAACATTCAGTGACTTTGTTAGCATCCTCTTTAGGCTCTGCTCCGAGATCCAAGCCTCGGCCGTTGCTTTATGAGGCATTGCATGCTCTCCATTTGAAGACATCATCCTTTGGTAATTATTTGGTGTCAGGTTTACATAGTGAAGTCAAAATTGAAGTTGTAGCAAGAAACAAATGCCTTCTTCTTCCTGTTTCCAGCGAGCGAACTGAATTTGGAACGCTAGTAGAAACTTGAATCTTAGATACAAAAGCCCTATGTAGTTGGATATAATTCTGGCCTTGGGAGAAAGCGAGCCAATTGCTAATAAGAAGAGAAAAAAAAAGCCATTTGCCTAAACTAGTAGTTAATCCATAATCCGCCAACGCCTTTCAATGATTCAAGGGGATAATTTGAAGCCATGAGAAGATTCCCAGCAATGTTAAATGAGATCGGCATCACAGGCCCATTTGAATAGACTCGCAAGCTTAGAAGATGCTGTTCACGATGTTGGATCCAACAGTAGCACCGGCACCAAAGATTGCTGATGAAAGTTAGCCCATAAAGTGTCTTAAAAAATCCAGGCATATAAATACTAGTAACATACCAGCATTACCCAGCTTCTTGCCAAATTTCTTGCCTCCTTGCTCAAATTTGCTCTTCTGGTTCGGGTCGTTGGACTCAGGAGCTGAAGGTCCCCCCTGACTAACGTCCAAAGGCATGTTTCCATAGTTGGTAGGTGGGGGAACTGCACCTCCCTTTTCTGGGATAACATTTACGTAGCTGCGAGGGAAGATGCCCTCCATACCAGTGCGCTCGTTGCGACCACGCCACCCTGTAGTATAAACATTAGCACGCAAGACCTTGGAACCCACCCCCATCTGCCTCGGATCAAACGTACAGTCATCATTCATATGCTCGATAACCTGGATACGATCATGGGGTTGCAATGCAAGATCGCCGGCATCGGTAGGTGTGTATGCATACAAGGCCTCGGCGAGAGACCGAATCGGGGGCACTTGAGGGTATGCGGGCGGGGCCATCTGAGGAGGCGGGGACGCATATTGGTTGTGCATCTGGGCTTTCTCGTTCAAGGAGACATTTTGCATTTGGGGAACAGGAGGATCGTAGGGTGCCGGGGCAGGCTGGGCCTGGACGGGTTCCGGTAGGGGTGATGGTGTGGATGTCACCGGTGTGATCTGTCGTCGGGGCGCGGAGCGAGCATCGGACTCGTCGGGAAGTTGTGAGAGGATGGAGTTGAGCTGTTGGCGGGAGATCACGGAGGAGTCTGCTAGGAATTCCAGCTCCTGGATTGTGAATGTGTCAGTGGGCCATGCGGGCTTTCCAAGTTCAGGTACTTCAAACTTGTGGGGAACAACATACGGTGCGGACCATGCGGAGCGACCGGGTGGTCATGGCCGAGGCGAAGTCGTTTGCCATGACGGATGCGAGCGAATCGCTTCGGTTTAAGATGTAGGCTGGAGGAATATATAGCCGCTGGAGAGTATGAGAGATGAGGAAAAGTGAGGTATGTAGTATTGGTATTGGTTGTGAGAGAGAGAACTGAAGAAATAGTGAAGCTGCCAAGTGGGTGTCTCATCTGCCTGGCGGGCCAAGACTTCAGGAACCCCAGGGGTAATCTTTCTTCAACGAGGTTATGTTGTTTTGAGATCAGCTTAATTAAATGCTTGCAGAAAAAAAACCCCCCCATTCAATTGATAAATAATTCACAAAATTATAATTTGCGTTGTGGCTGGAAGCATAATCATTCATGTCAACTTGAAGGCTTCTGCCGAAGCATTCAGGGCTTTCGGCCCGTTACAGATCCAATTCCAACCTTCTTCCATTCGATAAGAATTTATACGAGGATTGAAGAGAGAGAAAGCGAAGGCCTCAGAGAACGACTTAGGCTTACTCTTCCTGATTATAAGCCCGAGTATACTTTATCAATCCCTATAATTCTGTTCTCTGGCAGTCAGTGAACTACTTGGTTATTCTATTACATCGGCATGGTTCTGTTCAACCGTAGCACCCAACGCGGTCTTCCCGTCAGTTCGAATTGAGGCATCCGCATTCATTTCCAATACGATTCTCACGACTGTTACGTGTCCTCCCATGGAAAATAATATAAGAGCGGTCATGTTTCCTTTCGCTGCGATGTTGACATCCGCATGCTTGGAAATTAGCATCTCCACCACTTCGCTAATTTTCCGCGTCAGCAGCATGAATTAGTGGCGTACAGCCATTTTCATTCCTAGCATTCATGTCGGCTTCGAGTGGTAGTACCTTCCTTCAAGCCCAAGGTCCACAGTATTGTGCTAAAACTATTTCTCTGTGTTTTCGGCATCCGTCGTGATATATTTCAATCAAGTTTCAATCGCTTCTTTCAAGTTCTCCTCAAATTCTTTCAGATCTGGCACCCCAGTTCCTATGCTCACCAGGCACTGGATCCGGCCAGCAGTGACTGCATCCGGCCAAATTGATATTGCTTCCGCTGACACATGTTTGACAGGATTGTTGGAGCCCGTTTTGTGAAGCTGGTACAAGAGAATTGGCAAAGACAAAACATGAGAATATTTGAGTATTTTTCACACATACATATGGAGGTTCCCGTGATGTAGAATGTGTTGCGATCTGTATTTATATAAAGACATTTTGAGGCTGAGCCTTGTACTCTGCTTCCGAGGTGGGGTAGGTCGGGGTCCGTAAGAGGAAAGGAGAGATTGTGCCTTGGCCCTCAAGTGCTTTACAGTATATAGGAAAAAAAATATCACTAGGAGTCGTCATGAGTCAATTAACTAAGTACTAACTTGATTCAGTGATAGCGATATATCAATGTGCGGTGAGATCAAAAGCCCCAACACCGAAAGAGCTGCTATGACATCAAGTGGGTCGAATACATCATTGCAGATTCGCAACTCATAGATCTCATCAATGAATTTTCTAAGAGAATGTTAGTAGATAGACAATTGCAGTAGCTCCTTGTAGAAATTTTAAGCCCATTGGGCTCAATACTGTGAGTTATATACCATATGAGGCCCAAGCGACATGGGAGAACAGTTCGTGTCTGGCAATCCGAAAGATGGTGATGGTGGCAACATCATCGTGCCACTCAAATGATGTAGCCTCATCTTTATAGCCCAACCACACATACGAAAAAAAAAAACACTGGCAGGGAATGCGATGGCAATTGGCAAATGTTCCTGCCAAATCCTCTCCAATCTAGATTCCATAGCGGAGTTTAGATGCATAACAAAAGAACAAAACCCGCGACAATAACCCCCACTATACCCGAAAGGGCTTAGCGCGTGACTCCCCTCTCTCCCACTCTCGAGAAGCTTCTGTGCAGTATAAATCCCATTCTCACCCAACCTCACGCGATCCTCCGTCATAATCCACCCTTACACCCTCCACAACCACTCAAAACCACACCTACCTTCTTAAAAAAAACCACCTCTACAACAGCCAAAATGGATGACTGGACCAGCACCACCAAGATCGGCAGCAAGCACCGTGGCGCCGGTATGGCTCCCCGTGAGACTGTCGTCAAGGGCAAGAGTGCCCTGAACGCTGCCCAGCGCCAGGGCGGTGTCCTCGCTACCGAGAAGAAGTACACCACCGGAAACATCGTATGTCCGCAAACCACACCCGAATTCTTTTATTTCCAAACCCCCTACCCCCCAGATACAATACACATGATCACTAACCCGAAATCGCACAACAGTCCGCTAAGTCCGGTGCCCCCGAAGGCCAGCACCTCACAAAGGTTGACCGCAGCGACGACATCATCAAGCCCAAGACCGTCGGCTTGGATGTAGCAGACGCCATCAAGAAGCGCCGTACCGACGAGGGCTACAAGATGACCCAGAAGGAGCTCGCCACCAAGTGCAACACCACCGTCACCATCATCCAGGACTTTGAGCGTGGATCCGCCACCCCGGATCAGAAGGTGCTCTCTGCCATGGAGCGCGTGCTAAACGTTAAGCTCCGTGGTAGTGATATCGGTAAAGAAAAGTTCCCCAAGAAGAAATAAGCGGGACGAGACGAGAACAAAAAATCATACGTTTTCCGTTTCTGCATTTGCCCTTTTCTTGCCTGTTTTTTTCTCTTTCTTTGTGATGAATGTCATGTCTTTTCCCTTCTTCTCCTGAGATGATGTCTACTTTTTACCTCTTTTTGGGGGGTCTCTTTTCTGCTGGTCGGATTAGCGCTGGCCTGCATGGAATGGGCTTTAGAGAAAATTCGGATAAAAATGTATAAATGAGATACCTCAATGCTTTCTGCCCTGGCTGTGTTTTTATCCATGTCTATTTGGAGCCCTGGCTGGAACTGTTCAAAACAAAAAAAGGGCATAATCACTTGGTTCAAAGTTCGTACCTATTATCAAATTTGATACTAGTACATTTAGTGTAGGTTGTGTAAAATGGAGTATCTCGGGGTCTATATCGATCAATCCTTCAAAGGAACATTGAAGATCCAACTTTGAATCTTTCATCCATGATTCCAAGGTTAGAACCTTGAAATCAACCCTCAGTGTAAGATTGGAAACTTTCTTGAACTTCGGAAGTACTTGATATGAACATATTGAAATTTTGCAAGGCTTCTGGATTGTCTATTTTGTCATGTGTACGCTCCCAGCTGGAAGTTCGAGCTCGTGTTACGTCACACGGTTCTCTCCAGCAAGAAAAGACATATAACTCGAGAACTGAAAATGTGAAGTATGCCGTCTTTTATTAAACAGAAAACTTGGAAAAGCAAAAGGGTACCAACTCCGGTTGATCATGTAGGAATCAAGAAATGAGAAAACCGGGCCTCGAAAGGTCATCATCTCATTTCGTATGCCGGACTCGAGAGGGAAAAATTAAAAACATACGTCCCGAGTCTAGTTCGCATCGTAAACACATACATACACACAACTCTGCTCGACTCGAATCACCTAAACTTTTTTTGGATAGCGTAGGAATTCAACCCCTTACTTCCGCAGTTGCTCACGCTCGACCTCGTACATGAAGTCGAAGTAGCCCTTATCGAAGTGGTGAATACGGACGTAACCGTCCTCACCACCGGAGGCGTATGAAGTACCGGCGGGGTGGACGTCGATGGTGTTAAGGGGACCGAAGTGACCACGGACACGGCCGATCTCGTCTTCGAAAACCTTGTGGTAGAAGCGGGCTTCGAATTTACCCTGGCGGGCAGAGGTGGTGGTGACATCCATAGCGGCCTGACCACCACCGAGAATCACGTAATCCTTCTTGTTGGTGATGGAGGCGGAGTTAAGGGGAGTGTCGGCGGGGTAGGTCTTGAGGATAGCGAGGCTGCGAGCGGAGATGAGCTGGAAAACAGGTTAATTAGGTCCATCGGTTTTCGAATCTAGTAGTTGGTATTGCCTACCTTGGCAGTCTTGTCTTTGGAGGCGGTGATGAAGTGGGTGCGGTCAGCGGAAAATTGAATATCGTTGATCTGGTGGTCGAACTCGTGAACCTGGACGTTCTCCAACTGATCACCGGTCTGTGAACAAGAGATTATGAGTATTCAGTCGCCAGCATTGTACTTCAAAGCAGTATCTTGGCGGCCATACCTTGGGGTCATATTGGCTAACGCTACCATCCTCGTGTGCAGCAATAATGTACTTGGCCATGTAGCTCCATCCGGCAACGGTGGCCTTGCTCTCAGAGCAGGTAATGCGCAAGTGTGGCTCATCAGCCTGCACATCCAAGTTGTTGCCCTCGCCATCGCCGTAGGCAATATCGAGAACAGCGATCGAACCGAGGAAACCCATACGCTTCTCCGTCACTGCCAGCAGCTTGCTTCCATCCGGGGAGAATGCCACGCGCTTTACGGCTGTAGGGAACTCCCACACCTTGATGCAATCGCCAGTCTTGATGTTCCATAGCCGCACGGTGTTGTCGGCAGATCCAGTCGCAAGGATCACGGTGTTGGGGCTCACGTCGACAGTCCAGATAGCACCCTGGTGGCCAGCGTACGTTCCGAGGCGCTCGCCGTTGGCGGTCCACCACGCGCACACGTTCTTATCCTTTGAAACTGAGAAGAGGAGGTCGCCATCCTTGTTGTAACGAATCTGGTTAAGGGAACGCTCCTATAAGTCGATTACGGTTAGTTTTCACTGTGGACCCAAGCTTTGGGAAAGAATCATACGCACATGTCCCGACAGCAAAATAGGTCTCATCTTGGCGGATGCGACAGAGAAAGGACCGGAGATGTAAGCACTGAGCTGATCGTCTCAGTGAAGTGGGTGTAAGGCGGGTATATCGGAGGAGGGGGGTCAATCTCGTCAACCGTCACTTTCTTTCACTAGTGAATTTCATCGCACACTCCTCCAGTGCCAAGCCTGACAAACCGTATCGAATCGCGGTTTTCCGGCAGAACTATTTCTCCGGTATCTACACGTGATGCGCTACTTCTCAGCCCTAAGCCCTATGCGGCCTAATCTGGAACGCCATTCATCCGGAAAATCTACTTTAAGTCATTCGGAACAACTACCATTCCCTTTACGGAATAACTAGCTATTAACACTCCTCCTCATTGGCTTATGACTCATCATTCTTCACCTGCCGTGAATGCCTCAGGCACTCAGTTCCCGTGCAACTTAGTGCTCTCCCTTTCGGATCCCGAAGTATCACAGCAACGAGAAAGGGAATTGCAGGAGAGACTGTGTGAGGGGGGAAGAAAATACTACATCTGAGGACACATAAACTCTAGATAAAATCATTGCTGATTCCTGAGTTTTTTTCTCCTATCCATAAGGGTGAAATGTTAAGCTTCCCCGTGATCCCGAACCGATAAGCAGCTCCGAGGGTTCTCCCCCCTAAGCAATAATATTCATGCTGTTCCCCGCTGTACCCCGCGGTCTTCCCTCCCTCCAAGCGCGAGCGACTAATAATTTTTATCTCCGCACCGCTTCGTGCTTGTCTTCATTTCATACCATCTCCTCTGCTAGAGGAGCTCGAGGTTCTGTCTTGTCAAGCTTTACGGCTCCGTCCCCGGTCTCCGTTGCTTTTTTAAACCCGCCGGCTGCTTCAAATCGCACCTTCTGCAGCTCCGCAACTATGGCTGCTAAGATCGATGGTACGGCGATTGCCAAGAGCATTCGCTCGGGCCTCAAGTCTGAGATTGAGCAGACTCAGATCACGAACCCCCGATTCAAGCCCAACTTGATCATTTTTCAAGGTAAAATATCTTCCTTGACTTCCCCGCGGGAAACTAGAAGCATGTGATTGACTAACACCACTTTTGTCATATACAGTCGGTAACCGATCGGACTCCAGTTAGTTTTCAGTCCTAAGCCATCAATGTGAATAAAGGTATAGAGCTAACTGAAGTACAGGCACTTATGTGCGTATGAAGCTGAAGGCCGCCCAAGAGGTACATCTAATCCAATGCCCGGAAAACCGAGATAAGGATGACAGCTGACCCCACTCATAGGCCAACATCCTGTGCACTCTGATCAATGTCCCTGAGACCAGCACCGAGCTGGAGCTCCTCCAGGAGATCACCAAGGCCAACAATGACCCCGCCGTTCACGGTATCCTGGTCCAATTGCCCCTCCCAGACCACATGTCCGAGCACACCATCACCTCTGCTGTCTCCGACGAGAAGGATGTGGATGGATTCGGTGCCGTCAACATTGGTGAGCTTGCCAAGCGTGGTGGCCGCCCAAATTTCACCCCGTGCACTCCTCTTGCCGTGATGGAGCTGCTGAAGGCCAGTGGAGTGGACCCCTCGGGTAAGCAAGCTGTGGTTCTGGGACGTAGCGACATTGTTGGCAGCCCCGTCAGCTTCCTGCTCCGCAACGCCCATGCCACCGTAACGGTTTGTCATTCCAAGAGTGCCGACATCCCCAATATTGTGAAGAATGCCGACATTGTCGTCGCCGCCATTGGAAAGGCCGAATTTGTTAAGGGAGAGTGGTTGAAGCCAGGTGCCGTTGTTATTGATGTCGGTATCAACTACAAGCCTGATGCGACTAAGAAGTCTGGTGAGCGTCTCGTTGGAGATGTCGACTTTGAGTCTGCCTCCCAGGTGGCTTCGCAAATCACCCCGGTCCCTGGCGGTGTTGGCCCCATGACTGTTGCCATGTTGCTGAAGAACGTCGTCCACGCTGCCAAGACATACTTCGAGAAGCAAAAGGATCGCCGCATCACTCCCCTGCCTATTCGTCTACAGAGCCCCGTTCCCTCAGATATCGCCATTTCCCGTGCCCAATACCCCAAGCCCATTACACAGGTCGCTGCCGAGGTTGGCATTGCCCCCCACGAGCTGGAGCAATATGGTCACACCAAGGCAAAGGTTGGGCTTGAGGTTTTGGATCGTCTCTCCCACCGTCGCAATGGACGTTACATTCTGGTTGCCGGTATCACTCCCACTCCTCTGGGTGAGGGCAAGTCGACCACTACCCTTGGTCTTACCCAAGCTCTGGGAGCTCACCTGAACCGCATCACTTTCGCCAATGTCCGTCAGCCCAGCCAAGGCCCGACCTTCGGTATCAAGGGTGGCGCCGCTGGAGGTGGTTACAGTCAGGTCATTCCCATGGATGAATTCAACCTACACTTGACGGGTGATATTCACGCTATTACTGCGGCTAACAATCTTCTGGCTGCCGCCATCGAGACCCGTATGTTCCATGAATCTACCCAGAAGGATGGCCCTCTCTACAAGCGTCTAGTGCCCGCCAAGGGTGACAAGCGCGAGTTCAAGCCAATCATGTTCCGTCGCCTGAAGAAGCTGGGTATCGAAAAGACCAACCCAGATGATCTCACCGAGGACGAGATCCGCCGTTTCGCGCGTCTGGATATCGACCCTGAGACTATCACCTGGCGTCGTGTCCTTGATGTCAACGATCGTCACCTTCGTGGCATCACCGTTGGCACAGCCCCCACCGAAAAGGGTCTCTCCCGTGAGACTGGCTTCGATATTTCCGTCGCCAGTGAATGCATGGCCATTCTCGCCCTGAGCAACAGCCTGGAGGACATGCGTGAGCGCTTGGGTCGTATGGTGGTTGCTACCTCCAGGTCTGGTGACCCCGTCACTTGTGACGATATTGGTGCCGGTGGTGCTCTTGCTGCTTTGATGAAGGATGCCATTAAGCCCAACCTCATGCAGAGCTTGGAGGGAACTCCCGTTTTGGTTCACGCTGGTCCTTTCGCCAATATCAGTATTGGTGCTAGCTCCGTCATTGCTGATAAGCTGGCTTTGAAGTTGGCCGGAACTGAGCCTGACGAGGATCACGATGACAAGACTGGTTTCGTGGTGACTGAAGCTGGCTTTGATTTCACCATGGGCGGTGAGCGTTTCTTCAACATCAAGTGCCGGTCATCAGGTCTTTCTCCCGATACCGTGGTCATTGTGGCCACTGTTCGCGCCCTGAAGGTGCACGGAGGTGGCCCCGAAATCAAGCCCGGTGCTCCTCTTCCCGAGGTCTACCGTACCGAGAATGTTGATGTCCTTCGCAAGGGTTGCATTAACCTTCGCAAGCACATTTCCAATGCCCGCCAGTACGGTGTGCCAGTTGTTGTTGCCATTAACAAGTTTGACACCGACACCGAGGCTGAAATCGCTGTCATTCGGGAGGAGGCCATTGCAGCGGGTGCTGAGGACGCCATCCCCGCCAACCACTGGGCCGAGGGTGGAGCCGGTGCCGTTGACCTGGCCAAGGGTGTTCTGGCTGCCAGCTCCAAGCCCAAGGACTTCAAGTTGCTGTATGATCTCAATGGCAGCATTCATGAACGTATTGAGCGCATCGGTCAGGCCATGTATGGTGCTGATAAGGTGGAGTTCAGCGAGCTGGCCCAGAAGAAGGTTGACACCTACACTCAGCAAGGATTCGGCAACCTGCCGATCTGTATTGCCAAGACGCAATACTCTCTTAGTCACGATCCTGCCTTGAAGGGTGCCCCCACTGGATTCACTGTGCCAATTCGGGATGTCAGACTTGCCGTGGGCGCTGGATACCTGTAAGTTTTTTTTTTTTTTTTTTTTCTTCTTCTTTTTCCTTCCCCTTGATTTTTTGACGCATATACTAATTCCAACTCACAGCTACGCTCTGGCTGCCGACATCCAGACTATTCCTGGTCTGCCTACTGCACCTGGCTACCTTAATGTCGACATTGACCCCGAGACTGGTGAGGTCGACGGTCTGTTCTAGATCTTGCGTGCATGAAACTTTGTTTTAGGGTTCGGGGTGGATAGACAAAGGATGTATATACCCGTGTATGGAGCACGGATCGGAACTTTTTTTCAACACATACCATGCTTATTGGAAGGACGTGATTAATCGGGCGTCTGACGGGAGAAGGTATATTTAGAGCGGAGAGTATTTTCAACACCAACTTTAGCAGATAAATGTCATTTTCAATGCGATGAAGTTATGAAACCTTGCATATTGTGATTTTTGAAAGCTGTAGACATGAATCTCCAACTAGGTACGTAGAATCGAACATGGCCAAGTCAAACATTCAATGTTCCTTTCAATATCGCCATGTGAAGTCCTCGTCATTTGTAGATCGTGCTATTCGGCTGATCGTTTCCCGGGTGTTGGTGGATCCTTCTCCTTCCTCGGTGAGCGCGGAGTATGCTCCGATCTCCGGAAAACGCTACGTTTTGACTTCTTCCCCCCCAACCGCATTGCGGGTCAGTGGATAGAGCTTTAAGCCCGGTGACTCGATCAATGGAACATCAAAAGGGTTTAGGACCAAGGGATTTAAGATCAAAGAAGCCCAAAAAACCCATTCTTTCACTTTCACCTTGCTTCTCTCCTTTGAAATCCCATATCGGATATACATTCAAGTTTATCACTGTAAAAAGGTAAGTCTCGTGACTGTCCGGCTTCGGCGCTTCCTTGTAGCGGCAAACGGTTAGATGAGGAGAACATATTGGCTCATCCAATCTTGTTCCTTGCAGCAGAGTTTCTCTCCCGGACAAGGCTTTTTCCTTTTTTCCCCTTCGACCTTTACCATCACTCTCTACTCTTGTTCGGTAATTCCCCCAGTTCTCATTTGCCTTGTTGGACCCAACTTATCCAGTTACCCGGTCCCTCTCCCGTTTTTCCCCGGCCTTTTGCTCCCCCAGAATATTGTTTTCGGCAAGTCTGGCTGGTGACGTTGCGATCGGGCATAGGACACTTCCGACCCCACTGGCCGCATTTCCCTTCTGCCGAATATCGTTCCCTCGGTTGTTAGACACGGCGAACCCGCAGAACTGCCCCATCTTTGCCTCCGAACCAAACAGAAAGTGAGAAAGTCGCGCTGACGCTTTTCCGATCATAGGCCCCAATTGCCTGTTAGATTCCCACACCATGAACGCCATTCGGTCTGGTTCCGCTTTCGCGCGCCGGTCCCTTGCGACCCCTCCTCCCATTGCCCCTCTCTCTTCTTCTTCTCGTCTTCTCTCTTCCTCTTTTACTTCCTTCTCTTCTTCCCAGAGATCTCTTTCTTCTGCCTCCCTCCCTCGCACTCAAAGAATTTCTGCGTCTTCCCGCTGGACCGGATCGACTCCTTCGTTGTACCTTACTCAAACCCGCACTATGGCTTCCGAAAGCAAGATCAAGGTCGTGAACCCGGTGGTGGAGCTGGATGGTGATGAGGTATGGAGCGAATCCCTTCCCTTTTATATTTCGGGCCCCGAGATTTCCCTGGCGCGGGGCATATCACAAGCTTGCATTTGTCTCGTGCTTCGAGCGGTGCATTTTCGTCTTGTCCCGCCATTCAACGCGGGGAAATACGGGGGAAACCCAGACCTTCATGTGCCAATGCACCAACCCGAGGCTGGTGTTCAGTGCCAATGGTGAACTTGACTAACAAGACAATCGTCAATAGATGACCCGTATTATCTGGCAAGAAATCAGAGAAAAGGTAAGCCTCGGATCAACCCCATTGCCCCATTCATTGCCCCTCATGTTGGCATAACCTGCATGATCGGCTCCCCCGCCCGCAGAAGGCTGCATGCAGTTGATGCATCAGATTGCCCCTTATAATTCTAAACCGAGACTAACGTTATTCTTACTCTAGTTGATTCTGCCGTAAGTGCCGAACCAGACCAAGTGATGGTCAATTTTACTAAAGTCCCTTCTTAGTTACCTCGACATTGACCTTAAGTACTACGACTTGGTAAGTCATATTTTAGCCAAATCATGACATCCTGAAGTTTCCCCCGCTAACGAATTTCCCAGGGTCTTGAGTACCGTGACCAGACCGATGATCAGGTCACCATTGACGCCGCTGAGGCTATCAAGAAGTACGGTGTCGGTGTCAAGTGTGCCACCATCACCCCCGATGAGGCCCGTGTTGAGGAGTTCAAGCTCAAGAAGAGTAAGCCATGGCCTGTTTCTTGTAATATGAGTTGAGAAACTGACCTTTTCCCCTTTTCCAGTGTGGCTCTCCCCCAACGGTACCATCCGTAACATCCTTGGCGGTACCGTTTTCCGTGAGCCCATCATCATTGAGAAGATCCCCCGTCTTGTGCCCGGCTGGAACAAGCCCATTGTTATCGGTCGTCACGCCTTCGGTGACCAGTACCGTGCTACCGACCGTGTCATCCCCGGCCCCGGTAAGCTCGAGCTGGTCTACACCCCCGTTGGCGGCAAGCCCGAGGTTGCCCAGGTCTACGACTTCCAGGGTGGCGGTGTCACCCAGGTCCAGTACAACACTGACGAGTCCATCCGTGGCTTCGCCCACGCCTCTTTCAAGATGGCCCTCCTCAAGAACCTGCCCCTTTACATGAGCACCAAGAACACCATCCTCAAGCGCTACGATGGCCGCTTCAAGGACATCTTCCAGGAGATCTTCGACACTGAGTACAAGGCTCAGTTCGACGCCCAGAAGATCTGGTACGAGCACCGTCTTATTGACGACATGGTTGCCCAGATGATCAAGTCTGAGGGTGGCTTCGTCATGGCCCTGAAGAACTACGACGGTGATGTCCAGTCCGATATTGTCGCCCAGGGATTCGGCTCCCTCGGTCTGATGACCTCCACTCTCGTCACCCCCGACGGTAACTCCTTCGAGGCCGAGGCTGCCCACGGTACTGTCACCCGTCACTACCGCGAGCACCAGAAGGGTAACGAGACCTCCACCAACCCCATTGCCTCCATCTTCGCCTGGACCCGTGGTCTTATCCAGCGTGGTCAGCTCGACAACACCCCCGATGTTGTCAAGTTCGCCGAGGAGCTCGAGCGTGCCTGCATTGAGGTTGTCAACGACGACGGTATCATGACCAAGGATCTTGCCCTGGCCACTGGCCGCAAGGACCGCGAGGCCTGGGTCACCACCGGCGAGTACATGGCTGCCGTTGAGCGTAAGCTGAAGGCCAACCTCAAGGCTCGTCTGTAGATCTATTTTCCTTTTTGTGATGCCCCTTTCTGCCTGCGCAATCTTTCTATATGATGATATCTTTTCCCTCATAGACCTCGGGGGCTTTTGATCTAGCTTCTGACATGTACAGTCGTCGGACAAATAAAAATCGAGTCGCTCTGCATGAATCATTCTGTTTTTATTCTCATATTTCCTCCACATGTGCAATTGATGCCCGTAATTTTAAGACGGCCGTAAGATGTAAACACTTTTTGTAGGTGCTACTACGTGTTATAGACACCAACCAGATGAAATGAATTAATTGAACGACCTGGGCGTACGAGTGCTAGGAGGCTCAGACCTCGCTTACTCCGAACTTCCGAAGTATATACCACGCATGAACCTTTTCTGCACATGCATCGACGAGTACTGACTAGTAGGTAGTATTCTTTCAATGGTAGCAGGTTGCTTATAAGTTGTTAAATCTTTCATTAACCAAATCAGCACTTGAGTACCCATACAAGATTGTGACTGATCATCAGCATCAGATACCCGTGAAGTTCTCTTCTTTCCCCTGCACGGTTGGCCATACATTTAAGAGTCCTTTGAACGGGTGGTGGCTTCCCAAGTAAACCACACGAACGATTTACTCGATTGGGTATCATGTTGCTCCTTCCATTTTACCCCCACACTTCTGCCAATTGGGAAGGTGCGACCTGGTCGAGAGAGATTGGAATACATACTACCGCTGTCGACAACAATTCTTTCTTCTTCCCCCCCCCTCCTCTCCTCATATCCTTGTTATCGCATTTTCAGCCCATACACTATCGTTTTAAAAAGCATACGTTTCACTACTACTATCTCACACTCTTTGCAACCTCAAAACTTATTGAGTCTATTCAAATACACTCTTTTGCTACCCGTCGGTAATCTTCAGCATGCAGTTCCAGCCTATGTGCCCCGTTCATTTCATCCACCCCCAACAGTTGCGTCCTCGATTCTGCATCTTGCGTCCCGGTGGTGTTCCTACGCCTCTTATTGCAGCTGATGAGCTTCCACCGTGGCTTCGAATCTCTCATCCGTCCCCAGATATGTTCATCGGCTTGCAGCCTGTTTCTCCAACCTACATACCACGGGAAGGTGAATACCAGGTGACATGCACCAACTGCTCAAGCAGCGCCTCTTCTATGTCCGTGAACCACAGTGTTTCCGACCGGAATGAAGACGTGCAGACTCCCAACTCCGCTGGCAGCGGGACTAGAAGCTGTACAAGTGCTCAGTCGCTTTACATCGGCAAGCAAGAAAATGGAGCCGCAATTGTCCCAAAGTTTCCCATTGGGTTCACCATTGGAAATTCGCCATTCGATGCAACACTGCAAAGTCCTGTCATTGGCCTTTACAGCTCAAACATACCTCCAATGCCCCCGCGGACTGTGGATGTATCCGCTTCGACTGTGTCGCAGCCACAAAGCAGTGTGGGTTCGAGCTCGGGTTCTGAGCGCCTCTCAACAAAGCTCGGCAAGTCCGTAAAGCCAGATACCCCGGGAGAATTTGCCGACTCTTCAGAAACCCCTGACACATGTGCGGGCTCGTCGAACAGAACAAGCATCGCCTCTACCCGATCTCTCACTGCGGCCGTTGAGCGACTCAGGAAAAAACTCAATTTGAAGATAATATCTCACCAAAACAGCTTTCGCCAGAAGGTTCACAGAGCAGTCCAGGCTGATTCTGACTGGCCCAAACAACCCAAAGCTCACCGAGTCCATTCCAAGGCCCCTCGACGTGTCAGAACCCCTCGCCGGCGCCGAGTCAACTCCAAGAAATTGAAGTCAGAGCACTACAGTCTCATTGAAAAGAACAAAGATATAGAACTGAACTTCGAGCAGCCGAATTCAGCCACCAAGCGACGTGATCGTCGCGAACGCTTGACCCAGCGATTACTTCATGGTAGACATGACGTGGACTGCAAAAGCCGCTACTGGCACATGGCGAAGATCCCAAAATAACCCAACAATGTGTTTTGAACTGAACATGAATGGCTGGACCTTCATTTGTTCTTGATTTGCCGATGCTTTGCAATTACTATGCGATCCTTGCTCTTCCCTGCTTTTCTGCGACCCTGCAATTCCGCTTGCTTTTCTGCTGTTATTCTTGCCACCCTTTTTGTTGAACCGATTGTTCTGTACGTTTGTCTGTTATTCTTCTGTTCCATGTATAGTATTTCCCTATTGTGCCTAGGCACGCTACTGTCTTGTGTTTTGGCCTTCAGTTTGGTTTCCCATCCAAAAGCGATGTCGTACGCTCGTTGTTAGACATGCTAGTTAGTTCTATGCAGTGATACCGCAGTGACCATTTGGAATACACACTCTTTGACCAACTGCCCAAGTCCCTTCACCGCGAATAAGTCAATTTGGTAACTTGGGGTCGAACCCGGGATTTGCCATTCAAGGAGTATTTTCTTACTAGAACCAAACAGGCAACTCGCCTCCCCCGCTCGGCTTATCTCCCGAGTCCCGACTCTCCAATACTACTCGCTACTGCTAGCTACCGCACGTGGGATTCGCGAAACACCCTTGCAAAACTATGACGAGCATCAAGAAGCCTCGAGGGATCCGGCACGATCGTCACTGTTACCGTTGTCGAGTCAAGGGAATCAAGTGCGATCTTAATCGCCCTCGGTGTCAACCATGCCAGCAGATTTCAGTGGCATGTAGCTACCCACAGAGAGTCGTCTGGGTGGGAAACAAGAAAGACCCATCAGCAAGTGTATCGCTGTTATCAGAATCTTTGACATCAGAAGTCAAGGATCAGGAGCCAAATTCAAGTCATCAACAAAATACGAATATGCCTATCAATCTATACGGATTTATTGACCTCTTATCACACTTTTATCAGGAGATTCAGTCGAGCAAGGAAGAGCTACCGGAAGAAGCTGTTAAGCTAATAGCTCGCACCTTGAGCTTTGCTCGGTCTCGCTTGCAAGGGCCGGACAATAAACAATCGATTCAGACGCACCTCGGGGCGCTGACGAACTTGAGCAAAGTCATCGAGTCGGGACACCCAATTGCGCTCTTTGGCATTGCTACTTTCGCTATTTTCGAAGTGTGCTGCGGGTCATTCGGCAGATGGCATCGTCATTTGCAAGGTGCTCGTTCCCTTCTCGATCTTCATTGTCAAAACAAAGCCGATCTCGATGCTCTGGCAGCCCGAGTCCCTGGACTGGGAGATATCCTGGCCTACCTGGTATGGTTTGACGTTACTGGCGCTCTAGTCCATGACAGGGACCTGATTTTTGACAAATGGCACCGCGGAATCATATCTTCAAATTTCTTCGACTCGGTGGGTTGCCCGCCAGATTCATTTGAACTCCTAGCGCACCTGGCAGATCGCAACATCAATATCGATATTTTGGACCTCAATGCTAGAGCTTTGGATCAGATATTACTTCTGGATAATAGTGACACCGGCGAGCGAGGTCTATCAGCCGCCGTGTTCAGATACACTGGCGCAATAGTGGCATTTGGCCGTTCTGGAAAGGCGAGGAATCGAGATAGCGTGGCTATTTCGGATCCACATTCGGGTGCATTATCAAGGATGGTTGGTCGAACATGCGATCTTATCTCCAGGATTCCCACCTCCTCTAGATTCTACGTGCATTTAGCTTCTCCTGCATATTTGACCGGGATGCACGCGACCAAAACACAACAATGCGAGATTCTGCGAGGGTATTGGCGGAATTGTCAGTTATGTGACTTTCCGCGTTATCCGGATGCACAAGAGCAATGTGAGGAGAGATGGAGAAGCAGGATGATCTGAAATTCCAATGGACCAAGATAAGTACTAGTAACTTGTAAGTATTAGATAACCTGCCCAATCCGGAAAGCGATCTATGGCATTTCCCCGCATCTCTTATCGTGGTCGTTATCGGAGCTCTTGCTAATTCCATATACTATATAGTACTTGACTCTTGAGCTTGGGGATTCAACAACAACTTCGTTCTTTGCCCTCTCAGTTCCTTCATTTTGCACCATCGTATCATTTGATGATATTTTCATCATGGCTACCAGCATATCTACTCCATATTACCAAGACATAGCCGCGCAAAAACGCGAGCGCCAACTCAACCTGATCCCCCCGGAGTGGCGCTTGTCACCAGTCCCTTCAGTAGACTCCGCACCGAACGCTTTGTTGTACATTCGACAGACTCTCAGTCCAACCGAGCTCGCGCTTACAGAGGAAACCAATATCACAGTCCTCCTGGGGAAGCTTTCCTGCGGTGAAGTGTCTTCACTGGAGGTTACGCAGGCATTTGCCAAACGTGCAGCACTAGCACACCAATTAACCACATGCTGTACAGAAATATTCTTCGATGAAGCGTTCACAGTCGCCAAAGAGATGGACGAGTATCTCGCCAGAACAGGAAAGCTTGTAGGTCCTCTCCATGGCCTTCCGGTGTCCATCAAAGACCTTTTCTCAGTCAAGGGTCTGGACACATCTATCGGTAAGCATACTTGATCCGGTCCAAGGTCCCAAGGATGGACTTTCCACTATCCACCATCACGCTCTCAGAGCTGACTTCATCGTCTACTAGGATGGGTCGGTCTGACCAATAACCCAGCCCAGGCCGACAAGTCCGTCGCCAGGACCCTCCGCCGACTTGGTGCGGTCCTCTATGTGAAAACCAACCTTCCGCAATCAATGATGATGTCGGACTCGTATAACCACGTCTGGGGCCAATGCATCAACCCATTTAATAGGAACCTAATTTCTGGTGGGAGTTCCGGTGGTGAAGGGTCTATTGTTGCGGCGCGAGGAAGTCCGCTTGGAATCGGGACAGACCTGGGTGGATCGATTCGGATTCCTTCGGGATTATGTGGGATATACGGGCTTTCGCCTAGTCCTGGCAGACATCCTTACGAGAGGGGAAAGTGAGTACACCGCAACATTGTGATTTGTGATGGGAGTTTGGAGAGACATTGGACTAATGCTTTCAACAGCCCTGGCCAGGATATTGTTCGCTCGGTCGCCGGCCCTATGAGCTGTAGTCTTTCCAGTATTGAGCGATACATGGAAGCTGTTCCGTGTGCCTCACCTTGGGAATTGGACCAGCATGTTGCACCTGTGCCATGGAGACGGAATCTCGCTTCGCCTGGTGCCAGGCAGTTAAAGATCGGATATCTGGTTGACGATGGCGTTGTTAAATGCCAGCCACCTGCCGAGCGCGGTGTTCGAGATGTCGTTGAAGCTTTGAAGGCGGCTGGTCACAGTGGTGTGTACTATTGGTCTTATATGTCTTGAATGATGCAGTAAGCTGATTATGATACCTTTCCATCACTACAGTTTTCGAATGGGATGCGTCGTCTCATGGACTTGCATACGAGCTATGGGAGAAAGCTATCTTGTCCGATGGTGGCGAAGGATGTCGCAAGATGACCGAAATGACCGGCGAGCCTTTAATCGAGGGCATGTTGGTTGGGAAAGAGCATAACATCTTGACAACTTCGGAACTGCACATGGTAAGACCTCATGATTTTCCAGAGATATATTAGAGAAACAGTCTTTCGTACTAACCATCTTCGTTGCTAGTTAAATGCGGCTAAATACAAATACGAGTCCGCATACCTCGATCGCTGGACCTACTCTGGTATCGATGCATTAATCATGCCCAACACTCCCTGGGTTGGGTATAAGCCGTGGACTTGGGTCAAATCCAATAACTATGTGGGATACACCAGTATCTGGAACCTGGTTGGCTATGCCGCTTTGACCGTTCCTGCTACGACTGTCTCTAGGGATAAGGACCTACCGAGTCAAGAGTGGCTCGACCATGTTCCTCGAAATGAGGGCGACAGATTCAACAAGGAGCAGTGTAAGTTTTCTTGTGCAATGCGTTTTTGATCAATGATTCTGATCAATGATAGATGATATTGACCTGGTCGATGGTATGCCCGTTGGGGTTCAGGTGGTTGGAGGAAGATTCGGAGAGGAGAAATGTGTTGCTGTCGCCAAGGCGATTGAGCAGGCAATGAAGCGGAAGGACTCGGCACCGCCTAGTCTTTAGTCCTTCGATATGGGCCATAGTATTCGATAACATTTGAATATTTGAAATGTGGGCAATCTACATGGGATGACATGCATTTATCGAGTAATCATGATCATAACAGCGTAACGTAGATTCCCAAGTCCCAGTCTGCAAAATGGTATATACAACCCAATCCATTCCAACCTCATCAAATATGTCATGTACAAACATTTGAAGGTAATTATTTAGATAGAATGTTAAAGGGAAACATGAACAGCCCAGCACTTGAGTGCTAAACAGGAGCATTCATGCGCTCCCTGTAATCTGGGAACTCATAATCTCCAAGATCCCACTCGATACTCGGATTCCAAGTGCCTCGTTCCCCAACATTAGCATCAGCATTACCAGTCCCCGATCCAGATCCAGACCCAGAAATCTCCCCCATCTCAACATCCCTCTCCGCATAATCGCTCGCCAAAAGCCGCGGACTCGGCATAACTGAATCCGAAACCATCCTCAACTCCCTGACAACTCTGATCCCATCCTCATTCTCCGCCGACTTGCGATCCTTCTCGTCATTGTCGCCAATTTTTGATATACTAGCCGAGTACCCGCCGGGCCCCGCATAGAAGAAATCATTCGAGAACACGCCGCCGCCCCCGTCTCCGGCATGGCCGTGGCCATGGTCGTAGATGGAGGGCATACGCGAGTCAGTAAGACATGTTGCGTTTGATTGCGTCTTTGGCCAGGGGGTCGAGTGGAGGGGCTGGGGGCGGAAGCAGTAGGAGAAGACGTTGGAGATGAAGGGGTGGAGGGGGGGCATGCAGGCGCAGATTATGGAGACGTTGGCTTCGAGGGAGGACCAGACGGCTGCTTCGGCGTTTGTTTTGGTGAAGTCACGGCCGTTGAGCATTGTGCTTAGTTCGTAGAGGCGGGCGGAACTTGTTGCGATTACACTAGACGAAATGGTTGGATGATTAGCCGAGTTGAATTCAATGTAGGCTCTTTAGGAAAGAAGAGTGGATTTGTTGGAAGCACTGGTATCGGGCAAGGCAAAGTTTGGTATAAATGAGGACGTACAAGATTCCAACGCCGAAAACCACCATGATGCCAATTTTCTGATGTCGCGGTAATTGGAGTTTGTATAGGGCTGGCATGGGGAGAACCAGGATGACAACGTCACTTAGAATCTGCATTGCCGCATTGGAGTACCAGATTGGACCGCGGGGTAGACAGTGTTTTACTGCTGCCGATGAAGGTCGCCAGAAGTCATGGATGGGTATGCAGAAGACGAAGCCGCTTACTACCATCCAGGTTCCGGCAATGATGAGGAATCCCATTGTGATGTATGTGGCGAGGAGGAAGGCTCGGGCACGGAAGATGCGGATGAAGAGAAAAAGAGCGGAGAGCTTGGAGAGAATTAGGGTGAGGTTGTAGAATGGAACAGAGAGCCAAAGGTACTGGTGGTGTTGGTGTTAGCTTTCTCTTATTTCTTTCAATGTTGTATTTCCAATGTTGGGTTCATCGAGTATGCCTGGAGAAACTTACATGCAGTTGGTGCATGACTACATCGTTTGATAATTGCGGTTTGGGGACCCCAAGGCCATAGTGTCTTTCTGTGAGGATTGTTAGCTCTGATCAGTGTGTGCACGAGGTATATGATGGATTGGAAGTGTAGTTGAATTGACATACCGGCAAGCAAGAATCCATAGAATGCGAGAGAGGATATCTGGGTTGCTTGATTAGCATGGCTGGGTATTCAAACGCATGTTTGTACATATAATGTGCATGCTCATGAACGCAGATTCATACCAAAGCAGCGAAGATGAGTATGTCGTCCTTTCCAGGACTTCTGACAAGCTTAATTCGCGTCCAGAGCCGAACAGAGACAAAGAGAGTCGAGAGAATCGTAAAGAAAGTAGTGATGATCAAGACACGCATATTGAACGTGGCACCGGGTTTGATATGCTAATATCCAAGCCATTGATCAGACTGGAAAGAATATGCGAATTGAAAAAAGAACAGTCGTGCACATTGTCAGCTCATATGATGTTGGGGATGCGGGTGTAGGAGGCGTCTGGTAAGCACTTTCTTGAAATGAAACGCAAGTCGCGTGCTGATGAGTTCAAGTCCAATTGTAATTCAATATTAAACGAAAGAGAGTGCATTTAATGCCGTTGTAAAGATGGAAAATATCGCACAGAATCGCGAAAAAATAGTGTTGTATTGATCGAAATTTCAAATGTCGAAGTCTTCAGGCAGAGTGGAGAAGATATACTCTCAAAACCCGGGGGGATCGTCGGCAGCGATTGATCGTAGCCCTAACGTGTGAAGCGTCTCTTAGATCCAACATTTGAAAGTCTTTGCAGAGAATGTCACCCGTCACATCCATCTGAACTCACATTCGTTAATCCCAAGGTCGCGTTTCACGATTCATGTCAGTTCATTGGTCAATTCGTGGTTGAGTGACTTGAGTCGTTGGTTCATGTCCGCATTGGGACAACGCCTCATCACCGATTGCATCAACGACGTCCTTTCTGCACTGAATCTGAGCGGGTCTTCGTACATCCGCACAACCTTACTGGATGATTGGATATTTTGATTTATCTCGGTGGAGATTGTTAATTGAGCGATATCTCGCCGAAAAACGACCAGGACTTGGATCTTCAGAACTTCATGAGTCGAGTGACCTTCGGCCGAATTGACTTGATTTTGAGATTGATCTGGATTCCTGACTCGAACTGAACTCTATCCAAGTCACAAGTCTGGACTGCGAATCGTCGGGAGACCCGAGAGTTGCTTATTTCCCCTAGGGTTCTGCTGCCATTGTGTGAGTGGCCGATGCAACATGCTTTCAAATGTTCGGACATCACCGTAAGGGCTTTGAGTTTCCAAAGAACTGGTTCATGGGGTGCATGGAGACTAGAATTCGGACTGTCGGGGAGGAAGTGGATCATGCCGATACTTTGTTTCATTCAAATGTGGACCGCCTTCCTTGTGAGTGAAGCATCGAAAGACTTGGCCAGATTCATCTAGACTGATTTAGGTAGTTTCGATCGGGACTTGGAAATGGAATTTATCGTTTCTCTTAGCCGGCACATAGATCCTCAATATACAGACTTGTTGCCACCAGATGAGAGCTCAGAAATGTGATAGGAGAAGAAGAAGAAAAAAAAAAAAGAGAGAGAGAACGCTAGATCTCAGATCCATGAAAGAGGGAGTTAACGAATGCGAGGCCAGCACCGCGTCGTTACCCGGGTATTGGAAAATAAATGCAAGTAGAAAGGCACGCGCCAAATGAGAAAAGCCGGTTCCCTTATGTACGGACGCTAGGTCCAATATTCCTCCACTGGATATTCTAATCCTGCCGATCTCATCACTATGCCCCTTTTTTTGGTTTGATAATTGTTATTTCTTTCGACTTGTGGATGTCGCGTATATAGATGTTTGCATGCTTTTTGGGCCTCTCTTTTCGTCCGCGGTTCGGGTCGCGCTAGTTTGTGCAGCTCAGGAACCGACATACCAAACTTCGATCCCAAGAATATCGAACTTAACACCTTCATCAGACAATGGCTCATTTCCGAAAGTCTGACTAGGCGCGCTGACACCCTTTTCAAGGCCAGAGTCAACCCACAGACCATAGTGTCCATCACTATACTAGCTGTCAGTTTCTAGGCAAATTGAGACAGTAATGCCCAAGGGGTATAACTCACCCGCCACCGAGACTCAAGAATCCGGTCTCACAGAACATCATATAGTCATTCACACCACTATACGGGAATGCCTTGAAACGAATGCGTTCAGGAGTACTCGCCCCGCTCCGGGAGGTATGTATTGACGATGGCGATGGGGGCGCTAAAGCTCCACCACTAGCGGCAGCAAGGCTAGTCTTGATATTAAGGTTTAAGTTGTGTGCAGGAGACTCCGATTTCGATTTCGGGTCATTGCGCAACGTACTCCATCGTCCAGCGTGCGTTGTGTCAGCGGAAGGGGGAGGCGGGAGACCAGCGCGTTCAAGCGCTTCTTCAGACTGAGGTCCGTCACCGGGGAAAGCGAGACCAAGGCTGGATGGTGGAGGCAGCACGCTAGCGCGCCAGAGGAAGCATTCGCCAGTGCCGAAGAACTGAGAGTTAGGGTGCGGCGCGTCGGTCATGTAGGCGCCGAATACGGCGCCGGTGGGGGAGGAGTCGCGAATGACGAGGACGTAGCCCGCCCGCGGGCTACGGTGAGAGAATTCTTCACAGTTATCGTAGAGCGTGGCCAGGGAGGCACCATCACGGTCGAGGCTGTAGGCGAGGCGCCAGTTCTCGACGAGTTGGAGACGCGCAGGGACTAGGAGGCGGATTTCCTCAGCCAGCACGCGGGTTAGAAGCTGTTGTTGGAGGAGGTCGGCGCCTTTAGGGATTGTGAGGCTGAGAGGGGTGAGAGGGGGAGGTTGGAAGGGAGAGGCGGTTCGGCGAGGGGTGTAGACTTCGGGAGAAGACCATGGGGAGTTGGAGGGCATCGCGGGGGCAGCAATGCTGGGGTCTGTTAAACGTCTGTAGAGACCGGAGACAACGTGGCTAACTGGGTAAGAAAAGTATGAGGCGGCGGATTGGTAGGAATTGGAGTTCGTTGGGTTTTGGTGGGGCGTGTGAGATCCGGACCTGGAGCTGGAGCTGGTCGGAGTGCCCGAAGGGAGATCTCCCTGAGATGAGGACGACATACAGGCAACTTGAATCAATTGCGGGGAGAAAATCCGGGGCAAGGGTTGACGGAGAGATATGTATACGAGATTCTCAAGGTCACGTCGTCAAGAAAGAGGAGATGGAGGATGAAACAAACTTATCGCTTATCGTGTTCGAGGTTGTAGTGCTTTCAAGGATTACACTTGCTTCACCTTGGGTACCTTAGGCTCCCCTAGAACGGCAAATACACGAGATTAAAAATAACAAGAGGACGAGTCTTTGAATATGATATTTAGACTTAAAAAAAACATATTCACTTTTATATCAACATCTGGGGGCTTCTACTGTCACTTTTAACTTCACCAGATATGATAAGGTGGTCCTGGATGGATCAAGCCACAGCGTGGTAGTGCCCACCATATCCTCAGCTCTACCAAATATTCAATTTACAACTGGCAACAGATCAGTTACAGGGCCTTTGGTGTCAAATAATCTAATTCCCCCCCCCCCAGTTCTTCAAAGTGCTATTAAATCCTCGCTGGGAACACACGTCCGATTTGCCTCGATGACGGAAGAGTGGCGGATGAGAAATTATCGTATAAAAATCCACCAGCCGGCTGCCAAATCTGTTGACGAGGGGAAAAAAGAACACTTGACAAGCCCCAAATTCAAAATCATTGCGATATCAGTTTATAATATTCTATTGAATACGTGTGCACCGCAACCATGACTACCAGGTTTCCCCAAACAGACAAATACCACGATGAAATCATCAAGATGGAGGAGGAGAAGTATGGAACTCACCATCACCACCATATTACTCATAACGATGAAGCATGGAACACGGTAGGTATCAGAGTAATGCATGTCGAGCATTTCAACACTCTCAATCTCTAGTAGATTGAGTGTGTAGTGTCTGCTTAGTAGACAATGAATGACAACTGACAAAAATACTAGGGCCCCGAAAGGGTTCCCCATCGGGAGCCCGAAACTCGAGTCACCGGAAACTTCGAATCGGGCGAAGGAGAGTTCAGGATCGGCGACAAAAAGAATCACCCGGGCAAACGGTTCTAAACATGCACATGAACACACGGGTCCAAAGGAATGAGATGGTGTGGCAAAAGGACACCCGGTGGAGTTGGTAGCGATGTACGTAACGAGGATGGCCATCAGCAAATAGGTCATCCAGAAGCTGGATTGGAAAAGGTAGGACCAATGGAAGAAGAGGAATTCAAAATGCATGTGTTTATAAAGTGGCCTATTGGAAAACCAAGGGTATCATATTCAGTTGAACAACACAACGTAAAAATTAAAAGTGTTTAATCACGCGCATCTTTGGGGCGTAGATCAACAGTTTCATACTCTAAGCCGTTGACCTCGACAACATGACCAGGCCGCAATGCACCTGTGTATATATTCTCTTGAGCATGTGGATGAAATAGCCCTTTCTGGGTGCAATTGAGGACAGTTTTCAGGCCAGGTGGATCGGTAAGCCGGAACACACCCCAGTCCGGATTTTTGCTAGGTGCACAGACAATAGCAATGCTCTCTGGAAGCATGACTTGATAACCGGAATGGGTATGCAAGTCACGCGAGCTCATAAAGCATGTTTGAGAGGGATGTGTGTGAATCCATCCCAGCATAATCAGATCTTCCGCGTCGCAGTAGTCAAAGAGTGCAGATTCATTGGTAGTCTCACAAGTGTCCGAGGTCGATATTTGTTCGGGAATCACAAGCCTGGAAATAAATAGGGCATTGGAAACTAAAGTCCCGCAGAGAATCCCACAGGTTTCCAAGTTTCGGCGAGTGTTTGGACCCGCCAGAGACAAGAACCGATCCCGAAGACTGGCGGGAAGAAAGACAGAGCGCAGTGGACTGCCGTTTTCTAGGTACGCCGAGGGCTTGAAGGTATAACTTGCCGGATCAAGACTAGATGGTGCAGGTGCATCCCCATCAAAGTTTTGTAACTTTTCAGGTGGTGGCGGAGCTGGGGAAACCTTTGATGGAAGTGGCGGAGGCTCATTTGCAGGTTCCTCGTCGACGAAGGATGCTCTGAGTGGCTCGGCGTGTTCCTTCGGTGGCAAGATCGGAGGTGGTTGCCTTTCCACATTCTTGTCAAGGATGGCGATCTGACCAGAAGAGATGGATGGTACCAAAGGCTTCTGGAGAGGTACGGTAGGGTAATTATATGTTGCTGTCGAGGCGGAGGAATTCTCGCGCAAAACGGGTTTTGACGCATGTTGAGTCTGACCAGTCGGTTGCCTATGATCAATATTGAGTCTGATATCTTGGATACGCTGGCTCAGGTCCTTGTCGGCAGACCGCTTGTCGGTCTTCAATGCACTTTCCCAATCGCCCCATACGCCTGCCGCTCGGCGATTGTCATCTTCGTTTCTGCGGATCGTTGCTCTGCGATGAAGTTCTGATTGCGCCAATCGAACAGCGAGGTCTCGGTTCTCTCCAGCTTCCAAAGGTTTCGCAACGCCGCTCAGGGCGGGATCTGCAGGTTGCTCGCCCTGTTCCGGGGTGACATTGAATTCCGAGGCTAGCTTTCGGGAGTCGCGATCGCGCTTCAACTGGTTGTAGCGCTCACATCTTTTGTTGATCCGAGGCCTGAGAATTTCGAGCTTGGCTAAGTTTTTTTCCACCTCTTTCTCGGCGGCAACCAGTGCTTTGCGGTCTTTCTCGTCTTTTGCCGCGTCTGGATGTTTGGATAGATGTACCAGAACCAGCTGGGCATGTCGAAAAAGGAGTAGGTAGGCTTGTTCGTCGTGACCTTCGCGTTCGTAAATTTCAGCCTAATATAGACAGTACGTTAATTGACACTGTCATGGGCAGCTTGGGTATCGTAAATGGACCAACCTCTCGAATAAGAGTGGCTGTCGTCCTGAGCCATTTTTTGAGTGAGATGGCTGCATTGTACTGATAATCCTGGGCCGTTTTTGTGATCTGTTCGACAGTCTGCGGAGGGCTCCCTCCCGTACTGGGTCCAGGAATGTGGGAAACCATTATGCGATGTGTCGGATGGAGGAGGAGTTGGAACCAAAGGATATTCGAGATGAAGAGAACTGCCCCTCTTTCACACAGAGCGGATCTGAAAGGGCATGATTCACATGAACTAGGGGCGAACTCCGACAGCTGGCGCGAAGATTACAGACACCTGATGTGGAGTTAGTCGCATTCATGCGATCCACGTCGAGGACCGGGGGGGAGGGAAGAGAAATGAAGAAGATGAGGAAGAGAAAGAGGGGAGCCTGGAGATGTTGTGGTGCGTAGTGGGGGGGTGAGATGCGGAACCCGCAAGGTCTCCGCTTTTACATCTAGAAAATAAATGAAAATAAATATTGTGAAAATGACGGCGAAAATGACCACTTTGGACACCAGAAAGCAACTCTGGATTCCAGCCCCTGACAGCCCCGGAACACTTTTCTGTACCCCAGAGTCGTTGATCATCTTGAACGAGTCGAAGACCTGTGGTAAGGCTTGCTATTTGGGTGGCTTGAAGCTTCATGCTCCGCTGGCGGCTGCCAAGTATAAAGTCCTCGACTCATGGGGACATCCACAGGGCAAACCGAGCAAACCGAGCAAATTGAACAAAAATACTTGAATTTCGCGCATAGCCTCGCATAGCCTCGCAATCTACAATCCGCATAGTTTAGCGGTCATGTTCTTCTATGGGCAAATAAAGACGGGAAACCTGGAGGTTAGTGAGTTGGCAGTTGGTGATCACCTTCAACTGCCAATTCCCATCATGGACACCCGAACTTGAACGTGGTCACTGTCTCATCAACATTGCTCTTTGCCTCTTCCTTCTTTTCCTACTTTTCTCCTCTTTGAGTCGAACAACCAGCGTTTTCCTGTCTCTCTGGCCTATGGATGCCTTCTGCTAATTGCGATTCTTGACGGCCAAAGTATGGATACCCCGAGTGACAAGGTCCTTTAGTTACAGTCTTCCATGACCAATCTGATCAAGGCGCTTCATGGATCCGGCTTGAACCTGTCAATATTGATTTTGGGAACCATTGAACTTTGAGACGGGTTTGTATGATATGATTATATTGATGGAGAGGATTGGTAGGTTGACCGCATGCGAGATCTGACACTTGAAATATTGTTTTGGCTATTCAGAACATTGAAATCAGCATTGAGCAGTGAGCAGTGAGCACTTGGTCCAGAGAAGCTTGGTGGTTCTCGGTGGATCAAAGCTTGGAGAGATTATCGGGTCACCGCCAAAAAGCGGCAATATTCTACTTTTATAAGTTATAACTGTATGATATATGGGCGTTCTTACTAGTAAGCCCTTTTACATCTATTCCACACCATTCCCTTGACTATGCCCTCCACACGATCATAACGGAATTCATGGCGATATATCAGAACTTGTGCTCAATCCTCAAAATATGAGTGCTTGGGACGCGACCGCACGTTTGCCGATCACAGGTGTTCTCCGCAACATCTTCACGAAAAAAGCCAGCCGGAGATCAAATCCAACTGCGGGCTACGTGGACGAACAACTGTGTGGTAAGGTTTTGAAATTTCTTGCGATTTTAAGTAATGCGAAAGACTAATGGCAATGGATTGTCTTTAGATGAATTGATCAAACGCCTGTCTCCTTTCCTCCAACGAAATGCTCCAATCGATATCCTTGACCTATGGCCGGGCTGTGGAGTATGGTCATCCAAGATGAATGACTTCCTTCGTCCCCGCCGCCATGTCCTGATTGAACCAAATGTGCCACTTTACGGATCATTTCTCAAGAAATTGGCGAAAACCAACCCGTGCTATAAGGTGGCGTCTGGCGAAATATACGGGACTGATTGGCCATCAGTCTTTGAAAGATATTTACCAGAACAGATCCGACATATGGATTTGACGCCCGGAACTTTGCCGAAAAATGATACTCTTCTGATTCTTGCGAACCCACCAACATCAGATTCAAAGTCAACTCATTATACCCCAGCGCGGTGGTGGGCCTCGACAATGGAAGACTGCATGACACAAAGCGGCCTTCATGCCTATGGCAGTGTGCGTATCTTGGCTGGGATTTCGGCCCTGGAAGCACAAGTTGTGCTTCCCCGCAGCGTTCACGATCGCCGGCGACCAGCCATATTAACGGAAAACGTGGCATTGCATACCTTTGAGGTTGCCAGTGGGTGTGAAGCAGAACCATGGCATACACTAAAGACTTGGGATTCGATTCATCGCAATTATAAGCGAGTCGCAGAGAGAACTGCCGCGCAAAACATAATTAATCTCCCCGAACGTGAGATCATTCCTCTGAAACTGGCGCCTGAAGTCCCACCCAGCGAACGCAAAATCGAAACATTGCCTTATAGACCCCGTGCTGAAACAGCAGGCCACCGTCGATCTGAGAAACTCATTCGAAGAGGCCAACAGGTATCCACGGGAAAAGATCTAGGGCGTAAGGAGATCTCGGAGATTAAGGCCGAGGCACGCAAAGCTCGAGCGGCCTTGAACTTTGACAATCAATGTGTTACTGCTCGAGAGGAGATTAGCAATGCTAAAGCTGCTATTGATGAACGCATGCGAGCTCTGTCGCGCGCAGCGGCGGACCCTCAAAAGACTGCTGATGAATTGATGAAGCTCAACGAAGAGATCGAGGCAGCTATAAGCGCGGTGACTAAGAAAATCGCGGACACTCACTTCCGCCATTATCGCGGTTGGGAGCGGAACTTGGACGACGCTCGCATCGAAGCATGGTCGAACCATTTGGATGACTCGGTCCTACTATGGGACCGGCGGCCATTTGAACCAATCCGGACTCATGATGATGAGATTTTTCCTCGTTATCATCAAAATTTGATTTATTTCGAAGCGGATGAAAATGCCATCTCCGCGCAATCTCTCGGCAAGGTCCCTCCCGAAGATCGTGAATCATTGAGTGCGCTTTTCGAAGCCCTCACCCTCAGCTTCAGTAGTGGCAACCACATAAGCATTGCTGAACTGGCCGAACGCCTTTTCCCGGGTCGGGCGAGCAACGAGGTCGTTCAATCAATTCCCAGTCTTGCTTACTATGTGGGGAAACGAGTCAAGCCGGGCTGTGGACCTATTCCTTTGGCCGATGGTTCGTTGGATGCAAACAAGTGCTTTCAGGAAAACATTGATTATCATCTCAGTGAGGTTCGAGTGATATGCCTCCCACCCCAGGTGCTCTGGGATATTCTTTTAGAATATCACAAGCACGCCATTGATTACTCGCCGCTCCAGTTTAACCGGCTTCTGGGGGGTACTCTGACTTCTTACCGGACCGGGGACTACCGCATGGACAGTTTAGCCAAGCGATTGCGCTAGTATACCCCGGATTGTATAAAATGTAATGTATACTAGTATGTACCATGACATCAGTTTCGGTGTTTCAGAATCCACCTTTTATAAACAAGATTTACATAGAAGGGAACAAGGGGCCACGGGGTGGAAGCATTGGTCAGGAAGTTCAAGGACCTGTGATTTAATTGGCTAGAAGTCCAATCGATATCTAACTTTTATATGTTGAATGTACTAAACCAAGGTTATAACCCTGAACTCTACTTGACTCATTCAACATTTGATGTTCTATTGTTGGAAAAGTGGAGTTTTGGTATCTTGCATGTACTTGCATAAGTCGCATTCGTAAGCTGCTTTTACCCCCGGATTCGATTTTCTTCACTTGAATATCTTTTTCCCTATCACAAGAAAAAAAAAGAGAAAAAAAAGAAATCATATATTGGCCCCAATCGTAATCTGCCTTTTGTCCTTTTTTCTCAAGAATTGATAGATCAGCAAGATTGTCCGATATCTCCCGTAAAGGTAATTTGACCCTCATTTCCCAACATCTGTGCCCCACGGTTACTACCGTCGTATCGAACTGGTTTGTCGATCCAGTCTTTTTGCGGCTTGTTATTTCCTGTCATTTCCTGTCATTTCATTTCATTCTTGACTTATCGGGTCGAGACCTTCCTATCGCCCTTTTTTTTTTGTGGAACTGGGGCCCTTTTTTCTCTGCCTTTTCTCTGCCTTTTCTCTGCCTTTTCCCTCTTTTTTTTTCTTACATTTTTCTGACTCTTTTTTACTCTACTAGTATTAAATGGCACTGACCCCCAAATTGTCAATGAACCCCCATGACCCCCAATTCCCTTTATGACTCTTTGTTGTTGGAAATTATATAAACACAAGTGTCTCCCCCAATTCTTCAATTCCTACCATATCTACTACGATCGGAACGCCCGCATTCTGCATTCGTCACATTTTTTTGCCGCCACCATACGTCACCTACCGTGCCCTAACCCGTGGATAATGCACCTGCTGGTATCACGCAGAGTCTAGATTCTTTGAAACCGGTGGCGTTGCGTTCAACATTTCCTTATACCTGGCACCATTGAATCCATTTCTTCCTTGCCATCTTCAATCAACAACATATATCGGCTATATCACCTCTCGCTGAGAACAATTCCACCAATTTTTGGAAATCTCGGAGAGTATACCGAGTCAACCGCCGTGAGGAATGTACGCAAGCCACCGCATGACCCCCACTTCTGGAGGTACCATGCAATTGTCACTGCAGACAAGCCACGAGGGCAAAGGCACCGCCATACACCCTCCAACTCCGACCTCAAGGTCAAGTCTCACGCCCCCAGTGACTCCCATTGCCAAAGACAGCGATGCCGAGCGCTCAATCCCAACGTTATTGAACGACAGCCCCGCTCAAACCGCCTCTCTGCTAAAACGTAGCATCTCTACTTCAATCCGCTTCACGGACGATCTGAAAGTAGACTACGACTCAGAGGACCGTCCTATCGAATTCGGCCGCGGCGCATGGAGCATTGTATACAAGGCGCGCTCAATACCCAGCGCCCCAACACCCGCCATCCACACTCCACCCAGCTCACCTATTGCCGCAACCCGCGTCTACGCCGTCAAGGCTCCTCTGCGCCGCGATGCACGTCCCGTCCTCCAGTGCGAAGCGCTGACCCTCACGCGCCTGAATCTCACCCCGGGCTATGAGCGCTACATCGTGCCGTTCCACGGCTACCACTCCGAAACAGAGGCCCTAGTCATGTCGGCCGTCCCGCTAGCCCTCTCTACCTACATCGAAGACCAAGCCGATATCACGCGCAAACAGGGCGTCTCAACGGCAACCATGTTCAACCCCGTGCAGGGCCCAGAATCCTGGCGAGACCTCGCCCGCAAGCTCATCAGCGGCCTGGAATGGCTGCACAAGACCGCCGGCATCATCCACGGCGATATCAAGCCGCACAACCTGCTCCTACGGCCCATGGCGACCGACGAGCCTGGCGCGCCCGACCCCGGCGCGTTCCCCTTCGAGCCGCTCTTTGCAGATTTTTCCTCCGCCATGGATGTTCCGTCGCAGGAGGCTGAAGGTGGTGATGAGGCCCTTTTGGGCTTGGGGCTGGGCCTGGGCTTGGAGGCGGAGAAGAGCCGTACGTCCATGTCGGCATTTACGCCGCCTTTCACGGCGCCTGAGCTTCTTACGCTTGCGGCGTTGAAATCGGGCGAAGTCGCGCCGACACCGGCTTCGGATGTTTTCTCCCTTGCCGCGACGCTGGTTGCTGCTGCGACTGGTGATTTGTTGTTGTATCCTGGCTCGAGTAATATGCAGCGGTTGGCGATGGCGCGAGACGGGCACCGGATTTTGGAGTTCACGCGATGTGGTACCAATGGGGCTCGTGTGCCGCGGGCTGGATTTGTGGAGAAGTTGCTCCAGCCTGCTGTTGCCAAGGATCCGACGCAGCGCATTGATACGTCGGATTGGGTGACGATGGCGTATGCTTGATCTATTTGACTGGGATTTATCTTGATTTATATTTCATCTTCAACATGTTGTACCATGTTTTCATCATTTGTTTTGTTTTGATTTTCTTTTCGTTTTTCTCTTTTTTTTTTTTTTTGTGTGTGCTCTGTTCGCGACATACTTGCATTTGGGGACTCGGGGCATTTTTTTTTTCTCTCTCTATTTTGTTTCAATACTGGCCTGGCATAAATGGGATACCCGGTTAGAAGGAGTTGCTCTGGAAAGCAACAACATAAACATACATACTATACTACTACACACTACTAACATCGGCATCAGCATCAGCATCAGCATCAATATTATCCCGAGGTGTTCTCTATATCACTCAAGTGCTGTGAATGAAATTCGCGCAATCAAATTACCAGCCAAAACAACATTTAAATCGTGCCTAAAAGTAGTACTAGTACATTTGCCAGACTCCATTAAACAAAAACAAATAAATCTACAAAATAACCTCATATCTTCCAAGGTTGAAATCAAATCAAATCCAACCTCCAACATTCGAAGAATCCCTCCAAGGCTCCTCACTTCTGACCCTCAACAAACTTCTTCAAATTCCTCACCCACAACTCAAAATTATCCGCCAACTTCTGCGCATACAAGAACCGAACCGCATAAACAAGCCACCCAGTCTGATTCTCCCAATTCCTCACCTCTGTGCCCCCCTCCACATCCTTAATCTCATGCTCCCGCTCCGCAACAAGATACCTTGGCGAGTACCCACCAGCCGCCTCCCAATCAGCAACCCAAACGATCCGCCCAGCAGTCCCAGTCTCCGCATTCGGGGGCTCAACCTCCGTAACAACCAGGAAGGTATCAGCGGCTTTTTGCGGCTTGGCTGAGCTCGGGTCCATACGGACGTGGAAAATCATTCGTGTACCCTTTTGCAGGATAGGGGAAAGGTTGGTGTTAGCCTCTGCCGCTGCCTCTGCCTCTCCTGCCGCTGCGTCTGCGTCTGCGTCGGTGCTGCTGGGTTGGGAGCGGATGGTGACGCGGGGAACGAAACTGTTCCAGGTGGGCCAGGTGGATGTGTCCATTAGTGCTTCCCAGACTTTGGTGGTGGGGGCTGCGATGAAGATGGAGCTGCCGAGATGGAGGGTTGCGTTATCGGCTGAGATTGATGGGGTGGCGCGATTCGCGTTTTGGGGGTCTGGGAGGTCTGGGTGGGATGCCGACATTTTGGTTTTAGAGGTTCGGGGATCTGAGCTCTTTTGTTTTCTTCTGCTTCACTTGGCTTTGAAGGCCTCAGTTGGGCTCAATGTTGTTTGAGGTTGTTTGAGGTTGATGGAGTTTGTATTTTTGTTTTGGGTATGTGGAGAAAGCTTGGAGGTGATGACGGGGACTATTTTATCTCCGGGTGGAGCAATAACGGTTCGATAAGGCTAAACTAGTCTGGGTAAACATAACACCGAAAACATAGTACAGTAAGTACATACTCACTCTATTTAAGCACTTGCAATTGGCTCTAGTATGTGTACATAGATCCACATTCAAGATATTCGAAATTGTATTTCAAACATTGAAGTTGACGGTAATCACTGAGTATGTGGGATTATTAGAATTTAAGCTCTAAGTGTAAATTCTGCATCCAAGAGTACGACCGGGGAAGATTTCTACATAATAAAAAATGCAAAATATCAGTGATAACAGTATTGGAACAAAGCTGTAAGTTAAAGCATCATACTACTAGTAGTAGCTATCACAATTGATCATTCCTTCACAAGACCCAGGTGTACAAGACTTTCTGCTGTAGCGACCACTGCATCCACATTTGATCGTGGTGTCCATCCCAGCAAATTCTTGGCTTTCTCGTTAGATGCTGCAAAAGACTGGCTCAGCTGAGGAACCACCAAGGCAATACCCGGATCAATAAATCCCAGCAGCCTCATAACAATATTCGGTAGAGTCCATGTGGGACATTTCTTCGCTTTATCCCCAAGTCTCTGCCGTAAAGCCAGTGACATATCTTTTACCGTCAAAGTCGGTGGCGCCATGCCCAGAAAGCGCTCATTTCTGGCCTTGAGGTGTGTCATGGCAAGAATATGCAAATCGGCAACGTCGCGAACGTCCACAACCCCAAACTCCAGATTAGGACAACCCGGCACTTTGCCATTCATCAGGCGGCTGACGATTTCAATCGACGTGGATGTGTCTGGCGCCAAAACGGGTCCCATAACCACAACAGGGCAGACAACGGACAGTTCAAGGCTGCCACCTTCGTTCTTGATGAACTCCCACGCGGCACGCTCGCCTAGTGTCTTGCTCTTGTCGTAGGGGCCCACCCCGGGTGCATGGACATCAGTCCAATCTTCCTCTGTGAAGGGTTTGGTGGGGTCTTCTCTCGAAGGGCCAGCATGGATGGCTGCGAAAGATGACGTGACGACGATGCGTTGAACTTTCGCGTCCCGGGCAGCGCGTAGGACACGTAGAGTACCTTCGCGGGCGGGGATGATCAACTCATTCTCGTCTTTGGGTGTTCCAGCGGGGAATGGAGATGCGATGTGGAGGACATAAATGCAGTCCTGAACGGCCTCGGTCCAACCATCGTCTTTGTTAAGATCGGCTTCGACGAATGACAGTTTATCGAGGTTGACTGCATCTCCGGTGCGGAGCGTTGCTTCAACTTGGTCTTTGCGTGCCAGTGACCGAACGGTCGTTCTGACACGGTATCCGGCTGCAAGGCATTTGATGATACAGTGGGAAGCGACAAATCCAGTGCCCCCAGTGATGAGCACCAAATCTTTCGTGGTGGACATGGTAGTGAGATGAGTGAAGCCAGTAGCCACGAGTAGAATTGGCAGTGTTTGTGGTTGGTTTCAGATTGTGATGGTGTGAAGTCTTCGATCAAAGTAAACGCGAGAGGAGCTTACATGTGCAATCGCAACATGTCAGCACTATTGCCCACTTTGGCGAGATACGGGAAGAAAGGGCACGCCCAACTCAATTCTGATACACGCATTCCTTCACAGTCATTATCGACAACAGCTGCAGTATAATGTGAATTTTTATGGAGTGTATCATAGTATGCATCCCAGATGTTGATGATTCACTGCGCCTCTGGTCGGAGACAAAACATAGTACGCACCCCACGGACCCACGGAACACTGGCACTACGGTATTACGGCCCATGTCCGATGGCGTCTGACCGGCAAACAGAACAATTGCCGGTTACCAACATCGTGCCATCCCACCAAATCTCTTTACAGATTCAATACGAATGAGCTACCTCATTTATTTTCAACCTTTGGTTAGCCGTGGTACTTGGGCAGTTACGTAGCTCGGCGGTGTCGATCGTTGCATTATTTCCACCAATGAGTCGCAGAGCCCCATCCGCCAAAATAAAAATCCATCCATACATCACCCTCTACCCGAAGTCTTCTCCACATTGTGGGGAATACTCCATCTCAAACTATCTGGGGTATGGGGAAAACAACTTTTCAATAAACCGAGATCTTTGCAAGGGCCGAGCGCAATGAATACCTATAAAAGGAGGGAAGATGTCGCTTGGAAAGCTTCCGTCTCTCAATTCATCACAGATCTCCGCCCTTCATCATGTTTATCAAGAGGGCAACGATATGCTTGTTTTTTTCTTCTCTTGCTTTGGGTGCTCCCAGCTTGAAACGTTCCACTCATGAACGTTCACATCGCTGTGTGATCCCCTCTTCCAACGGCACGGCCAATGATTCCCCTGCCGTGCTACAGGCATTCGCCAAATGCTCTTCCGACTCCGTCATCGTCTTCCAAGAGGGTGTAGACTATAACATCTTTACTCCCATTGCTGCTACCAATCTCAGCAATGTCGAGATTCAAATGAAGGGCAACCTGCACCTGCCCCAAAACATTTCAACAGTACAAAGTATTGTCAATGGAACGAGCAGCACACTCTATGCTGATGGAGCATATTGGTTCAAACTCGCCGGTCCCAAAATTGACTACACTGGCTCTTCCAATGTCAATAATGGATGGATCAACTCCTATGGACAGGCATGGTGGGATGCAAACCCAGTCAATGGAACGGGCATCGACTCCCGTCCCCACCTTCTGAGCTTCCAAACTACAGATGGCTCTCTTAAGTACTTCAAGTCCCGCAAGCCCATTGCCTGGAATGTGCAGCTACAAGGAGACAATATCACAGTCAGCCATGCCTTCATCGATGCCGAATCGACCGGATCATTCCCCTTCAACACCGATGGATTCGACGTCACTGCCACCAACGTCCGTATCACCGACAGCATCATCTATAACGGCGACGACGCCATTGCTGTCCAGTCAGGATCCCACAATGTGATATTCGAAAGAAACACCATCGGCTATCAAAGCCACGGCATGAGCATTGGATCACTTGGTGAAACCCAGTCCGAGTTTGCCAATGTCTCCGACATCCACTTCTCAGACGTCACCGTCATCGATGCGGTCTATGCCTCCCGCTTCAAGTCCTGGATGGGTGGACAGGGTATCGCGAAGAACATCAGCTGGAAGAACATTCGCGTGTACAATGTTACTTTCCCAATCTTTGTGACCCAGAGCTACACCAACCAGGGCTCCACAGAGACCCAGCTTGGTAACGGTGTGACATCCGGACGCGTGAACAATGCCTCTGTCATGATGGAAGACTTTGTCTGGTCCGATTTCACAGGTTCGGTCAACTCGTGGCGCCCCGGTGATGGATCCTGTGTAACCGACCCTTGCTGGTATGATCTTGGGTTGCCAGATCTCAAGCACACTGAAACCGTGATCATTGAGTGCAATACGAATTCGTCTTGCAAGAACTTTGAATTGACCAATATTGAGATCATCCCACAGACTCTGGCTGAGCCGACTGTGGTCTGTATCAATGCTACTGCGTCATTGAATCCCGAGCTTGGATTTGACTGTCGGAATGGTACCTTCATTCCCAACTGAGCACTCTATCGAAGTTCAGTAATACACGTACTAGCTGAGAAAGCTGTGAGTCGACCTCCCCAAATGCGCTTGAAGCGCGGTTGAGATAAATTTTGGTTTTCGTTTGATTAGAGAAAGAACCAATGAATCATGTCCGATATATGACAATAAATTACTTCAGGAATACTTTCAATAGTGTATAGTCGTATCAATTGATTGTACCTACAAGCACAGTTTTGAGGTCTTCAAATATTCCAAAAATAGATAAGTCCATCAGGACTCTTAGATTGGAAATTCGAGATATTCACATGAAGAATTTTTTGAGATGCTCAATATTGGCCGGGGATTACAAAATACTAGGGTTGGGAGATGGGGGGGAAGGAGAAGGGGACACGCTCTTTCAATGATTTGACGGTATACTACGATCGCTAACTTGGAAAATCCCTCCAGTAAAATCGCTTATCAACATTATCACGTGATCTGTAGTCTTATCCGAGACCTCATTTATCGCTTATCGCTTATCTGATGAATCCCGACGATAAACAGATAAGATAAGGGGATCTAACCATCATGATACATTGATAACTGTAAGCTTGTTTGATTTACTCGTGTCGTCGAGTGATTCGAGTCCAGGACTCCATAGTTGGAGTCAAATAATTCACCGTGAAATATCGAAAATTGCCTCTACTCTGGCCCCTCATCGATAAGTGCAATAACAACCAAAATTGAACATTTGAGATTGATATGACCAATGAGTTGAATGACGGTGAACGTTTGTAATATCTCTTATCATTCTACATTCGTTTAGTTCGTGAGAAGTTTTCATATCTGACTTTAATTGGGCTTCCAGCAAATGTATCATGCAATACTAGTATACTTAGTATCAGAGTTTCCGAAGTCCGTGTGTGCGGGGTTCTGTGTCGGTCACAACTCCGTCATCAGTCTGACTTCCCGGGAGTCGTCTTTTGCAGAAACCTCAATAGCGCAAGAACAGGTGCCAAACACACATGCAATTTAAAAAGTTCTCTCTAGCTATACTATACCCGTCCCCATGACTTCAACTTCCGGCCCTTTTTCATCCCTATCTACCCCCGCAGTACAAGCCAGATTAAGCTTCCTCATCCAAGAATACGAACAAACCCACACCAAATCAAGAGATGCATCCAAAAGAGCGCAAAAGGTGCTTCCTGCCGGAAGCACACGATCTGTTCTTGTCTCTGATCCATTCCCTCTGGTGGTGAAATCTGCACAGGCCGCGACGTTTACAACAGTTGATGACGTGACCTTCGAGGATTTCGTCTCAGACTATTCGGCAGGAATATACGGACACTCGCACCCCGTGATTCAGGAAGCAGTTCAGGAAGCATTATCCACGGGCTTCAGTCTAGGTGGAATCACAGGAAAAGAAACAGAGCTGGCCGAGATTTTGGTCAACAGATTTCCTTCCATGGATAAGGTCCGATTCTGCAATTCTGGAACTGAAGCGAACATGTTTGCTATTGCGACGGCAATGGCATCTACGAAGAGAAAGAAGGTGAGATATTCACATTGATCAGTCGCTGATGTATCAGTGTCTAATCAAATTCTCTTAGATCCTGGTCTTTGAGAATGGATACCATGGCGGAACCCTCAGCTTCTCGACAAGGAACAACCCCATGAACCTACCGCATGAGTTCGTGGTGGGTACATACAATAATATCGAAGAGACACGACCTCTCGTCAAAGATCTAGCGGCTATTCTAGTCGAACCCCTCCAAGCAGCCGGAGGTATGCATCTCGCGACTAAGCAATTCCTGTCGTTCCTCCGTGAAGCAGCGAGCCAGACTGGAGCAGTCCTCGTTTTTGATGAGGTGGTCACCTCACGGCTTGACTATCATGGCATTCAGGGCCTTTGGAATATCATACCAGACATGACAACTGTAGGGAAGTACCTAGGCGGTGGTTTTCCATTTGGCGCATTTGGCGGCTCGGCAACTATCATGGACCGATTTGATTCAACGGATGAATCTATCGCGCTTCACCATTCTGGAACATTCAACAATAATATCTTCACAATGTGTGCTGCTGTTGCGGCGGCAAAGTTGATTACACCACTGGAACTTGAGCGTTTGAATACCATGGGGGAGTTGTTCCGGCATGGGGTAGGTATGATGATTGATGAACAAAAGTTTACGCAGATGGAAGTCAGTGGATATGGAAGTGCGATTGGAATTCACTTTAAGGGACCTGGCTCCGATGTTCTGAAAGATTTGTTCTATTTCACACTCCTTGATCAAGGGATTTCTATTGGGAGACGGGGCTTTGTTTCTCTGAACCTCATGCATTCTAAGGCTTCTGTTATTCGTCTCCTGGAGGCTGTAGAAATATTTTTTGGTGAATTGGCAACAATCGTGATTCAGTCACGATTTGTGAATTGAAATTTTATGGAAAAAATTATGTTTAAATTTAGCATTGAATGCCAACCTTAGAATACATGTATCTAATGGTAGGCAGTGGCTAGTATATTATCAGCACTCGAGAGTGAACGAAAGGTTGACGATGACCCGGCGCCCCCCAATGCCCCAGCGCCGAAAAGAAATCGCCCTGGTCCATGGCAGAGCTGGCAGTCATACCACGGTTGTCTGTAACAATCAATTGATATCCAGATGTCGCATACAAAATGCTAATTGGCGCAATGCTACGCCAAGCCGTATGTACCTCTCGAGCTGTTTGAAAATCCAACTAAGAGTTTCAAAAACAGGATGCATGGAGTGCTCGTGAGCTTCAAATGTTCCAGGGCCACAACCCCTTTTTTTTGCAAGACGACTGCAGGGATGCATACCCTTGTGAGAGACTTCGTCTACTTTTACATCGCCTTTATGGGACTTGTGACAATCTTCCACGGTTGGAATGGAACCACTTAGCTCTATACTGGGACTAGTAGGTAATAGTATGTCATCTCGCGATTACTAGAATCGCTTCCATCAAGGTCGGCCAATTCTATCATGTTGGTTGATGTACAAAGAAAACATGGAAGATCCACGACCCTGTCCCCTACTATACAGGGCATGGTCTAATGTACTGGAAGAAAAGAGAAAGGGGAAAGAAAAGAAGAAAAAAAAATAACAAAAGGACAAAAGCCAATAGGAGTGGCCAAGCCACGAAGCCGCAAGATGGAGAGAGCAAGAGAGAAAGAGAGGGGGACGGGGAAGCAAGTATGAATCGAATCGTAGAAGCGTTAACAGGCATTTCACCGAACAAGGTCGAAATCCACAGAAGATACTAGCCATCAAGTCTGAGATGCTTTTCCGTTGAAGAACCAACTACTTCTCTTTGTTTCTTGCGACATCTTCTCGGCATTCACAGCCTCCGACCCTCCGGTTCCCCTTAGAGGCTTTGCGATCCTGCCAAAGCTGAAACTACCATTGCTGTCCATGACTGGCAGACCGCGGGTGGAGCCTTGCTTGGCGGCCTCCAGGCGTTCTTTGACAGCGGTGAGTTGGGCTTCGAATCTGTGGAGAGGGTGTTTAGTATATGGCTGAACAGTGAAAACCCAAGTTCTTTTCTTAGAGTATAGTAGCAGTACATACCGGTGATTCGCTTGGGTCAGCTTCTCCTGGCTCTCCTGAAGCAAACTCTCCAGACTAGCGATGCGCTCGTTCCGTGCAATGAGCTTCCTCTCTGCAATGGCCACTTCCTTCTTCAAGCTACTGTTCTGTTCCACTAATTGGCGCTGAACGTGAGTCAGCTGCTCTAGGTTGCGTTCTAGGAAGGCCATCTTCTTCTGCTGGGCCCGGTTGTTGGATGATCGTAGAACATTGTTGTATTGCTCGCGGGCATCGTCCAAAGAGATTTCCAGCTCCACCACACGCTCACAGCGGTTCTGCAAGTCCCGCATTAGGGACTTCTTCATGGCATCGAATTCGGCAATCTGTTGGTGTAATGTCTTGCTGGCGGTGCCATTGGTGGACGTTCGGGACTGCGTGTCAACAAGAGATTGTCGCATCTTGGTCAACTCTTCATCCTTGCGAGTGATTGCAGTGCGGAGTTCCTCGACTGCCGCGCTCTCGGCTTCCTTACGACCGATGAACGATTTTTCCACCCGCTCCCGAATCTCTTCCACGTCATTCTCGTCCAAGTTTCGGGTCAATAGGTCTTCGTATTCCCGCTGAACCTCGTTCAGCTTCTGTTCCAGCTCCTCCCGGCGGCTGTCCTGCAGCTCGCTCAAGTCGCCCCGATCGTTAATTGTCAATTCGGCCTGTCGAATCAAGCCTTGAGTCTCTAGCAGACTGGCTCGAAGCTCAAGGATGTCATCGGGTGCAATGATTTCTCCAACTGCGCTGACCTCGTGGAGCACGTCAACGCGCTGGATCAGATCCTGCAACTTGCGCTCATTGTCTGAGAAAACCTCACCACCCAGATCGAACCCGGCCATCATCTTTGCCATTTTCTCGGCCTTCTTCTTCTCCTTTTCGTCGAGCGCGGCCGTGGTCTCCTTGGCCCGCATGCGAACATCGAGAAGTTGCTGCTTTACCTCATCCAACTCGCTCGTGAGTTCGGAATTAGCCTCCCGGAGGCCATCCATGGTGATTGCCGCTTCCTTGCCCTCGTAGGAGACCTTTTCAAGTTGCATGCGTAACTCATTCAGTTCAGTATTCAATCGATCGTTGTCCTTGCCCGAGCGCCCGGCGTTCTCTTTCATGGACTTTAGTTCCTCTCGCGCTTCACGGAGACCGCGTTCAACATTGACAATATGCGACTCCTTCTCAGCGATTTGATCCTGCAATTCGTTCTCGCGGCGAAGAAACTCCTCTCGCTCGTCTTTCTCCAACACCAGGCTGGGAGTGCTTGAGCGATCTCCAAAGCGAGAGTCTGGGCGTGGGGTTTCGGAACGGGCAGTCTCCTGCAACCGCGATGATGGCGTAGCTGGTCGGGGAGCGGCAGAAGCGCGTGCCTCTGCCCTGGCAGCAGCACTGGCAACCTCGTTCCCACGAGCTGGGGTCCAACGATCCTTAGGAACATTCTCACCTCCACGCCACACATTGATCTCACTCTCCAGTGCAGAAATGTAGCTCTCAAATGTGGTCATCTGTGTCTGAGCCTTGCGTAGAAGCTGCTTCATTTCAGCCGGGCTCAGTTCCGCATTCACCTTGGCAGTGTTCTTGATCGCCTTGGCTCGTACACCAAACCGTAGGGTCGAAACGGTCTCTGCGTCGTTGTAGCTACTCGGCGAACAGTTGATGATCAAGGTGGTTCGCGAGTTACCACCTAGCGACTCCTGCAGAATTCGAGTGAGTTTCGAATCACGGTACGGAATATGAGTTGATTTTCCGTCCGTCAGCGCATTGATGACCATTCCTAGAGCACTCAAACTCTTGTTAATCTTCTTGGCTTCCTCCAATGTCTGTCCACTTGCTCCAGTCTTGCCGACCTTCTCACTACCGGCCAAATCAACTAGGAAGAGTTGGCCGCTCTTCGCAGACCCGGTCTCAAGATTCTTCTGGCTGACAGTGATGACAAAAATGGAGTGTGAGCGAGAGGACTCTTGGTTCATATTGGTGGCCGCCACAGCGCGCGAATTTCCACCACGGCGCATCACTTCATAGACCTCTTGCACGCTCGACACATATACTTCCAACAGTCCCTTCACGTAGACTCCGCGGGACTTCTCCTCGTGCACAGGCAGATTGTCATTCTGCGGTACCAGTAAATCGCGAATACGCTCCATATAGATCTCCATGTAGCTCACGCGCACGGTGTACTCGATATTGCTCGGGCTGGTCAAGATGCTGGCGAAGATCTGCTCGACAATACGAGGGATAATACCCTTTCCCTCCTCGTCGTCGATGTCGGAACCCATCATTGTATACGACTTTCCGGCACCTGTCTGACCGTACGCAAAAACCGTTCCGTTATATCCATTTAGAATATCGTCCACAGTGGGGCGAATAGAGAAATCGAAGATGTCGGCTTGAGCTGAGCCCATCGGAAACACACGATCAAAGGTGAAGGAGCCCGTGCCCTCTCGTGACTATAAATCTCGTTGTTAGCATGTTTGCCTCTCTCTCTCTCTCTCTGGCGCGCGCACACGCGCGCGCGAGATATGCTAGCCCAGATCCCGCGCTCACATTGATAACACATGATTCTTCATTTTCGAATTCGACAACCGGTGTACCGCCAGAGCCTAATTCCACCTTGTTCTGGGGACGGAAACGGGCGACCACTAAGGCACGTGAAGGGGTTAGCTGTAGTTTTCATCCGACGCTCGTGTTGTGCGTACCCTTAATGGTGTTCGACCCCGCGGACCTGTTTGATAAAGTCAGTAAATGTTTGTCACACATGTACAGACTAAAAGAAAAGTACTGACGCCATGATTGTAGTTAGCAGTTTCAAGCCCTCCCACAGAAAGAAACAAGGCCCCTAAGAGGGGCAAACTCAAGCTCGAGGGGCTTTTGAGTTGTTGTCACGGGGGGTTTTCTGGAGGGTCCAGGGTCAGGGGGTTTCTCCACTAAGCACGGAGCAGTCAAAAATGAAAGAAAAAGGGGGAAACACAAAGTATCTGCAACGCAGCAGAGAACCCAGCACGCCCGGCGGATTTGGGAGGTGGTAAAAGAAAGAAGAGGTGAGGGTTGTGGATTTGTTGACAGACGCCCGTTTGGCGTTCTTCGCCGACCGCCCCGGACTGTGAGCGTGTTGTGGTGGATCAACGGGGGCTTCATGAAAAAATATACTACGTAATACTATTTAGTAAATACCAAATAATTCGGCATATGGGCTTTGAACATTAGATCCTCAACAACATTGAAGGGGTATTGTATAGATATTGGTCAATTGGTTTACTCGAACAACCCTGCGCTTTTTCTTCTACAGGAAACAATATGGTGAATATGTAGTAAAATAAACAAGAAAAATGCTAATGCAATAGGAGCTACTGAGAGGGGATAATGACCGATGCACCAGGACACAAAATGAAAGATACAAAGAAAATCCAGCCGTAATAAGATGAGGAGAAAATAAGAGGAGAAATATGAAGAAGATGGGGAGGGGTGGGGGAAAAAAGAACCAGACGCCTAAACCCCATGCTGTGCAGATCAAACGGCCCCGATTGAAGACCATCAGTGTGTTCGTCCTCCGAGCTGCTTCGGCCCTAACGTCAGGACATAAAAACTTCAAACGTACTAAATCGCAACCGGCTGAGACGCGAAAAAGAATAGAGAAACAAGAAAGCAAGAGAGATTGCTTAATCTTCCCAGCTCTTCTCTACAGTCTCTCGAACACGCTTGACATATTCTTTGCGGTTGTCCTTGTAAAGGTTTGAGGCTTCGACGTTGGCCGGGGAGGAGGTGTTAGGGTCATTGAGCAGACTAGAGCCATTGTTAAAGTTAGAGATCAATTTGACATGGAAAACGTGCACAAAATCAAATAGGGACATACCTCTGGATGCTTGTCAGAATGGCCGCCACGTCGTATGTCGGACTCCAGCGGTTCTGGAGAATGTCCAGACAAAGTTCACCCGTGCCATAAACGTTGGGGTGGAACATTTGGCTGATAAACTTGACACCAGGGGGCTTATTAGGGTACTGTTCCTCAAAGTTCATCACCAAGCGGAAAGTGCCATCTTCAAAGGGCGTATCTGCGGGGCCAATAATGACGGCATTCCTAACCACATTATCAGATTTGAACCCAAAGAAGAAGAAAAAGAAGAAGAAGAAGAAGAAGAGGAAGAAGAGGAAGATTTATGAGCCGCAGATGAAATTGATCATACCAGGTCATGACATTATCAGCTACCGGCGAGGCAGAGACACCAGCGGGAGGATCGGTTTGCATACGCTGAGGTCAGGTTAGCGGGGCAAATAAGAAAGAATACCACGAGGGACCATGGGGGTTGGGGATGAGGATGAGGATAATCAAAGAAGGATGGTTTGATGATGGCGAAGTGAAGGCCGAATATCCACGAAATTTCAAGATCGTTGGATTTGAGCTTGGATCTCGATTCATCCAACCTCTAATTTGACATCACCTCAATGGTCCAGTGACGCTGATGATGAACAGACCTTAAAGTCACGCATGAGACGACGACGAGCAGAGGTTGACATGATGAATGCAAAGATTTGATGCTTGTGGGAAGGTGGTTCACAGAACTTGAGAAAGTTGGTTAAGGGAAGAGGAAGCTATGCCAGTTGAAAGACTATGGGTTTCTGAAAGAGCACGAGGAGGGGAACAAACCCGGAGTAACTAGTCATATGGGGAAACTATCCGTATTGGCGGAAGTTGAATTATCCGAAATATCCTTATGTCATATCATGTGATCTCCAACAGCCTCGGTAGAGGCGGTTAAAGGCGGTTGCGGGAACGGCTATATTCCGTCCAAATAGCTGTGAGAGTCGGCGAACTTCCTTCTTCTCTTGTCTTTCATGGTCTAACACAAACTCATCTTCACCTATAGAAGATTTTCTCATCCCTTCTACAGCTTCTCACATTGAAAGAATCAAATATGGCGATCACTACCGGGTTGTCTGTTCGCCTTTCCAAGCGGGCTATCCTCCCCGCATTCCGTAGCCAGAGAGAGTTCAGCTCTGCACGTTCTACCTTGAAAGAGATCCAGGATGCTTATATTATCAGTGCTTCTCGAACCCCGACAGCTAAGGTCAGTTTCTTTGTTTGTCTGTTTTTGTTGAAATGACAGTCTTGTATTAAAGAATATTGACGGCTAACTTACAGTATTCTTAAAACAGTTCAATGGTTCTTTCGCATCTGTGTCAGCACCTGAGCTAGGTGCTATCGCAATCAAATCTGCCCTGAGTAAATCCAAGATACCTGTGGAAAAAATCAGCGATGTTTATATGGGGAATGTTTTGCAGGGGTCTGTCGGTCAAGCTCCCGCTCGCCAGGCATCTATATTCGCTGGTCTGCCCTCTATTGTCGAAGCAGTGACCATCAATAAGGTTTGCGCATCGGGTTTGAAGTCAGTGGCATTGGCTGCTCAAAATATTCAACTTGGCTTGGCGGAGGCACAAGTGGCTGGTGGTATGGAGAACATGACTCGAGTACCGTACTACATGCCCCGCTCCAGTCAGCTACCCCCCTTTGGTGAAATCAAGATGGAAGATGGTCTGATTAAGGATGGCCTATGGGATGTGTACAATCAGTTTCATATGGGTATTTGCGCTGAGCAGACCGCCAAGAAATACCAAGTTTCCCGAGAAGATCAGGACCAGTATGCCATTCGCTCATACGAGCGGGCTCAGCAGGCCTGGAAGGAGAACCGGTTTGCGGACGAGATTGCCAGTGTCACAGTCAAGAATAAGAAGGGCGAGACCGTCATTGAACGAGATGAGGGTTATGAGAACTTACGGGTGGACAAGTTGACGAGCCTGAAGCCCGCGTTCCTGCGAGATGGAACTGGCACCGTTACTGCAGGCAATGCGTCTACTATGAATGATGGAGCCTCCGCTTTGGTGTTGGTCAACAAAGATTTGGCCCGGGAATTTGGCACGGGGGGACGGGTCTTGGCTCGTATTGTCTCAACTGCCGATGCTGCCATTGATCCGGTGGACTTCCCAGTGGCACCAGCCAAGGCCGTCCCGATCGCCCTTGAACGGGCTGGTATCACCAAGGACCAAGTGGCCGTGTGGGAATTCAATGAGGCTTTTGCCGCCGTTATCAAGGCCAATGAGAAGGTATGATTTGACTCTCAATACCTCTTTCGCTTTTCCGCTTTTTTGAAATTTTAGATTTTGTCAAACTAACTTTACTATTTCAATCAGATTCTTGGTCTGGAAGATGCCAAGGTCAACATGCTCGGCGGTGCTATCTCTCTGGGTCATGCTCTAGGCAGCTCTGGATCTCGTATCTTGGTGACTCTGCTCCACCAGCTTCAGCCTGGTGAATATGGCGTGGCTGCCATCTGCAATGGTGGTGGTGCAGCTACTGCTATGGTTGTGCAGAGATTGGATCGCGTGGAGTAGATACTGTACTATGCGATCAGTATGAACATCCTTAACGATACCCTTAAACATGCCTACAATTCCGGCGGTATTTTCCCCTCTGAAATTTTGATATGTAAACATCAATTTTTTAAATTTTTAAATTTTTTTCAAGGTTAAAACATTGAACATATACATGTATTCATACTTCAAATGTTCGAAACTAGTGAGCTTGAAGCCTTGAGTTCCATCGAATTATTTATCTGTGGTTTAGCTTCCCAAGGTTTAGAAGCTTAACATCTAGCCAGACTCAGAAATGCTTGTCAAGTTTCAGGTGCTAAGCCGCGATCGCCTCGTGGAGCACGTAAAACTCTACATATTCAACTAAATATCAGAATCAAAAAATAAAAATAAAAAAACCAGTCAAGTTGTACAAAAAGAAGTTCGATTTTCATATTTTTGGGTGGAATGACGCTAGCCCCAATCGGGTAGCTATAAGCAATCGCGCTCTGTGAATCTGTGAACTCATTTCTCTTCTTTACTTCCTCGTTGAAAGATACTTGAGCTTCTCCTCCCCCACAAAAAATCAAACAAATAAAGCAACAAAAGCTTGAGACCCATACTGTTCAACAAAGCTGGATCTTAACAAAAGCAAACATGTCCAGCTCTTCGGAGCTGTTTCTTTTCCCATCTTGTTTTGGGGCCCTTGACTGGTCGCCAGATGGAGAACTTGCCGTGGCCGCAGGTGACCAAGTTCAAATTATGGTTGAAGACCCTAGTGAATCCGCTTGAGGAATAACCCAAAAAAAAATACTGACTGTATCGTGAAATAGACATGGAGGCCTGCAAAATTCAACTCAGAGCAAGGGGACCACAATGGCTGGCAAATCACCCGCATTCCCAAGGTCAATGTATTCACGGTTGCTGAGTGGGGCATGGTTTACCCGCAAAACCGTGATGACTTTTCAATTGCCGTGGAGCAATCATCGAGTACGGTGATAGGCCTTTCATGGTCGCCGCCAGGGCTAGCTCGATACCGGCGGAGTGCCTTGGCAATCTGGACCTCCAACCTGATTCTTTCCTTATGGGAACCGGTTGGAATCAACGGCCAGTGGGCTCGAGTCAGCATCGTGAACAACGCTCTACATCCGAATCCCAAAATTTCCCAAGATCTTGGTGGCATTGACCTTCGCAAATCAAGTATCCGCTCTTTCCACTGGTGCTCACCTCTTCGAGTACCGGCCGATGGATCTAAATCGGCAACAGTACCCGAGTCTCGTTGGGGTGTCCAGATACTGGCCATAGCGAATGATGCTAACGAGGTGGCTCTACTTCGAATTCACCGACCAACTGGGCTACAAGCTTCATCGGATGCATACGTAATCACCCAGTTGGCCACTTATCCCCTATGCGGAGGTGAAAAGCAATTCGGCGTATCTTGCCCCGGCTCGCTTCTGCAGGATGCACTTCGATCTAAAGCGCGGATCACGTCAATCAAGTGTGGTCCATGGGTGAGTTTATCCAGTATCTCGGGAAATGGCCATGTACATTCCGCAAGAACTGTAATTGCGGCTGTCTATGGAACAGAGCTGCAGATCATACAGGCCACTGTTGCAATAGGAGAGTCAGACCAAGAGGTGGAGGTTACGCCTCGATACGAAGCCATGGTGGAGGTCAAAGCACACCCGTTACGTCCATCTGACAGTTCGACTCAAAGGGTGACAGGACCTCTTGAATTTTTACATACTGTACGTATTAAAAGAAAAAGAAGGGTTTTCATATACTGAGAAGTTCTCCAACTGACTCACTACAGCAGGGACAATCGGAAAATCTCGTTCTGGCCGTAGGAATCATTGGTGGCGTTCTCACGGTATCCTTACCCTGGTCCGTGTGTGATGGCAGTGAAACAAGTATTTCCGCAATAAAGAGTCAACGATGGCCTTGCTCGTCCTTACCTACTCCGGAGGATGAGCCGTGGCCTCGGAATTTGGAGCCTGTTTCAAGTGAGTGGGTTGGCTTGCTGCTTGTTCTTTTGTCTGCATTCAACTAAAGTTTGACTCTACCCCAGGCTTCGTTGTGACATCAGATGAACGAAATAGAACATGTACCCTTCAAATGGGTACTCTAGGTGGTCTGGGTGCTAGCTTAACGCTTGGCCAATCAGGGGATCTTGAGCCGTGGCAAGTTCCACTCTGGATGAAAGTGGTTGAAGAATTTCGGGAGGACTATGACTTGAGTCATGACTTGGGAGGGCATACTGCTGCTCGTGTTTGGGGTTTGTCAACGTACCGTGGTCTCACTGCGGTCATTTTCACCAGACATCCGACAGATATGGTTGAGTACCGTGTGGCTTCAAACGAGAGATCAATGGTAGTTTTCACCGACGAAGGAACCAAGCAAGCCCCGGATTTCCATACCCTGTTCACTCCGCATTCGGTGGACAGCGAACCGCAGTTTGCTCTTGACCAACGAGGAAAGGCTATATTGTCTGTGCTCGGTAGCGTGGAACAAGATGTGGGATCAAGCAAGGAGGATCAAACACTTTTGTACGCCGCAGCGTGCTCCGCGATAGTGGATAGACATAGCGACTTTATTCGTTCTCAAGCTCAGAATTGCTTAGAGCAACTAGCAAAAAGTACGGGGGCGGATTTGAGCGAAGAAATCTCGAAATTTTCTAGCCTTGAGTCCTCGAACATATCATCCAAGCCAATTGATCAGCAGAAGATGCCTGGCGGTCATATGTTTGAATATTGTGAGATTTGTGACGCAGGCCTCGCTTGGGATTCTGTGAAGGAAGCAAAATGTGCAAATGGGCATCTCTTTGGTAAGTCCCCCCCCTCCCCCAATGAGCGGAGGTTTTGATCTTGCTGTTGATATGCATGCACTCTAGCACGGTGTGCCCTAAGCTTCATGGCAATACAGGAGCCCGGGATATCCAAGTATTGCCCAATTTGCCGAGCGGAATACTTTGATGAAGATATTCTTGCTCGTGTGCGTCATCGCCATGTTGGCCCAAAGTTTATGCAACTTTTCGAGGCGTATGATACCTGCATCTACTGTGATACAAAATTTCAGACCAGCGTTTAGCAGGAATTATCTCTACGAACCCGGGTTGTGAATGGAGGGGAGGGGAAAGACAACGTCTACAGGATTGACTTTGATTACTATTAGTACTCATTCCTTTTTTTCTGAATTGACGCATTTTTAATGCCTGGCTATGTTTAGTTTAAACCAAGGAGTTTGCCAGCAATGGGATTCCATTCATCATCCCACCGCCGAGTGCTTTCCTTTTGCGCGCCAATGCGAAGGGCCTCAAGTTTTTTGTCATCGCCGAACAGCTTGGTAAGTTGTTCTGTCAGCTCAATTGCGCTGCCAAATCCCATCCCATTCATTCTCTCGGTCACCAGCTCAGGCCATGCTTCGAAGCGACTCCAGCCCACGACCGGGAGGCCAGCACCGAACATGTCGACGACTTTCATCGGCAAATCTACTCCGCTACTGCTGGTATGTAGACTCACTCCTAGCGATGCAGAGGCCAGGAGTTTTGCATAATCTGACACGCTCAACCATGCAGTACGAATCGTGACCCTTGTCAGCTTACCCGCGGCTTCAAACGCTTCAATTTTCTGCAGATACATTTCTTTTTGCGGACCTTTGCCAGTAATTATTGCAAGGATATCGGGTAGGTCTGGATTAGAGACGGCGAGCTCCGAGTATTGCAGTAATGCTTCGATGAGAATTGAAAAGTCCTCATCGGCGGTCCAGGAAGTTGAGCTGACCAGAATCCGTAATTTGCTAGCTTCGACCGATGAACATACATCCATCGTCTCTGGTAGACTTGCAAGGAAAGCAATGCGCTCACCAGCATCTCGGATTGGGCTGAAATGGCTTGCAGGGCGATCGTGCAGCGGCAGGATGGGAGCCTGGAGCTGGAAATCGCGTTTAAGAACTGAGCACATTGCATTGGTCACGCAAAAATGAGCAAATGCCGATTTACAAAAAAGTCTCTCGTACCAGAGAGAAAACTTCACGAGTGGGTGCTTAGATCCGAGTTTCAGAGCCAGAATGGAATACCCAAAATTATGCCAATCGATGACTAGTCGCGTTTGTCGTAGGAAGCAGGATAGAGAAGCGACGACAAGCGTTGGGATTGATGGTGGATTCTACATATGCAAAGTATTGATTAGCGTCCCCTCCGTTTACATTCATTCTCTCTCTCTCCCTCCCTCCTGTCTTGAATATATAGGATATCTCACCTGTACCAGCAACCATTGCGATGGCGGGGCAGTATACGCTAGACAGCGCCAAATACACACAATCTGGAATAGCACCTTCAAGGGGCCATAAATGGTGAATAGAAGTTTATTACTTGTTTGAAGGATCTTTGGGTGAGGGCGAATTGGGATAATGGAGACGTTTGGGTGGGAGATCAGGTCGGGATGAGGATCGGATTCTGTAACGTGGATCAATCAAATCGTTAAGTTGGAAGCTTCTTTTCTTTTCTTTTTTTTTTTTTTTGGAGGGGGGTCTCGTACCGGTATATCCAATAATCATCACCTCTCCACCTTTTCTAGCAATACTCAAGGCATGGTATTGCATGCGTGGACTCCGACCAATGTCTCCTAGCACGAGTATCTGCACACTTGTCTTCGGCCGTTTAGTCGCTTCGGAAGTGGGAGCTGGACGAGGCCGATACTGTGATGGGAGCAATAAAATCAACACCGTTATCACGCTTGACACGCAAAAAGCAACATTGATGAGGGTATCAATCATTGTGGAATATATGAACCTTCTCAGGCTCAAAGCTCAAAGCTCAAGAATCTCCAAAAGAGCTTCAAGTGATACTCGCAACTCAACTTGAATGATGGAATTGATTGGCGATAAGGTATATGTCACGTGTTCGCCCCCCCCAAGGTCCGCGGCGAGAGGTGTGAAGAACCACTCTAATACGTGGTCGTCCACTCGAAGTGGAGCAGTTGTTCGACTCCCTCAATCCCCATCCCTGCAGCTACGACGCGCAATGCTGCGTGCTCTGCAAACTGCCTATCTCCCGATTTGAGCTTTGAAGCCCCCGGATTTTGACGCTGAGCGGCACACCCCCCCCCCCTAAACTCTTCAACTTGTCGCAAATATCTCTACTGTCTTCTAAATCAATCGAATCAAGCAATGTCGACGGGGCCGTCGCCGTCGTCAGACACGAACCTCGCTCCTTCACCCGCAAGTAATGGTCACACCCATAACCATAGCCATAGTCACAGCCGCGGTCACGCTCGCTCTCGTTATGCACAACCACCGCCGCCACCCCTCCCCCTCTCCCTCGGCGCCAATGTGAATGGGTTCCAAGTGCCAGAGACTACAAATGTCGCAGGAAGAGTTCATTCTCATGGACACGCCTCTCAAAGTTCAGTGTCTTCTCATCATCAGCACTCACATTCCCTCTCGGTATCCCACGATCATCAGGGCCATAACCATGCGCATACCCATACCCATAACCATAGCGTGGCTTCGATCCATGACTTGTCGTCGCATTCGCACAATCTAAAGTCGGCGTCAGAGATGCACGCAGAGACAAGCTCGGAGAAATTGTGAGTTAACGAAATCTATCAGCAACTTCCAGGCGGACGTGAATTGACCCTTTTCCCCTCTTTCCCTTTGGTGTAGCTATGAAATCTTTGCCGGTTCCCTGATCGCGTTGCCCTGGATCGCACTCTCTTGGTATCCCCACAAATGCGCAGATGCGTGCCATGCACCAAGTGCCACAGGAAATGCCACTCCTCCATTTGGAGGAATTGGACATGCTGGGCAAACGGCGGGTGTTTTGACCGCATTCACACTCTTAGCATTTGGAAGTGGACAAATTCTGCGTAAGCGCCAAGCTGGAAGCTCGATTACCCCGATCAAGTTCCCCACGCCCAATACAAAGACCGCCCAGGCTGCATTTATACAGGTGTTCTCAATCGGACTTCCGATTTACGCATCATTGAAAGTGGGGGGCTTTCTGGTTGCTTTTGCTTTGCTTCTTTCAACAGCCTCCGGAGTCCCGAACCTGGTGCAAGCCGATTTACGTGGAGCAAGCTCGGAGAAATATAGCCGAAAGGGCTTGACTATTGCTCTGCTGGTCAGTGTGATGATTTTGAGCTTTTTTGGCTTGAATCAGCCCTCGGACTCTTCTCCTTTCATGGGGTATGTAGCGCTAGTGACCTCTGTCTTTGTGCTTTCCCCGCCTCTTCCCTCTCTTCGCCATCAAGGACCTATTCCAGAGCCAGGCCTAGTTGCAGAATCGATTTCCAAAGCCAAGTCGGCAGGCGATCGTTCGGCGGGCGTACTAGTGACGACCGATGCTCCTCTTGCCCTGGTTTCGGGTGTTTTCCTTCTTGTTCTCGGACTTATCGTTTCCCGAGGGCTACCTTTTTCATTATCAGACCTGTTCTACATTTTAATTCCTGCTGGTCTCTTGGCAATATCTTTGGGGGTTTCATTTCCAACTGGCCTCCGTTCTCCTGATAAGTATGGACTAGCCATCTGTACTGGAGCCGCAGCTCTTCTCTGCTCCCCTCACATCCAGGATGAGATTTTGCCTGTCTACGGTGCCCGTTGCATCTTGGCTGTTGTATCTTTCTTCGCTTCACGGATTGACGACAGCCGACTCCGCGTGGATGCTCATTCGCACAATCACAACCACGGTCATCAAACCCACAGTCATTCCAACACCCCTGAGTCTACTACTCGTATCACCAAATGGGTCATTCGTCGCAGTGAGCCATATCCTTTGCTTTACAGCATCGTAAAAGAGAAGGATTCCCGCAGCATTTTCTACTTTATGTGGTAAGTTGACCAAATCTGCATTTGCCTCCCCCTGGTAGTGGTGTATGAATCCTGACTTGCGCAGCTTAAATTTCTCATTTATGCTTGTCCAGCTATCATATGGCTTTTTGACTGGATCTCTGGGTCTTCTCAGTGATAGTATCCACATGTTTTTCGACTGCCTTGCCCTGGTTGTTGGACTTTGTGCTGCGGTCATGAGCAAATGGCCCCCCAATGCTCGCTTTCCATATGGCTACGGAAAAGTCGATACTTTGTCTGGCTTTGCCAATGGAATTTTCCTCATGTAAGCTCTCTGAAATTTCCATTTGAGACTTCTAGGAAGGGAGAGAGAGAAAAAACCAAAAGCAAAACTAACAATTGACTAGGATTATCAGCGTGGAAATCATTTATGAGGCCGTAGAACGGTTGTCATCCGGTAGTGAAATGCACCGTATTGGCGAATTGTTGGCAGTAAGCTTTGCTGGCTTGCTGGTCAACTTGGTCGGAATTTTTAGCTTTGAACATGGCCATCACCACCACGGTCATGATCATGGGCACGACCACTCCCATGGTAATGAGAACATGCATGGTATCTTTCTACACATCCTTGCTGATACGCTTGGCTCTGTGGCTGTGGTTATTTCCACCATCCTTGTACATTACTCGGGTTGGGCAGGGTATGATCCTCTAGCTTCGTGCTTCATTGCTATCTTGATCTTTGCTTCGGCTGTGCCGCTAGTCATTAGTACAGCCAAAACCTTGCTTTTGGCTTTACCAGCCGACACAGAGTACAATGTTCGTGAAACTCTGGCGGGGGTCAGCACCTTACGGGGAGTTGTTGGGTATACTGTGCCTAAGTTCTGGCTTGATGATACAGGTTCAAGCGAACCCGGACACTCCCATGATCACACCGACCATACTACTACCCACCACAAGCATGATCACAGTGAACATGCCCACCAACACGACAGTCATGGGCATGATCAGTGTCACGATCACGATCATGGCCACGACAATCATAACCATGACCATGACCATGATCATGATCATGAACATAAAGCTCAAAAGGTTTTCGGTGTCATTCATGTCATTGCATCCCGCGGTTCGGACCTTGAAGATGTTCGACAGAGGACAGTGACCTATCTCAAGGATAAGAATGTAGATATTGTGGTCCAGGTGGAGCGGGATGGAGAAGGCCGTTGTTGGTGCGGTGGAGGGAACAAGGGTCTTTAGGTGTTTTTTGGTGGGGGCTTACTATTCAATTTTCTTTTTTTTCTTCAAAGAGCTCAACTCTTTGGATAGCATATTGTAATAGCAATCCATGGATACCCCTCAAGACCAAAAAACAACAACTCAAATATACCTTTTGCAGAATCAGGAAACATCACGCCAGCCGAGAGACACGGAAAGGGATTCTCTACCTCCGATTTGCTGATATTTACAGTAAACGATGGGGTCGACCCCACCGAAACCGATGCGCGAGAACGAAAACGAAAACGATTTATCGATAACCAAAAGCACGCGTGAATCCACCAATAGTATCATCTACACAGCCTTCTTGAGATTAAAAACTCCACCATAAAAGCGGGACCCATCAGTTCCTTGGAGGCCCTAGGCCCCTAGCAACATGCTGACAATCAATGGGGGTGAGATGAGTTCTCCAAGATTTTGCACAAATCCTTTCCCCATAACCACACCCACTTTCACCTTGCTCTCACAACTTCAGCCTATGTATTGTACTGCAACCGACTCAGATTCAGTGTGATCGCAAATTTCCAATGAGTTACGCCACCTGCCAACAGGTCTCTCTCGAGTGCCCTGTATCCGCAACAACATACGGGTATATACCGAATCTTGGCGGAAATGCCTTCTTTACGGCATATTATGCTCTTCTCGGTGTCGCACAAGTGGGCCTGGGCGTTTATTACCGAACATGGACGTTTATGATTGCGCTGGGCGTAGGCGCGCTCATGGAGATGGCGGGATATATTGGCCGGGTGTTGATGCACAGCAATCCTTGGAATGAGAGCGCTTTCAAGTTACAGATTGTTTGTTTGGTCCTGGCGCCGACTTTCGTTGCTGCGGGAGTTTATCTCACGCTCAAACATATCGTGCTTTATCTGGGACCGGAACATTCGATTCTGAAGCCACGGCTTTTCACTTGGATTTTCATTAGGTACATACTAAACTCTCTCCCATTCCCCACACGCGACTGAGTATCAAAGAGGCCTCTTGCTAACATATTGACATGATCAGTTGCGATATTGGTAGTTTGATCCTTCAAGCCGCTGGAGGAGGAGTTGTTCGTTCCCCCAACCCATGCATCCCCCTCTATGAAGCAATTCCTAACCTTTCTATAATGTGTAGGCTGCTGCCGCGGGTAATGACAACCAGTTGCTTTTGAAGGCTGGTGATAATATTATTATCGCTGGTATTGCTTTCCAGGTGGCTACCATGTCTGTGTGTGGATTATTCGGACTTCATTTCTTCTGGAGCGTTGCGCGAAAAGGCAATGGTCTAGCAGGGGAGAAGACTCTTGATGGAAACCTAGGCACCGCTGCGCCCTCTATTTCTCCCAACCGGATGCGACTGATTATTTTTGCCGAGATCTTTGCGTACCTCACTGTCTTGATCCGGTGTATCTACCGGTAAGTCTTTGTCGATTTCACAAATTCAAATTGTGAATCGTATTTTAATGCTTTCAATAGTATTCCGGAGATGGCCGGTGGCTGGGGAAGTCCCTTGATGCAAAAGGAGAACGAGTTCTTGCTTTTGGATGGAATGTGAGTATTATGGATTCTTATATGGCCTTATTTGTTGATTTGACTTCTAACCTTTCTACAAAGGATGATTGCCTTTGCATCAACAAGCCTGACTCTCTTTCATCCTGGATTGTTCTTCCCATCAATGCGTACTGGCAAGAAGAATTAAACCTATTTCCCCCCTTCTTTTCATAATACCTTTTTCTATTTTTTGATTCTCATCTTTGCATCGCCTATCTTCAGGGTCCCGAAGTCTCTGTAGGTACCTGTATCTTGTTTACATGACATAGAATGTTTGGTCAGACAAAGCATTTGAGCACACTATACCAGCGTTTTCCTTGAGGCAATTTGTACATACTATATGTACGTGTCTATTGAGCATCTGAACCTACTATTTAGCAGCACAATAGTTTAAATACACAGTAACGAGTTTCAAAATTCTAAACACTCAATCTAATATAGTCGGAGAAGTCCCAGGAATTGCCCTCCTTTTGTTTATATATTCTCATCCTCTTTCCCATCAAACAAGCCATCCTGATTCAATGTTGGGTTTACTCCAGATGTCACTTCTTTCCTGCTCAAGTGCTCCGAAGACCAGTGCTAGCTTGAGGCTCAAGTGCTCACATGCACATGTGGTCCTTTATCTCTCATATCGTTCCAGATGTCAACAACATTGAAGTCTCATACATACTACATACTACCGGATTTGATCGCTCGACCCATTGCCAGTCTTTCGGCCCCACTTCCCGTGTATAGCTCCCGTACTTAAGGTGCAAACCTGGATAAAACAGCTCGAAATGAAACTACATTTGCAGAGTACCTGGCCGGCCGACTGGTTACATACTAGTAGAATATAGACATCTGGAGGCTCGGGACACAGCTTCACAGACACCGCAGCAGGTCATATGCAAGATATCACTCAAGTGCTTGTCATAGCGCAGCTACAGCTAGTAGTTTTGCCCAAGCCATGTTGTGCACTATGTATGTATGTATTATGTATGCAAACCCATCCAATCGAGCATAATCACGTGCATCAACCTAGGAAGTCTTGACATCCACATTGAGGTAGACATGTCAATTTTCCAATTGTTCTCTGCACAGTCATCTCAAGCCCTGGAGGTCCCGAGGTCATCGCTTGATCTTTCTGGGGGTTTTGATTACCCTTCTACACAAACTCAGAAGCCAGAAAAAACATCAACCCCTCTTCGGTAGAGTCCAAGTGTCAATCCTGGCATGGGGGGGAAGGGGGTCTCAAGAAATACATACAGTAGTGACGGGTTGAACATGGGGAATACATAATGGTGGAGCAAACTAAAAATAGGGCGGTGTAGTATTCTGCCGTCGCATCGCCTTCCCCGAATCTGTACTTGATCCATTTGGAAGGCATAACGCCATGTTTTTGTCCATAGGTTAGTTTTTGCGTCCCGACCTTTTACTTGGTCTCGCATTTACTATCTCTCCATTTCCACTTTGCGCTCCCCCGATTTCTTTTTCTGCCGCCCCCTCAAGATGCCTCCTCCAACCACCATCCTCGACCAATTCTTGGCCAACCTCTCTGAGCTCATTCAGAAACGCGATGGCTCAAGGTTGCAGGATTTCCTCCAAATCGAACCCCCACTTTCAAACATATATCAACAAATGACTGATGAGTTGCGCCAAAGATACCGACCTGGGCCCAAGACCGACGCTGAGCTGCTGCGCCGATGTGAGGCTTTGGTCCCACGGACAACGGAGGAAAGCTCTTCATGGTCCGCATTTCCGACTTTTATGAAATTGTACTTTACTTTCTTGCGGGATGTCAACGTGGATAATCTTCTGGAAACTTACAACCTTCTCCGAGCCCTGCTGAAGTAGGTCGCATCCAAATTTCTTAAAACAAAACCCAACAACAAAGATGCTGATACCACGGATTTTTTAGCCAATGCGTTCTAGCCCTCGGAGACAGCCAACATGGAGTTATCGTCCTTCCAACTGTCCTTTATCTGTCGAAAGTTTTAGCGAAATTGGCCATGGGACTGGACCGCCAACCGGACCTCATCGCCCATATACTACGCATGGAAGGTGGTACAAACCAGGAAGACAATGTTGAGAAAGTGACGTTGGTCGAGCAATCTGCAAACGTAGTGCGAGAGGCTTTCATCAAATGCTTGACGGATCGCAGCGGCACCCCGGGGCCCAATGGGAAGCCCGAAGGCAAAAGAGTTGGCATCTACTTGTTAGCAAACTTATGCTTAAAGCTTCTTTTTAAGGTTGGCTTCTTTCACCCCCAAAATCTTCATCAATATTGGTTTATTAACTGACTCGTACCAGTGTGGGAAGCTGCGCAACGCCGAGCAAATGTTTTCTAGCATCAGCGCACAATCTCCCCCATTACAACACTTTCCAGCATCTCAGCGCGTCACATACCTTTACTATCTAGGCCTTTATCTTTTCTCAAGTACCTTCTTTCATCCTGCTCGAATCGCTCTGCAGGCAGCATATGACCAATGTCACCGACAAGCTCTCAGTCAACGAAATTTGATTCTGACATACCTGATCCCATGCAACATCATCATGGGCCGGTTCCCGTCCAAAGCCCTTCTTCAGCGACCGGAAGCACGTGGACTGGCAGAGCAATTCACACCGCTATGTCAATTGATTGTACGTGGTGATTATCTGGAATTCCGACAATACCTTTCCTTCGATTCCCCTACTGGGCAATGGTTTGCTCGCAAGGGAGTCTTACTCGCTCTCCGGAATCGGTGTGAGATCTTGGTGTGGCGGTCATTCTGTCGCAAAGTATTCGTCCATGGGGGGAATTATGTACAACCGCAAGCGCAGGCGCAGCGTAGTACTCCCCCTTTCCTGTACCTGCAGAAGTTGTTGATCGCTACTAAATGGCTTCAATCACGACACCATCGCGCACATGAACCGACTTCGAAACAGTCATCATATGGTTCACAGACCATCTTGCTGCCAATGGACCCAGATTATTTGGAACTTGAGAAACAGGAGACCAACGTTGCCAATGGGGACTCTGACCTAATGCAAAAATATGGAGACTATCTAGCACCGACAGGTTACTTTGACGAAGGAGGCTACTTGAAAGAGAACTCCCTTGGTCAATTGATCGACGGCACACCCGACTCCAACTATGACCAGTACGAACTGAATCCATACGCTGACGATCAGATATCCCAACCGAGTTCGCCTCTACTCATGGTGGAGCTCGAATCCATACTTGCTTCACTCCTTACTCAGGGGTTGATGCACGGTTATTTGACACATGCAAACCCTCGCTTTGCGATCCCCGGGGCCAAGGCTCGAGGAGCCTTGCCCACCGGGTTTCCTAATGTATGGGAAATTATTTACAAACGGGAAAGGGCAGACAGCAACGTTCCGGGATGGGTGAAGCCGCCACCGGTGTCTAGTAGATTCGGTGCGCCAGCACTAGGGGGAGCAGGCCGAGTTGTCAATTTATCCGCTGCACGTCCTGTTGGCGTGCAGTAAGTCTCAAATAGCTTAAGAGAATGGGAGTGAAGGCTTCACTGGTCCCTGTAATAAAAAATCATCCCTTCCGTTTGTAAAAAGCGTTTCTGGATTCATCTGCGAGGTTTCTGCCCAGGTGGCCCCAGGAGCGTGCACATAACCACGAATGTTCTCTATGTACGTATGAAGGTGCCTAGGTATAAACTGGGTTAAAATGAAGTTATCATCATGGAAGATTTGAACAGAGCTTTGATGTTAAACACATGCATTGAATACTATTAATTCAAGATCTGTCACCGCTAACAGTGCGAAGAAACCCCGAATTAACGCCGACGGCCAGCTATCTTTCCGTGATTCGTCCACTACGTCAATCGTCAATCGCTCAACTTCGTGATCAGCAAATTGGAACATTGAATCCATGTCACCAGGACTTCAGGAGAAACGATCATAGGAGCGGTCCATTGGAAGAAGAAAAAATCGTTCGAGTCTCACGCATAATGCCTGGCGTTCCTTCTAACAAGGCGTGCGAACGGTGTAAAAAGAGACATTTGAAGGTTAGCCTTGAAACCTATTCAAATGTTTTGAACGTACTGGTCAAAGTCAAACTAACTACCCGCAGTGTGATGAGACTCGTCCACATTGCCAACGTTGCACTTCTGCTGGTGTGGAGTGCCCTGGGTATGTGCAAACTCGCAAATTCATTGACCAAGGAGCTACGGTAAGACGCCGGTATGCTCCTTATCATTCTGGTAGAGTACGCTGGAAACTCCTGTCATCGATTCAGATGAAGTGGACGAGGCCTGATAGTTGAGAACAGGGAGAAGCCGATATACATGAAATTCAAAATCAGCCCGACGCACAGGGTGATCAAACATCAGTCATCTCAGGAGAGGATGGTCAAATCACCTTCCAGATGGAAGAAGCCGGACCGCAGTCACAAATCAATCCAATAGCAGAGGGATCTATCAATTCTTCAATATCGCCCAATATCGAGATGCATCCAAGTCCTGGAAATGGAAATTCGTACAACGCAAACTCAATCTCAACTGATCATCAACGACTGAACTCTTCGGAGACGCCCTCTCAACGAAGCGAAAAGGAAGAGTTTCAAGATATTTTCTCGGATCTCATGACTGGCACCGAACATGAGATCGCTTTTCTCATTCGTCATTATGCAGACGTTATATCACCCTGGTATGTATCCATTCACATTTAAAAGGATTTTCTTTTTTTTAAAAAAAAACTGACATTCAGTCGTTAATTTTGTCCAGGATTGACTTATCCGATACTGGAAAATTCTTTTCCGTCTACGTTCCTATTAGAGCTATCAATTGTCCATCGCTTAAATTCGCCATCGCCTCATTGGCAGCAAAGCAGCTAGGTCGAGTCAAGGGCGCAAAATCATCCACTTGGAATGGCATGTTCACTACTCCTGCTACGACCGAGTTGTATCCAAATGCAGCCCAGGTTGAATGGTTTCTCAAGGCTGCAAACTACTACTACATGGCGGCATCTGATCTCAGCAATAGTTGTTCTGGTGGCTATACTGCGGTCTCCAGCTCAGCTGTTTTGGAATCACCAATCAAGACGGTCGGGCGATGGCTCAATTCTCTTACAACGAAAGAACTAACAGAAGAAGGGTCCAATGATGGAAGCCTTTTGCGAAAAGCGGAGGATATGCTCGCGACTGTCACCCTTCTAACACTATATAGACTGCTAGATACCCCCTGTGAGGAAATGACCAAGTAGGTGATGCAGGACTGTTTGTTTTTTGGCAACTTTAGGCGAAAATTACTGATCACATTTTGAATGCAGCTATCTTTCGGGAATCCGGGCCTTGTTTGAATCATTTCTGCGTTTGAAATTGTCAGGGCCAACCACTTTTTCTCATGGGGTTCGTGCTTCCTTTTGGTACTTTGCTCGGCAAGACTACATGGGGTCTTACTTCACAAGATCAACGACCCATTTCAACCCTGCCGATCTATCCTTATGGCGCGCAGCTGGGATTTCTATTGATGATCAAAGCAAATTTCAAATGGGATCCACTCATATGACTCAAGAGGATCAAGCAGCGAACGCCCTTTCATGGCTCGTCTCAAAGGTCGTCAACTTTTTAGCTCGGTCGAAGGAGTCACAGATTGCTCAGTGGACAGGCTCCCCACCATCTATCTCGCCCGGTGGAGTTCAGGATACTGTTTCCACAAATACTTGGCTAGATCTTTCCTTCGAGTTTCAAGTCTGGTTCGAAGGTGTTCCAGAGACCTTTCGTCCTTGCATACGAATTGAGAATCCTAGAACCGAGGTTTTTTATAGCCTCCCAACCTGTGCGGCCGCCATGCAGCATTATCACTTTGGGCGGATTGCACTCTTGTTGAATCGACCTCCGGATACGGTGAGTGCACCCAGCACGGCATTTGATCGCTTGCAAGGATATCGGGAGGTCACAAAAGAGGTAGAATATCGAAGTCGAGAGGTCTTTGGTATCGCTCTGGGACGGCCTCGTGGAGAGGTTCGCATTTATATGACTCCCCTATTATTCGCAGTGGGCCAGTGTCTGGAGAGTTTGGAAGAGCATCAGATCATAGTGGATCTTCTGCGTGGTTTGGAAGCGGATTTCGGTTGGGCGACTGAATCTGTTGTTCAGAAGCTACAATCTCTGTGGGATCAAGCATGATCTAATGGGAATCAACCAAAAACAACCTAATATGATGATGTGTTCACTTGAGAAGACTTGACCACGAATGAATGGTCCATAATTAAAACTAAATAAGCCAAGTAAAAACTGGAGAGTGTCAAGTATCGAGAACTTGTTAGCTCAATTCAATGTTCGGACAATCGGACCTCCAATGTGTGAAGCTTGAACACGAACACATAAGTCAAGGTGAGGCCGCATGATGCTAGATAAACTGTGGTGCCAAGATTGAACGTACTACTCAAACCCGACGAATCTAGTAGCTACTAGTAGGTTAGCGAATGTCGGTCTATAACAAAAAGTAACTTGGTGTCCCGAGGATGAATACTAGATCGCTACCAGGAACGCGATTCTTGACAACATTTGAACTGAGGTATGAAAAAACAACAACAACAACAACAACAACAACAAATACAATGATAACGAGTGTGCCGCATGCGCCACCTCCCGACTGTTTCCAATGTTGTTCCCCTCATCTAAAGATTCAACATTTAAAGCGACGTAACATTGAACGTACAAGGGTTACATAGTGACGAGGACCGAGTGACTGCATATTCTCCACTCTTGCGATTTTGGCAACAAATCCCTTCGATTCCGCTCCGTCCACTTGTGTTCCCCGCAGCACGGAGTCGTCGATTCGCCAATGCTTCAACAAGGATCGGCACTGGATAAATGTGGCACCCACTCAATCCTTTTCCAGTATATCCTTCCATGCGGCTACAGCCGCCCCGTGATGCTGTCTTGTGCTTTTATGTGGCGAAGCAAAGTATACTGACGTCTCACCAGCACTTGTGCCGGCAAATTTCCGATACGACATGCCCTAGCTCTGATGATCTAGCTCAAAATGTGGTTAGATGCATCTTTTCCTGATATAGGAAGTCAACATGCCGATCGATGCATGGAATGTGCTTCCCCGCGACATGTAAATAAGGGAGCTTGGCCCGCGGTACAACGCGTGGGGATTTTGTTTCGGACGACGTTGTTGTATCCTTGAAATCGAACCGGCCGTTTGAGTGTTTACCTTCCACATCTCAACCTTGAAAGTGCTGGGTTCATCCAGTGTGCACTATGTCTCCGGCAATATCCCACCTTCGCGTGAAAGGGTTCGGTATCTTTGCTGCGCTTCTTTATGCTTCGTCTGTTATAGCTTCAAATGATAACACAGGCAATACCTTTGATGTTTTGGATTATGTCGATCCTTTTATTGGTACCGCAAATGGGGGTAGGTGACGGTCTGAAGGGCAAGATTGGCGATTTCAGAAGTTCAGAATGTTGACATGTCACATAATCACAGGCCACGTCTTTGCAGGCGCAACACTGCCATTTGGTAAAGACAATCCATATTGAAATACTTATTGGCTCTCGCTAATGGAAGATCTTGACAGGCATGGCAAAAGCCGTTGCCGACACAGCTGGCGAGAATCAAGCCGGTTTTGCATACGACGACTTGACTGTCACGGGCTTCTCGCATATGCACGACTCAGGCACAGGGGGTGTATGGTTTCCATATGGTTTCCAAGGTTTCTACCACTTTTAAAGCATAAACATCGACTGACAACGTTCACAGTCACCATCATTAGGCAATTTCCCCATCTTTGCTCAAACCTGCGATAACATTAACGAATGCAATTGGCAACAATCTGATAGAGCTGTGGGCTGGCTGGAAAATGAAAAATCACCTCTGGCAAGACCCGGATACTTTGCCATCTCACTCGAAAACGGAGTGCATGCCGAAATGACAACCACCAACCGATCTGCTTTGTATAGATTCACCTTTGACAATTCTTCTAGCAGTTCCCTGAGCCCGGTGATTTCAGTAGATTTGATGGATCTACCGCAGTCACGGACTAATGGAACTGCTGTTGTGGACAAATCAACTGGACGACTGAGCGGAAATGGTACTTTCAGTCCAAGCTTCGGCATTGGAAGTTATGACCTTCACTTCTGCGTTGATTTTAAGGGGGCTGAACTCCGTGATACAGGAGTCTGGGTCAAAAATCGCGCCAATTTTAGTCAAGAATTTGTTTCAATGCTGGCTGATGGCACAAACACCCCAGCTACTCTATCAGGTGGCACATTTGCGAGGTTTCACGCCCCCCAAAACAATACCCTCCTGGCTCGTGTAGGGGTCAGTTTCATCAGTGTCAACCAAGCTTGTGAAAATGCCGAGAAAGAACAGCCTGACTTTGACTTTGATGGAACTCTGGCAGTGGCTGAAGATGTTTGGAGGAGAAAGTTGAGCGGCGCTGTCTCCGTAGATTCTCAGGGAGTATCGAAGGAATTGCAAACAGTTTTCTGGAGCGGTTTATACCGGTCCTATATTTCCCCACAGGTATGCACAGTGTTAGTACGTGATATTTTAACTTTGCTAATCCTTTAAACCCCAGGATTACACTGGCGAAAATCCCCTCTGGGAGAGTGACGAGCCATACTACGATAGCTATTATTGGTGAGTGGATTCTTTTCAGAGGAAGCTGGTAAGAATGAATTTGTTTTGCTAATATGAACAAAGCATTTGGGATTCATACCGAAGCATCCACCCACTCTTGACAATAGTCGACCCTGTGTCACAGTCTCTCATGATGCGCAGTCTTGTCGATATCTACCGACATGAAGGATACTTACCCGACTGTCGTATGTCCCTCTGTAAGGGCTTTACCCAGGGAGGTTCCAACGCAGACGTACTCATGGCAGATTCTTATCTCAAAAAGATACCCGGTATCGACTGGGATACTGCCTACGAAGCTGTTGTGAAAGATGCCGAAGTGGAGCCTAAGAATTGGGGCGTAGAGGGACGTGGTGGCTTACACAGTTGGAAGAGCCTTGGATACGTCCCTGTCGACGATTATGATCCCTATGGAGTGGGTACCCACACTCGCAGTGTCTCTCGAACGGTGGAATATGCGTATAACGATTTCTGTATCGCTGAAATGGCCAAGGGAATGGGACATTCGGCCGACCACGACAAATATATCGCACGAAGTGGAAACTGGGAGAATTTATTCAAAGCAGATCAGAAGTCCAGCATCAACGGAGTCAACACCGGTTTCACTGGATTCCTACAGCCTCGCTATGCAAACGGTACTTGGGGTTACCAAGATCCCATTTTCTGCAGCCCTCTTCTCAACTTTACCTCTTGCTACCTCAATCCTGAAGGTCATGAGACATATGAAGGAAGCTCATGGCTATACAGCTTGTACGTTTTTAAAAAGACTCCCCCCCCAACCTCTCCCATCAAAGTACGATTCACTTATATAGTATTTCAGCTATGCCCCACACGATATGGGAGGTCTGATTCAGAGTCTCGGAGGCATGGAAACTTTTACCTCCCGGCTCCAGTTCCTCCACGAGTCTGGACTTCTATATGTGGGCGACGAGCAGGCTTTTCTCCCAGTCTTTCAATTCCACTACTCGGGGCGGCCTGCTTTATCTTCGAAGTTCAGCCACTCTTACATCCCATCCCAATTCAATACTACTGTTGAAGGCATTGCCGGTAACGATGACAGTGGAGCCATGGGGTCGTTTGTTGCTCTTTCAATGATAGGTCTCTGGCCGGTGGCTGGAATGGACACCTACCTTATAAATCCTCCCTATTTCAGAGAGGTGAATATTACGAATGGCCTTACTGGTAAGGTGGCGACGATCCGGAATATTAACTTTGACCCTACCTACGAATCGATTTATATTCAAAGTGTGACATGGAATGGCAAGCCTTGGACTAAGAACTGGGTGACACATGACTTCTTTACAGATGGTGGACTTTTGGAGCTAGTTTTAGGTCCAACAGAAAGTGCATGGGGAACCAACACTGATGACCTCCCTCCAAGCCTTTCTGAATACCCGAAAAAATGATGAGGGATGATCTGCGCGGGAATAAAGTGGTTCCCAGCAGGAGCAAGTTGCCAAAGGTCATGAAATAGTCTTTTTTTGAAACCGAAGTATAGTTTGCTCAGTTCATGCCTACATAATAACATGCCTGTTTCTCTTTAATTCTTTGGCAATTTTAGCAGTTTTTGTCATTTGTAGCGTGCACATGTGTATTCTGAGTGGGAAATAGACAGATCGAGCAGCTAGGTACGTATAATGCCTACTATCTGAAGTACTAAGTGTGTACTGTCACCACTCAGGTGCTAAGTTCTATATTTTCAACATTTGAAGTCCTTATATCCATATGTAATACATAAATGTCCACAGTTTCCCCCGTTTGAGGCAAAAGACGGCGAAAGTGCAAGGATCGTCGGGGGGATATTAGTCAATACGGAAATTCTAGTATATTGCCACGCGTGGTAAGGTTGACCTCGGGATGACTCCAACCCAAACCTTTTGCTTTTTACTCTTCAAGGTAAACGTCGCCGTATCACTTAATCTCATCATTTGTCGATACGCTCAAAGAGTCATCGCCAGTAACATCAATGGATTATCTACTAGCTTCAGTTGATATGTCAAGCAGTACGGTGTCGGCCAAAGCACCATGTGTCAAGTGTCGAGGTAAGGATATCGTTATCTTGCATCAAATCTTGGCCCGGCGCGTTAACTAATATCTGTCAGTAGAGAGTCACCAAAAATGTATGATATTTTTTCCCTTCTGTTTCTTTTTAGTTTTTTTGGCAAAAGCCACTTTCAGTCCCATCATACGATATACCAATCTTCTCACATTGGAATTTGTTATACAGGTGACAAACAAAGACCGGTTTGTCAACGATGCAAGGCCAAAGGACTGAACTGCCGGCTAGTGCAAAAAAAGGCCATATTTCGACATGGTTCAACAGCCAACTTAGAAAAAAATTTCGCCCGAGGCCAAACATGGGTAAAAAGCAAGCCCAGAACCTGGAGACCAACGGCATGTCCTTCAGTTTCAAGCCCATCTCCGGATACTTGGAGCCTTTGGGGAAAATGATGATCCAATGGATACGTCGCCCACTCCAAGTGAATACAGATCCAATTTGGGAAACATTCCCACCGACATTCAAGTGGGTCTACAGAAAGATATCAATCTCACTAATCCCAATGCATTGTTCAATTACGATCATCAAGGACAACAATCTGTCCAAAATTCCCCGACGGATGCTTTATCTTCTCCACCAGTGTCACTTACCAGTAATGCTAATTTGCATTTGTATTCGGACTCATACAGCAGTCACCCAGGAGAGATCGGAAATACTATCTCCGATCTTGATTCCTTGTCTCCATCTAGAGATGACCTTTCGGTCAGTGCATCCAAAACGGTGCAAGAATCTTGTCTGATGAGATATTTTATTGAAGAGCTCTCTCCTTTGGTAAGAATTCAACTTCAAGTTTTGAATCCATGCTATCTATGTGTCTAAAAAAGCCCACTCAAGGATTAATCAATTACCCCCAGTTTGACCATTGTGACGAGCGTAGGAATTTTCAATTAGAGGTGCCGCGCCGTGCTCACCACTGTCCAACTCTTCGAAATGCGATCTCTGCAGTGGCTGCACACCATTTAGGCCGTCTTCTGTAGTACAAAACCTCTCGAGGGGTTGTATATTGTGGTCAATCACTTCCTTATTTGAGAAAATCTAGCACCCTTGAATGTATATTGAAGTACATTCCAGATCTGATTCGGTACCTACCTACTAAGCCTTATTTGGCACTAGTACTAAACCTAATTACGGCGGCCGATACCCGCCACCCCTCTGCAATGGCCCATAAAAAAATATCAAGAAAGAGAGGCGGAGATCCTAGTCGTATAATCCATTCTCAAGTCCCTTCTCAAGTCTATTCAATGTTCTCAAGTCTATTCTCAAGTCTATTCTCAAGTCTATTCTCAAGTCTATTCTCAAGTCTATTCTCAAGTCTATTCTAAAAGTAACCCATATTTAGATCAAATTCCTTAAGATATTCCTATACATAATAAATACAATACAGGCAAGAAACAGGCACCTGGGGCGGTAAAGCTAGAAATCCAAATTGGGTTATGACAGAGGGGTGGCGGGTATCGGCCGCCGCACCTAATATAGCTCTTCCACTATACTGTGTACTGTATACTACCTTCTCACGCCCAGCTCTTCGTGTAATCCTGTATTCATACATACTCGAACTTTACTCCTTGTATAAGACAACTCCTACTTCTACTACCTTCCCATGCTCAACTCTTCGTGCAATTTTCTAAATACACTCAAACGTCTCTCCCTTTACAAGATAACTCCCTCAACCCACCATGGAAGCCATCAGCGCAGACCAACTCAATGACGCAATAGCTCGCGCTATGAACAATCGCAGCCGAGCTTACAACTTCTCTTTCACGCTGAGTATTCGGTGGGAGCGAGACAACAAGAATACCGCTGCAGACACCGATAATTTCCAGGCGATCCTGAGCACACTTAATCTCGACTAAGCTGAAGTTGAGATCTTGGCCGAACAGGATCGGACTCCGGGCTGGACATTGAATGACGCGATTCGGTCCATTTTCCGACGCGCAACAGAGGCACCCGGCAAATCCATCGTGCTTATTCACTATGCCGGGCACGGAGAGGTTAGAGGGGAAGAGCTCTGGGCTGTCGAAGGCCCATCCCGCCGAAGCATCAGCCTCCAAGATTACATCGATACTGTGGTGAAAGGACATGTCCAGTACTTCGACATCGCAGATACAGACGCTGTCTTCGTCCTAGATTGCTGCTACTCGCATGTGGCAACGCGAACGTCAAATCCCGCGACTCGGGTTGTCGAAATTCTTTCTGCGAGCGATGAGTATACTCCAGTGGCCCTTTACCCACCACGCAATACCTTAACTGGAAAGTTCCTTATAGTCTGTGGATTGCATCGTATTTGTGCTTTAAGAGTGTGCAGTCCAAGAAGTGTGTTATGTGTGTTATGCGTCAATTAATTAGACTATCCTTCTTTAAACAACCACTACACGTGCAATACACTCCTTGAGCTGTGCCTGGAAGTTCTTCTTTAGTGACATAATTTAAGCGTTAGGAATTTTATAGCAGACCGAGCAAAGGGCCCTAAGCTGTTGGTTTATATGTTTTTCTAAACCTAGGCAAGGTCGGTGTACTAGGCGTGGTCGATCACCCCGTTCTCACCTCTATCCCCCAGTCTGCAAAGTTCTCACCTATATCACCCACATTCACCTAGCGTAAATCTGTCGCCGCTCTAATCTTTCGGGGCTTTAGAGACAATTGACCATGCGGATATAGTGTGGCTTTAAGTACGGCTGAGCGGATATGTAGAATACTATACTAGCTAACTATATGATTCTATTTACCAGGGTAGTTACTAAATGGTAATAGGGGCAGAAACTACCTGAAGAATAGAGTATATATAATATGTTACTTATCCTTGACTCCTTATCAACAGTTTAAGGGGGGGAAACATTTACTGACTAACTACCTATTTTAAACAGTATAACTTAAGCTAAAAGAGTAATAGCTTACACAAGATTTGATTAGGGAGCTAGAACCTTTGATTCTTGAACATCAAGCTGACCGGTCAAAAGGAAGAATATTTCCTACTATATGGTATCTAGATACAGCTTAAGTCACAGCAATTCAGCATTTTTATTTAGCACAAATGATTTTGACTGCCGAAAACCCGCATCTTGAGTATGTTGATACTTGGTTGAATCACGAGAGAAGAAGTACCTATACTAATAATGGTGCCAAGAACTGTTACTCGTGTCATACATCGCAAAGCTGAGGCCCAAGTGCGATCCATTGTGTTGAATATATACTATGGAATCGCGGTGAACCATCCTCGGGTACAGCCTGTAATCAATGGTTAATGCGGTTATTACAACTACTTTGTATGGCGAATATTTTACAGACCCTGTGGAACGAGATGCATTGGTGGGCATTATTAACAAGACGAAGGATCTATACATAATGCCTGGCCAATGAGGAAGCCTTACCAGACAATTCACCGACGATGGCAAACATTGAATGATATATGTATAAACATTTGGTCAACTGGTGCAGAAATATAAGAGTTCAAATGTTCCACTTGAGGGCACGTACTACCCACCTGATCTACCTGGTAGCTTCAAATGTTACCTTTAAAACCTTCAAACATTGATGTTTCTACATAAGGACCTCAGGAAGTTCAGAAGATCAATTGTTTGCCCCATTAGCAAATATAGTATATAAAAAATTCTTGTAGGTAGTAGGAGTTGGAAGTCCCATGGGAATTCTCCGATGTTCAATAAATACAAAAAGTTTTGTTTCCCAATCACAACTCCGGCGATGATCGTAGTCTCGCAAGTAAAAGAAACAAGGATATCAGTAATCGTTACAGATCCATCCACTACCGCTTCCAACTATCAATCTTCTTGCGACGCTTGTCAAAGATCTCACCCATCCCCACGCCGTCATCGCGCTGTCCATCCTCATTCTTTCGCTTCCGACTCTTGTCCAGGGCACCACTGTTCTTACTCCGACGGGTAAGACGCTCAATGCGATCAGCGCCCTCTGTGAGTCCCTTCCATTCGTCTCCACCGTAAGTTCCACGGTCGCGGCCACGTCGTTTGGATTCCTCTTTCTTAGTCTCCTTTGGTAGACGGACGAAGTTGGTTTCTTCGTAACGTGCTCGGTCGGCTTCATATTGGCGATCTTTCTTGGTCTTGGTCTCTCGGCCACCGGCGAGAATGGTGCTACCAATACTAGGCTCGGCCATGGGTGCGGATGACATCTCGGCATTGACGAATTCATCGATGACATTAGAACGGCGGGGTCGGCGATCCTCGCGCTCACGACGACGCTCGGTGGTGGGAAGGGAGGTGGGCATAATCTTGGGTGGTCGGTAAATTCCATCGCTGGGCTCTTCGCGTTGAGCTCTGGCTTGGGGTTGTTGTTTGGAGTCGACCTTGGCTTTGGAAAATGCGGCGACATTAGGACGATAGGCCATCTCATCCATGTCATCTTCGTCGCTATCGTCCTCGCTGCCATCCGAGGATACTTCATCACCCGAATCCTTAGCTTTGCTCGACTTGGTGGCCTTCTTCGACTTTGATGGGTTCTCGGTCCGCTCCGCGTCTTCAGCCGCTTTGACCACCTTATCAACCTGGTACTTCAGACGTCCTTCCAATGGTCGTACACCGCGATCAAGGAATACCCGAAGCTCGACTAACTTCTTCACGGCATCATCCCGAAGCGCATCGTTTGTAGCCTTTTCCGAATCATCTGATTTCTGTTGAGATGATTGTCGCAGTTGAAAGATAATCAGGAAGACAAGATTATGGAGGTAGGAGAGAAGGATTTCGCTTTTCGTATCGAGGAGAGAGATACCATCTTGTGGAGGCTCAATGGAGACATCGGAGGAAGCGTCTTTGTGGGGAGCAGGAAGGGAGGAAGCAGCACTAGACAAGCATGATGTGAGGGTCTCTAAGAGTGTTGACAAGCTCGTTGAGCGTGATTGGGCAATTTCTGAAGCCATGGTGTCGAATTTCGACTTGTTTGATTCCGCGGAAATTTTTTGATTTTTGATTTTTTTTGATTTTTTGGTTTTCGATCTTATCAGCACGTGACAGTTCAAGCAAGGCGGTCTGGTCAAATGTAATGTATTGGTACTAGTATTCTATACGCTTCCAGATCGGTTTTCCCCAGCAAATAGTATATTACCACGTATCCATCTGCACTACCACCTTGAAGGTAGCAATCTGGATTACATAACTAGGAGTTGATTACAGATTACATCGACCCCTGTCACGTGCGGGCAAGCACTATGATCGTCATCACCATATTCTGTCCTGTTCTCAGCCGCGTCTCGCCAAATTTTGTAGGTCGTGGTGATTTCTTTTGTCCTCATCGATTATACACAACCTATGGGGGGCTCTTAGACTCACCTGTAAGCTTTCAACAATTGATCCACTACCCTACTGACGGCTACAAGAAAAGAACAAAGCCCTTACGCTATACATGGTGATCTAAAGGACTTCCAAACACTGCGGTTTTACATCCAAGATGCGGTTCACCGATCGGACCTCCTTAATCGCCTCGGTACTCCTCGCAGTCCCTTCATTCTCGTCAGCCTTCTACCTCCCTGGCGTCGCTCCATCATCCTACGATCAGGGCCAAAGTGTTCCTCTGTTCGTTAATCACTTGACTCCCAGCCTCTCGCGAGATGATCAACTTCACTCGGTCTTTGCATACGACTACTACCACCCAGCCTTTCACTTCTGTCGACCCCAAGATGGTGCCAAGGATGTGAGGGAATCATTGGGTAGCATCCTGTTCGGCGACCGTATCCAAACCTCCCCGCTGGATTTGCATATGGCTCAAGATGAGGAATGTAAAGCTATCTGCGGAGAGGTCAACTTTGATGCCCGTAGCGCCAAATTTGTCAATCGTCGAATTTCCCAGGGATATAATATCAACTGGCTGGTTGATGGATTGCCAGGAGCCCAGCTCAATATGGATGAAAACACCCAAACCCAATTCTACAGCCCCGGTTTTGCTTTGGGCGACTTAGACGAGAATGGACAAGCCATTTTAAACAACCACTTCAACATTTTGATCGACTACCACCGCGTCGGATATGGTGGCAAGGACAAACTTCGTGTGGTGGGCGTTCTTGTTCAGCCCGAGTCGCGCGCTGATTCCCGACTTCTCGATGATGGCACAGCTCAGTGTGGCACTAAGGGAAACCTTGTCACTTTGAATGAAGATGGAGAGGCCGAAACCGCGGTCACCTGGACATACAGTGTCCAATGGAAAGAATCTTCTACGGCTTGGGCAACCCGGTGGGATAAATATCTTCATGTCTATGACCCAAAGATTCATTGGTTCTCTCTAATCAACTCTGCCGTCTTTGTTGTTTTCTTGGTGGGTATGGTCAGCATGATTCTTGTCCGGGCTCTCAAAAAAGACATTGCCCGATACAACCGGTTGGATTCAATTCACTTGGACGATCTCAATGACACCTCCGCTACTATTGAAGATGGAATTCAAGAAGACTCGGGTTGGAAGTTGGTCCACGGTGACATCTTCCGATGCCCCCAGTCTCCTCTCCTGCTTAGTGTTCTGCTGGGCAATGGCGCTCAGCTTTTCATGATGACAGGTGTGACCGTTGGTATGTGTGATTTCAACTCCAGGATTATAACTACAACTAGTTTATTGGCCTTGCTTTGCTAATAATTCTCTCTTCTTTCCCAGTATTCGCACTCTTTGGTCTTCTATCCCCCGCCAATCGCGGCTTCTTGGCCACGGCTATTCTCTTAATATCGGCCATTTTCGGTGCCATTGGTGGGTACGTCTCCGCACGTGTATATAAGGCCTTTGGCGGCGAGGCGTGGAAGCGCAACATTATCATGACCCCCTTGTTGATTCCTGGATTTGTCTTTTGCATTTTCTTCTTCCTTAATCTGTTCGTGTGGGCCAAGGGTTCTAGTGGTGCTGTGCCATTTGGTACAATGCTGGCTCTGGTTCTCATCTGGTTCGTCATCAGCGTTCCATTGAGTGTTGCCGGTAGCTGGCTTGGATTTAGACAAAAGGTAACAATAACCCCCACTCCATCCATATGAACTTGTCTATACCATGATACTAATTCGCTACAGGCTATTGAGGGTCCTACTAAAACCAACCAAATTCCCCGTCAAGTTCCTCCAATGGTTGGCAGTCTTCGAACCATTCCTTCTATTCTTCTAACGGGTATCTTACCCTTCGGTGCCATCTTCGTTGAGCTCTATTTCATCATGACCTCGCTTTGGACCAGCAAGATTTATTACATGTTCGGATTCCTGTTCCTTTGCTACGGTCTGATGATCATCACCTCTGCAGCTACCACTGTTCTCCTGGTTTACTTCTTGCTGTGCGCTGAGAACTACCGGTGGCACTGGCGTGCCTTTGCGGGTGCTGGTATGGCAGGTGGATATGTCTTCCTGAACGCACTCATCTTTTGGGCGACTCGAGTTAGTTTTGGCGGTTTGACAGGAGCCGTGCTTTATGTGGGCTACTCTGCCCTGATTGGCTTCCTTGTATTCGTTTTGACCGGTTTGTTCCCCCTTTCCGCCAACTCACTTGGACTGAGGATTTGTGACTGACTCTAATTTTTTTTTCTTTTTCTTTCAAGGCTCTATCGGTTTCTTTGCCAGCTGGGCATTCGTCCAGCGTATCTACGGATCCATCAAGGTTGACTAATCTATAACATTCTTGATTCGCAACTCGCTGGATCAAATTTTCGTTCTATTATTTCGAACCCCATCCTCCGTTTCTCTATTAACCAACCCCACGTTAAAATCTAACGCCGGAAGCATTGTTTTGCGAGGAGATAGAGCTAGTTTTCTTTTCTTTTTTCCCTTTTTTCCCTTTTTTTTCGTTTTTGTGTCGAGATATCCCTCATTACGATTGAGAATGAGGAGCAATTGTATATATAAGCCTTAGCCATTTGATGTAGGAAATGGGACCTACTACACACTCTACAATGTCCATGAAGAAGAAGTGGAGCCTTGGAAAAGCCAATAACCGTACAACGTTTGAAGGCCGGTCTGGACCTCCAGAATGTTCGCCACTGTGCCCGGGGCCAATTCCCTTGCGTTTCTTTTTGTTATTCCTGCTTCAAATGTTCTGAAACACCTTCATTTCTCATAATCCTTCGACAATTCTTTCAGCTTTTTGTTCAACAAGTTCCGGTTTTCAAAGTTGTTTTGAGAAAATCCCGCCCAGCACAGCCACACTTCCCCCCTCGTTCTACCCCGCGTCTTCCGTCACTTTCTCTCCCTTACCCCCAACCTTCCAAAGCCACCGTGCCGATCGTCATTCGACTTGCATGCGCTTGAGACCGTTCACAATTCTGCATCTGTGTGTTTGATCATGGGAAAATCGTAAGTGTGTTGTGCGTCTTATCGAGCAAGACTGGGAAAGGCATTGGCAAGTCCCTGATGCGGATGAATGATGCGCATAAGTCTTGCAGGACTGCCTTTTATTGTTGATCTTCTGTTGCACATTTTGGTGGCTAACATGGCCATTTAGACAATCCAAGTTGTCGCCTACACAGCTAGATGAGCTGCAGCGAGCAACCCATTTTGACAAGAAAGAGCTACAGCAATGGTACAAAGGTACGAAATGAAGATGATGTTGTTAAGCATCCTGAGGAAATAATGTGGAGCAAAAAAAAAGAAGCAAGAAGGTTGAAGTTACTGATCGCTGTCTCCCTACAGGCTTCCTTAAGGACTGCCCGTCCGGCACTTTGACCAAAGAGGAATTCCAAAAGATATACCGGCAATTTTTCCCATTCGGCGATCCGTCCTCCTTTGCAAATTATGTCTTCAGAGTATTCGATTCGGACAACAGTGGAATGATTGACTTCAAGGAGTTCATCTGCGCGCTTTCGGTGACATCCCGTGGAAAGATGGAGGACAAGCTTGATTGGGCTTTCCAACTGTACGATATCGATGGTGACGGCAAGATCACATACGACGAGATGCTGGCCATTGTCGAGGCAATCTATAAGATGGTTGGATCCATGGTGAAGTTGCCTGAAGATGAGGATACACCAGAGAAGCGTGTGCGAAAGATTTTCCGCATGATGGACAAGGATGAGAATGGCAGCTTGGATCTTGCTGAGTTCAAAGAAGGTTCCGCAAGGGATGAAACCATTGTATCAGCCTTAAGTCTTTACGATGGTTTGGTTTGAAGAGGCTGGTCAGAATAGGTGGGAATCAAGCTGGCGATTACTCAAGCCGGCAGAAATGGTATGATCAAACAGGCGAGGCGCGATCATTTTCTTTTTGAATCCGGCGCAATTGTCATATATCTATTGAGGGGGATTCTTGTTTGCTTTTGCATAGGCCTTTTTTTTTTCTTTTCTTTTTACTTTTCCTTTTGCCATTTTTGTTTCTTGTCTTTGGTCATTCTCGAGCTTTCCCCCATTATCTATGCACGTGTACAACTTAGACAATTCATATTCGAGATGTCATCATTCCATACTGCCAGTGACGCTATCAGAGAGCGGTGTGTCTCATGTCACGTGTCTGACCTTCTTAATCGGGTTAGGCTTTCTGATTAGGTCATGCAGCTCTGCTGTTCTCCATTGACGGCTTAGGAATTACGGATATATGGGCTCCATACGTGTACACATGCATGATACACCCCGCAGAAGCTCGGAACAAATATTCAAAAATGAGTCATAGTCTTGGAACCAATAACTAATAGAATGTTAGCTCAATTACCAAATGACCAATACCTACTAGTAATATGTAGATGTGTAATAGATAGCACTTAATCACCTCTACAGCGCTCTGTGCTAGGTTTATACATACACACGTGCACGTATATTCGGTAGCTTTCAAGACTACTTCACTTTTCAACCTCCCACCCATCAACTGCACAGTAACAAAATTTGAACCTCGGAATTTTGGAATCCCCAGGATTCAATCAATGACAGCCTCCTTAACTACAATCGAAGCGGAACGCGCTGCCAATCTTCAAGATGCGCAGAACAAAGCTATGCAGCTGTTTGCCGAAATCGAACGTGATCTCATCCGGCCCGGTATCAGCGAGAAAAAACTCAACGACGAGATCTACCAACTTGGCTTTGATCGCTATGGAATCAAAACCCACTGGCACAAGCGAGTAATCCGCAGCGGACCCAACACGCTGAGCCCATTCTCCGACAACCCTCCGGACCGTATCATCCAGTCCGATGACATCCTCGTCGTTGACCTAGGCCCTGTCTTCGAGGCCTGGGAAGCTGATTTCGGGCGTACCTATGTCCTCGGCGATGATCCCCACAAAATCAAGTTGCGTGATTCTCTCCAACCCATTTGGGATATTGTGAAGGCGAAATACGATGAAAATCCCGATATGTCCGGTGATGAACTTTACGGAATTGCCTGTACTATCACCAAAGAGTTTGGATTCGAATTCGGTGCTTCTTTAGCCGGACATTTGGTATCGGAGTTTGCGCATGAGCGAATTCCAAACGATCGGATTTCGCTCTATATCACCAAGGGCAATAATGAGTCAATGAACCAGCTGGGAAAGAATGGCTTTAAACGCCATTGGATCTTGGAGATTCACCTTCATGACCCGGTTCATGGATTTAAAGGTTTTACGGAGCAATTATTAACAGTCGGATAAAGCTAGCTCATAATGCATAGGATTCCCGAGGTCATCGATAGATTAATCGATGATAGGTTAATGATTTGAGCGGCTGTCATCTTCCCCCTTTAATGCTTGGTTACTTTGCAAAAGGCAGACGAACAATAAAGATCGCGCGATATGCTAGCACTAAAACCTTGAATTTTCGTTTCATGTTTATATGAACGTATCTACTGGTAGAGGGGTTTGAGTAAAACCTAAGGTCAACATCAAGTGCTTGTTATCCTTAACTACTTGGTTATATTGTCTCCATTTTTCCCGCCCCCTCCATAAAAGAGAGAGAGAGAGAGAAAGAGAGAGAGATGAAGAAAAGTAGAAGAAAAGTTAAAGAAAATATCAAAAGATAAAATAATAAGAATGAACAAATAAACAAATAAACAAACGCCAAAGTAGATTCATCAGACATAACGAAAAAAATATTTGACCCAATTACGAGTATATGACACAACTCCAGCCACTCGGATTGTCTTCTCACGAATGAATTGCGATATCATTCCAACCCCGTATGAAACTCTCCTTCTCGCTCACTCTATCATGCAATGACAGCACACCGAGAGAAAAGGAAACGAGACCCGGTGATAATGAAAATAAAAAATGACCAATCCAGATGCACCATGATAGATAAGAAATACTTCCGTGACGTTGACTCCCGCTTACTCCTCCAAACTATCCCGAACACACCGACGCACGCGCTTCTTGAACTCCGCGGGGTCCTCTCGCCACAGCCGGGCGGCTTCCACGTTGGCAGGACTCTCGTCATTGGGGCTAGATAGCATGGAAATCACGGAAAGCAGGATCGTCTCGGGGGTTTGAACAGGTGACCAGCGCTCCGATAGGCTCTCATATCCGAACTTGTCTTCTTCTGGGGGGTGTAAGATGGAGATACAGACTTCGCCGCTGGGGTAGACTGGCGAACAAAATGGAAAATTAGCTAGACGGTTCTCGAATGCACTTGTTTGCAGTATGTCCGAAAGGTTCTCCTTCCCATTTCGAGATGTGATGACTGACTGTTGGGGTGGAAGAGCGATGACTCAAACTTCATCTTGGGAGGCATATGTGGGTATTCGATGGGGAAGGTAAGACGAGCGCGAAAGAAGCCACCTGAAATATCCAAACATTAGCAATCTAGATTCTCAATTCGCCCCCCCCCCCCCCCCTTTGGGACAGCGACAGGCAAGAAAGGAAGGGATGCAGCCATGACCAGGGCACTCGAAAACAGCAAAAGAGCCATCATCCACTATGCAGTGACCGAATGGGGAAATGGACACACCTCCGTATAGTTTTACATCATCCGAGATCATCAGCATAACCTCCCATTCAAAGACGTTGTTATCGACCAGACCACAGCTGATCCCGGGAATGTCTTTGTCTGACTGCATTTGCAGCAGTTGGCGGGATAGCATGCGGCCGGCAGGAGAGGTCGCCATCTTCACAGGTAATTTGAATATGAGACTTGAGGGTGATCAATAGCGGGGGCGATCAGGATTCTAGCAACGATCTTTGAGCGAGTGAGGGGCGATTGGCAGAATTAAAGGCGGTCGGACGGTGAGGCGGTCAGGCGGTCAGGCCCAATTTATACCAAGTTGAATTAATTACCAAACTTCAAGATAGTAGACTAAACTTCTGCAGAGTAGAGTAAATAACATACGAGAAGAAGAAACAACGCACGTATGGAGTTTTCCAATGGGGAAATAATATAAAGTACATGGATTCTTGTTGAAATCGATCTCAAAGACAGACATCATAGATTCATAGGGAGCCAGCACCCAAGAAACGAATAGCACTTGGAAACTTTAGACCTATACAGCCTAAAGAGGCAGTGAGATAGCCAAGGGGCTTTGGGAAAAAAAGCAGTGGTGCCCCACAATTTCACCATGCTTAGTACTCAACGGGATTACTCTTAGGCATCATGTAGAGAATCTGCCCACCTAAAACGATACCAGCGAGCACAATCACTGCCATATCCATCGCTATGGTCTTGAGCAAAACCTTGAAAAAGCGAACTCGACCAGCCCAGTCAAATGTCTTCCATGCATCTAGCAAGCCAACCGTTCCATTGCCGCCGAGAAGCTCGGGACGGACTTTACCTCCGAAAGAGCGATCAAATGGAACGATGGTTTCCTGGTCTTCGGGCAGCATAGAGGCTGCAACGCGGATGAAGATGACGCGAGCGGGGACAGCTATCAAGAAGGCCAAGATTACAGGGATGGTGGTGATTGCCATGCACTGGTACATATCACTGAGGTTGTTGTCGTTTTGAGGAGTGATGTTGAATGCGCATGCAGTTTTCGCTCTAGCCATCGGCAGAAAGAAGACGGCAGCTGCTAAGAAGTCCTCCAAAATGACAGCGGGTAGAATCCGAATCCAAGAGCGGTAGCTGGGGATACGTTGGTAGAAGCGCTTCCGGGAGGGCTCGGTTATAACGATGTGAATCCATGCAATTTGACCTCCAGATAGAAGAACACCAACAACTGACTGCACGAAGACCTGACCAACTAGAGAGCTGGATGGAACGGGAATGATGGCCAGGAGGAATCCACGGGCCAGATGCAAGCTCAGGTACATGCTCAAGCCACGGAAACGAGACAAGAAGCCGGCACGGTTACGTAGGTGCTTCACGGTAGTACGCAACTTGCTGGTTATTGGCTTGGGGGTCGGGGTTGCAGTATACTTTGGGTCATGAGGATCGTATGGCTTGGCGAGGTTATGGTCATTGTTGTTGTTGTTGTCGATGCGAACGTAGATGTCCGGATTCGAGTCCTCGACAGCCGCGAGAGTTGCTACCACTCCACCGTAGGTGTAGTCAATCTGTCCCCATTATTAGGCGGGAATCAATAAACGCGGGATCGATAAAAAACCAGGGAGTTTTTTTTTTTTTTTTAATCTTTTTTGAAACTCACAGAGGCTATGACTGATAAGAAAATCAGACCTGACAAGATGAACAAGGCGAGCAAACTGGCAGGAGTTTGATCCTCATCGTGGTTAGGACCTTGCAATTGAACTGCAGCGCGACGCATCAACTGCCCAGTGAAATGCCCAGTGATTGCAGTAGCCATGGTGAAATGATGTGTTGAATAGACAAGAGATGTAAGAAAGATCCAGGGGGAAAGCCAAGAGTATAAGTGTAATCTTGACACCCGTGGGTCCGTGGACAAGGCTGCACTGCGCATACAAGGCAGCAGCCGCCCCAGCCCCACATACAATCTCTACTATAGTATATACTAGTAGTATCATGAAGTATGTATTAGGGTACTACTAAGCGCTCTCCAGATTTACCTTCATCTATTTTATTTTAAGACATTTTACTATATCTTATTCAAATGGTATAATCTATCAGAGATTAGTGTTGATTTCAAATTCCTCCAGACCCTCCAAGTTACTATCCTTCTCTACACTCTCCTTCTGAGTGTTAAGCGCCGCAGCGAAGGTAACAGCAGGTGAAATTTCTGTTGAAGATGGTTTAACAGCATTGTGGGAAGCATTAGGATCATGACGAGTTCGTTTTTGCTTCCTGTGGTCAACTTCTCTTAGGTTCTTCGCCTTCATCGGCTTTTCGCTTGACTTGGTAGCTGCTCAGTGCTTGGGTTCTGTTTTCGAAACTATTACTTAAATTTTCGAAGAGTTCGAGAATCATGTGAGAGTTATAAGCTTTTGATTCAAGTCAGCTCAACTTCCGATTCTCATTATGTGGAATTTGTCAAATATGTCCAGCAACTCGAATTGCTGGGACTGAAGCTGGTTCATGGCGTTTTGATCGACCGGCGGTCTAGTGTAAGGTGGGAAAATAAGGTCCAAGGAAAAACATTAGAAAAATAAAGGTACCATTGATAAGCTGTCCACGGTAGCAGTTGACGGTAATGATTTTGTACATCCCAAGTATTCGAGAAGGGTATATACTCAAGCGCTTCAAATGTTGATGCTCTGGGAGATTGTAAACCCAGAACTTGTCAAGAGTACAAACTTAGTACTAGAAATAGTACCAAAGCTTTACTAAGCACTGTACTCATTACTCAGTACTAACTACAGTCTACTTTACTTTTATGTTACACTTTTCAACTGCCATTTGCACATGTGGGGTTGAAGGGGGAGTAAAGAACTTCCAGATGTCAAGTTTCAACAAAATCCACCCACTACCCGCATGCAGCCCTGGTCCCTGGATTTCACCGCTCATTCAAAAAAACTATTTCAATGCGACCATTGCACGTCATGAATGTTTTAAAAATCCCAAGGAACATATTCAAAAGAAGTCGAGGTATGATTATTATTATTTTTTTTTTTTCTCAATTACATATATCTCTGCGGTCCGAAACGAATTCATGTAAGGCAACACGCGTTCTATCATCCACCCCGCCCCCCAACCCGACACAACCTTGGAACCTACATACATATGTAACTTGGACGCTCCTGTGTCAAAATGGTGGCAATTGCTTTCATGTTAGCTCTTGTGGCAACTTGTTGTGCAGCCGGCCTGCCGGTTGTTGATCTTGGCTATGAGCTACACCAAGCGATCTCATTCAATGTCAGCACTCTTTACATTCCTGATGAAACAGGCGAATAGCTAATTAACTATTATTCTTCTAGAGCGCTCAAGGGCTGTACAATTTCAGCAACATTAGATATGCTGCACCACCATTGGGAAGTCTCCGATTCCAAGCACCCCGATTGCCAGACCTGGATCGATCTCAGATTCAGAATGGCTCTGTCGGCCGGGTTTGTCCTCAGGCTAAGCCTATCTGGTTTAATGACATATTGCCTGAATTTCTGCTGAGTTTATCTGAGGGGACATCGTTCAATCAGTCGACGGATATTTCTTCCTATCCGTATGTGCCGCGCCAGTCTGACTCGCGCATTAATGAAGATTGCCTATTCTTGGATGTGACTGTTCCCAAGAAGATCTTTGATCGGGGCCAAAAGGCTCTGGCTCCGGTCTTGGTCTGGATCTACGGTGGAGGATTTGCAGAAGGTGATAAATCGCAGGAGGACCCTTCAGGCTTGATCAATCGGAGTACGATTGTTGGGGATGGGGTGGTATATGTTGCGATTAACTATCGAGTAAGTCTTCAAATACCTTGGCATGCGATGCATAGTAGCTATCATACACAACATTTTGAATAAGCGAGACTGACGTTTGCCTAGCTGGGGGCATTTGGTTGGCTAGGAGGCGATACACTGATGGCAAATGGAACTGCCAATGCCGGACTTCATGATCAACGTTTCGCTTTAGAATGGATACACAAGAACATTCACTTGTTCGGTGGCAATCCCAAAGCCATTACTGTAATCGGAGAATCTGCAGGAGGTGGAAGCATCATGCATTTGATTACGGCCCATGGAGGTCAGAAACCGTCTCTGTTTCAACGTGCAATCGTGCAGAGCCCAGGTTGGACGCCCATGCCGGATCAACAGCAGCCCGAGGAGATTTTACAAAACTTTCTCGCTCTTTTGAATGTGAACACGGTCGATGAAGCGCGGGGACTTTCATCCGAGAAACTGATTGCAGCCAACGAATATCAAATCGCCACTCAATCCAAATGGGGTGATTTCACTTACACGCCCGTTGTGGATGGGACGTTGGTCCCAGCGTTGCCCGGGCAGCTTCTCATGGAAGGCAAATTCGACCAGAGCCTGAATGTCATGACTGGACACAATGAAGACGAGGGAATTTTATTCACCCCACCGGAAAGTGCGAACAGCAGTGCTCTCCCACGGCTGCTGAAAGTATACTATCCTTTGATCAAACAGGATGTTATCGACTACGTGACTGAGGTGTTATACCCAGCCGTGTATAACGGAAGCTACAGTTATACGAATGCTATCGAGCGGTATGCCTTTATTATCTCGACCTCAATATTTGAGTGCAATACGGAATATCTGAACTGGGCATATGAAAATCAAACATTTGCATACCAGTTCAGCGTGCCACCATCGCTTCATGGCCAGGACACTCTGTACACATTTTACAACCCGGACAAGCTTGGAGTCGATGGAGGATTATCCGAACTACAAGTACAAAATGCCAGTGTTGCATTTGCAATGCAGGACTACTTTACTAGTTTCGCTCAATTTGGAGTCCCCCAATCTGCGGTGGGCGGACCAATTTTTCCAAGATATGGCGAAGAGAATATGCTCTTGAACATTGGCAGCCAGACGATCGAGGCTATTCACGATTTTTCTGACAATTTCCGCTGTCGTTACTGGCAGACTGCACCGTATTATTCTTGATGAGTATTGCTGGTGCCTGGGTGAAATTTCTGATGTAGATATGCAAAGTGGACCGATGTGGCTGCAGCTGTACCAAAATAATTTTTCTTTGTCTAATTCTTAAATGCTACTTTAATTTAATTGCAAGCACTTGAGACCTGGGCTGAGGCATAAAGTGAAACCGTAGCTACTACTTTGTACTAGTAGGATCGGACAAGGCTGTTTGAATCGCAAACGGGTCTCCGAATTTGGAATTTCGAGTTGCCGATCATGAGAAAAAAAAAAGCATTAAAGTGTTAAAGAGCTACCAAGGGATCCACTCAGTCTCCAAGAATAGAATATTTGAATGGAACCTTTTCTTTGAATATAATTTTTACATGTGGAATTTTTGTCCAGTTTGAACAATGGAACAGAAAAAGAATGATGTGACGCCAAGATCCTTGAACCCTTTATTACTCCCGACATCTGGAAGTAGATGCATTTTTCCTTTTTCTTCTTGTTTTTTTTTTTTTTTTTTTTTTTTTTTTTTTCTTGTAATTTCCCCCTGTGGGTCCAAATGGTCACCATCGGAATGAAAATAGCGTGATGAAGAGAAGAGCCGCCTACTCCGTACAATGGGTAAACATTGAAAGGTACGGATAATCATGTACTAAGACTTTGAGACACGGACCCTTATTGCGGCCGCGCCGAGTGGATCATCTGAGAACACATGACTAGCGCCCTTTCACTTTTTTTTTTTAGGTATTATCTCTTCGGTTGCAGTTGAACGGCTTTGCCGATCATTTCCACGGGGGCAAGGGGGCCGAAAGTGGTTCAAGTTTTTTTTTTTTTTGTACAAATTCCAAAGCTACTAGTAATGTATGCTAATACCCATCAGAAGAAATGTTCAACAGTGGGAATTATGATCATAATAAAATTGTCATACTACTAGTAAGTATAAAAAGAGGAGAGAAATATTGGAGACAGAATTGATCCAATAAGGAAGCCTGCAGATCGCACGACAAGCAAACATAAATTACCCAAGACCCTTGGCCCCCTTCTTTACCACAACGGACCAATGAACGGACGTTTCTTGCTCGGGTCGAAAGCTTATAAGCAAAATTATAAGCAAAATTACAGGTAATGCTTTCAAATGTTGGTAATTTTACAGGCATCCATATTTACCAGATTTACCAGATTTACCGGATTTCCCCATTTACGGGGAAAAAGCTACATGCAGTCTAGCCTTGTCTCGTTCTTTTTCCTTGGGGGTCGAAACTCTCTTTAAAAGATGTGCTCAAGGTGCTTTAACTTCTCGTCGTTTCCCTCCACATCCCTCAATCCTTTTGATTCTCCTCCATTCCTAAACTTCATCATGCGCCTGCCGTGGTCCATCCTAGGCCTGGTCGCCATCTCTTCGGCCATCCCCACCCCCTCATCCTCATCTCACGAGATTCACTTGAATTATCTCCCCGAACATTCCATTTCTCCGGAATCATACTTGGTTAGTCAATATAGAAATCTTTGTTTACTAGAAACAAGACAAAAACAAAAACAAAAACAAAAGTCACACGACATCTAACATTTTACCTAGTCCGTGGAATGGTCCATGCAAGATGGCACCTTATATGCCAATGGAGATCGGATCTTCCCGCCATCAGTGTCATCAAAAATGCAGGTACATGCACCTCGATATGAAGGGGCACAGAAGAAGCGCCTGGATACCGAAACTCTCTACTACTCCCTGGAGGTCCGACCCCTCTCTAGCCATGAAGTCGGCGCGCCCCATGGTATCGTGAGAGTAAATGTCGACTTCTTGGGAGAAGATGGCAAACCCGTGACACCAAACACCGTCGTTCTGGATCTGCTGGATCATCCAGATGGTAACCCTCGCATCACCAAAATTCGCATCGAACCTGGCAAATCGCGCTCCGATGACCGCGATGAACGAAAATGGCAGATGAAGTTCTGGCAGACGGAGATGGGCGCACTCTTCCAACACAAAGATCACAAAGATGACAAAGATCACAAGGAGCACAAGGAGGCAGGACCTTCCCAAACTGATTCCGCTATCGACCCGGCTTCTCAGTCATCCAAGGTTGAGGTCTCTGACTCCAAGCCCAGCGGCATCATGGAATCGACCGTTGGCTACATCTTCTCGCCTTACTTTGCCCCCTCATCTTATTCTCACCGATCTCATCGCCGCCCACACGATCACGACCACGATCACACCTTTATGCGCCTGGTGCGCCCGGTGATCCTTCCAGCCTTTTTGGGTGCCGTGGCTGGCTTGTTCGCTTGCCTGGTCGGCTTCCTCGTAGGCCATGTCATCATGTCCGTTTCCTACCGGCTTGGATTACGCAAGAATCCTCGCCATCGCTACCGTCGCTCCCGAGTGACCCACGTGGAGGATGATATGCCTGAAAAAGCCAGTCTACTCTCCGAGACTAACGTGACTGAGTCCGAGGTCTAAAGTGCCTTTCAAAAGTAGCATTTCATGGCGCAAGGGGGCGGGTTGGTCTTTTCTTTTCTTTTCTTCTTCTTCTTTATAATGTTCCTATTTTATGGCGTCCACGCATAGCAGCAACCTTTTCTTTTGTTACCCTGTCCATAGAGACCGTGTATTTGTATTATATAGTATGTCCCATATATCCTACGAGGATCATGTCTTTATTGAATTTCCAATGCATCATCTCTGATCGCGCTGCATCTGCTTCCTCTAGCACTACTTGACGAATCTTCCAACAATCCCGGCCGGCTGGCCCAATGGCAAGGCGCTTGACTACGAATCAAGAGATTGCAGGTTCGATCCCTGCGTCGGTCAATTTTTTTTCTATCCTTGTCGTATTTGCTTGTTCCTTTGGTCTGGACTTGGAGCCCCCCCCCCCAAAAAAAAGGAATTTGTTTTATTTTATTTTTAACTTTTATGATTGGTTGGTTTATTCCCTCACCAAAAACCATTAACTTTTGGGTCTTTCTTCTTTATCCTTTTTAGGCTTTTTCAACACCCGTACCGAAACATACATAAGCGATACAGTACATATCCACTTCTGTGATAGCTCTCTGCGGGGTAATCTGCTCAGTACCGATCTGGGTAACTTGGCTTGAAAACCAGGCAAGACCTCCATGATCCCTTGTGTGGTCTCGTCGTGCGTCTTACGGAAGGCCGCCCTTTGAACCCTGGGAAATACCAGGTAAACTGTCGTGTTTTGACTTTGGCTCCATATCGTTTCATTGTTCAGGTTAATTCGGTTGCCTATTCCCCTTAGCCGTGTTTTTGAGTTGCCGGTCCGCAGCCACAGACCTTTTGGATCAACCGCTAGGTTATTTCAAGGCTGTCCTTGACCAAGTACCATGTATAGTCATTTCTCAACCGAAAGTTTCAAATGTTGGATTTTTCTACATAGGTATTAGTATTAGTACGATTCCAATGTTGCAATGAGGTTGCCCAGGTGACAAATTTGCCAAAGGGTTGGAACCCAAAGAAAATCATATTGAATTGATCATGGATATTCTATAATCCGACCTTCGATCTTTGGTGAAATGCCCGATGTCCAGGCCGGTGCATCCGCGTCATCTTCACTTAGCAGTGAGTGCACGCCAGCGCGACGCGTCCACCGACCAATCACCCACCGAGCTAATCTCAGACGACGTTCTTCATCAGCCGAGGACGAGGCTCGAAGTGTCACATAGTTGGTCACTGGCGAGGGAAGAATATCGGGATCTTCATCTGAATCAGAGTCCATGGCATCACTACTGGCCCTACTCCCCGCACTGGCAACACTGTGCTGCTCCACTTCCTCCGGGAAACGTCCGTAGTAATAGGCCTCTCGCCCCGTTCTTGACAGGACTGGTCGGCGTTCCCAGCGATGACTGGGCGCCTTCTCCGAGACTGGCGAGGCGGCGGCAGAAGGAGGTTTCAGCCAGCCTTCCCTATGGAGTTCTCGATGAACAGATTTCCAATGTTGATTCAGGCTCGCACTCCAACGCGTCCATTTGTTGAGAACTTTCAAACTCAGAAAATACTGACGGAGAATGGTGCTAATCAGGACCCCCTCTTCTTCACACACCAACTCCTCAGCTTCCCCGTTCTCAGATTGCACTAGCAAGGATGAAAACCCATCTTTTCCACGAGCCATATATCCTCTCGTTGCCAGAGTATAATGCCGATCCGGGTCAATGGGCTGTCCTCCGATTCGTGCATACGTAACACGCGACCCCGGTGGGCCAGAGAGCTTGAATCCAAAGCAGATGTTGGACACTTGAGTGAAGCGCCCTTCAAGTGCAGGAAGTGTGCTGACCCCATTCTCGAGAGCATCGATTAAGGCCTGGCCCCGAACTCGCAGAAGGACCACAGGATCTTCAAAAGGAAAGCAGTTAAGCAAATCCTTTAAACGGATTACACCCGGGGGGTATATTTGGTCACCACGGATAGTACCACCTGCCATCATTGCACAGTCGGCTGCGTGATAGGAACGCATCAAGTCACAAACAAAATTGCCAAGATTTGATTCATGCTGCCGCACTGTAGAGAACCGAGCGTCCAATGGGGTGACTGTATATCCTACCGGTTTTTCCAGCTTCCATTTGAGTGTAGAATTTAAGCTATCAACCATGACAAGTGCCTCCGGGGCCTCGGGAATAGACCGCACGATGTCTCGCCTCGTGATATTAAAGTCCCAGCCTGGAGCACCATTGGGCTTTCGGAAAGCTTCAATGTAGCTAAGTTGTTTAAAGTCTGTACCCGAACGCAGTACATGAGTCCCATTGATCACGGCATGTGAGTAATAATGATCATGTCCCCCAAGAATGATATCGACCAACCCCGTGGGTAGATTGGTGGCTAGTTTGTTATCGTTTGGCTCACGCTGATGGGAAACAATAACTATGATCTCTGCCCCCTGTTCACGGAGTTGTGGTGCTAACTCTTTAGCTGTTTGAGTCGCAGACTTGTATATTAGGTTTGGGGGTAGAGAGTTGATCGTCCCTAGCCTAGATAAACACAAAAACGGGGGTGGGTCAGCAATGATGCAATTAGGACAAAAAAGGGCCTTGGTCTTGATTGTCACCATTCTCTTTCGCCAAGGCCAATCACACCAACTTTGATTCCATTTGACGAGGTCAGCATGCACGTTGTCCCACAATTAGCGATCGGTACACCGTCTCCAAGAGAAGGGTCAAGCACGTTGGCTAGGAGCCATGGGAAATGACACTGGCTTGCCAGGTAGCGAAGCTGGGCCACTCCAAAGTCCAGATCGTGATTCTGACCGTGTCAGCAGTCTCCATTTCAGATCGAACTGAAAAACGAGGTTGAGACTCACACCCAAACATGCCACGTCAGTGCCAATGTTATTTAGGAAAGGAACCATATGTCGACCCTTGGTGACGGAACTCTCCAGGCTAGGATTGAACGCATCGCCCGAGAAAAAGGTCATGAGATTGGGGAAGCCAATGTATTTTTGATCGTGGCGGTAGTAGTCAACAAGGGATTGGAAACGAGCGACACCGCCAATTGGTTCCGCCGATCCAGGTCTTTTGACAACAAGTTAGTAAAATGCAACGATAGAGGGACTATTCAATGGAAATTACATACTCAATATGATAGACATCATTATAGTGAATCAGGCGTAAATCGGGATGATCAGGGGTTCCGCTAGAGGAATAGGTGACGGAAATACCATCGGAGTCCAGTGCTGACATTCCTACGTAGTTCCAGCTAAAAAAAGACCCTAGAAAAAAAGAGGTTATCTGTCAGAGCAATGACGATCAGGAGATGCGATCCGAAAGGAATGGAGTGAATTGAGAAGAGGAAGGAAGAGGCAAAAGACCGAGTGAGGGAACGCTGAAAGGCCTACATGATCATGCATGCAAGGTCATGTGATCCTCGACATTATAGTTTATCAAAGAGGGAGAAGGGGGAATGAAAAAAAAAAAAGCAAAGAAGCATAGTCTCTGTAACAATGGACCGCTTAACCAGGGAAATCGCCCTATGCTTGAATGACCCAACCGCCAGCCACCAGACCATACTACGTGTATGGGTCAAAAGTCTCTTCTCTGAACCGTGCTTGCTAAGTCAACTGGTGGAACACAATCGAACATGCCTCCCAGCAAGCCCCAAGCGAATCACAAATGTCCGGGTCAAGTTAGACTGTCATCTTCCGGATACCGCTTTCATTTCAATGCAAGAGTCGCCGATGTCTCAGGTGAGTCAAATATTTGGGCAATGTTCCAAGATACTAGTAGGCTACAATCATACATACTCCACCACCGCTACAAGTACAGCAAGCTGGTGTTGAATTGGTTGGGTGTTGAATTGTTTCGTTGCATAAGCTAGTAGCTAAAAAGGGACCGGAACCCCGTGATTGGATGCATTTTACTTAATAACGCAAAAACGCTATATACAAGTAACAAAATGAAAAAAAAAACCTAGCGCCATGCAATAGAGGTATCCAGCGAGTTGAAGGGGAGAGAGAAAAAAAAAAAAGAAAGAAAGGTCGTAGATCATAGCTTCTGTTCCGCCAAGGTCCACCGCCGCCTCGATGCCAACTCACGATCCTCCAGGGACGGTGCGCTACCCCAGAGTCCCCTCTGGGACAGTGTTCGCTTAGGCAATTGTTTTGTCCACCCAGTTCGGTCCACGGGTACATCATGAAGAGGGAGGGGAAGGGGCGAATCATGGCTCACGGGCTGTTGATCCCCAAAATTAGGAACAAAGTCGTCCGCATCCTCTTCATTTTCGATCGGTGAAGCGATAGCGCCCCACAAGCCGGAAGGCCCTCGAGGAATGTCCGAGCTTGATGGACGGGGAGCAAGGGCCCACCCTCGAGGACTCATCGCGGGTCCTGAAATGGGACCAAGCGGGAAAGACCCTTGGAGGGGCTGGGGCCTGGAGCCAAGGCGATTGCGAAACGGTTGGGGTGACGGGTCCTGGGGGGCGGAGTGGGGTGTTAGTAAGTTTAGCTGAGAAGGGTTGGTTCCTGGCCGGAGGTGATCGGTCGATGCTACTAGTTGCAGAGCATAGTCGCGCGAGATTGCCCGATCGGCCTGGTCGAACGATTTTTTGGTTCGGTCAGAGTCAGGGGTGGTAATGGGCAACCGGCTCCGTGGCACAGCCAGGGTCACCGAGGCGGTGCCGATATCTAATAGAACAGGGTGGCCGGCGAGTGAATTGATCAAGGCATTGCAGCCAGCCCCGTGAGTAACAATGATGATAACGGTCTGGCCGGAAGAATCTTTGCGCAATAATGCATCATTCATTGTTGCCCGAGCACTCGATTCTGGTCGTTGATACCACTCCATCATCTTTTGAAAACTTTCGCTAACACGCTCCTGCATGGAGCTCCATTCCTCCCCATACTCTCCGCCTGAGCCCCAATATGGCGTGCGCATACTATCCCACTGGTAATCGATCTTGATGCAAGCGTCCCGCGCATGGCTGACGTAACCAGATGGAATGCGCTCTGCGGGAGAAACTGCATAACCGGGTACTGGGGCCACATAAGAGGCATTGGGTTTGGCCGGGCGGTTGATGTCCAGGCGGCCCAGGGCGGGACCCTGTGGTACGTCAAAGGTACTCGCGCGTGGACGCGGAGCATGTTCTACAGTTGACAGAGGTCCCTGTGATTGCAACGGCTGGCTATCATCATCTTCATTAGGGGAGGTGGGATGGGATTGGCTCCCCCAGCCACCCGGGAAGTGACCTGATAATACCCTTGTCCCTCCTTCCTGTACTAAAGGAAGTCTTTCCCCCCGACGTAGCAATTCTGCCTTTGCCAAAGCAACCATCCGATCAGAGCCTGGAGGTGGTGTGATTTGATCAAAGTAGTCAGGAGACAGCCATTCCCCCAAAAACGCGTCAACGCGCACCAAAGGCCGCAGGTCCGAGCTCAGCGCGTCTATAGGGGGCTGCTCCTCGTGGCTTTCGGTGGTTGGTCGAGATTGACTAAGACCTGTGCTGATGGCGATAGAAGTCTGGAGACATCGAAGGTAGGGGGAAGTATGGATTATTACGTTGTATCGGTTGTACAGATCCGAGGTTGCGGGGGGCAGATGCGGACTGGTCGGGACATCCGTGGGCAAGGATTGGCTAGATTCAGCCTCGGGCTTTATCCCCGTGAACTCGGAATTTTGTAGGAGACTTGCAATGCGTGCACCCAAGGCCCGTGATTGAATCCAGCCACCATAGCAGAGGGGAGGGTCGTAAGGAGTTGGGGAAGTCAAATGCCAGTCTTTGTCGGCAGCGTCAAGGCGCGCGCCATGTCTAACGAGGTCAGCTTTGGAGCGATGGAATCGATTGTGAGAAGATTCGCGAACCTGACAATGAAGACAATAGGTGCCGTCATTTCCTGTGGTAAGTTGGCTGTTGGCAAAAGAGTATTTATGTAGATTTCAGGTGGAGTTGCCAAACGGCCTGTTTCCTTTTAGCAGGGGGGGATGAGATGATGATTATTGAAAGAGAGAGCCTTTCCCAGGGGTTGGCAAAGAATAAATAAAGAGTAGCAGCCACAGCTAGCCCAGCCAGGAGGGGATCAAAGCATGCTCACACTTGGATGCCAGACAGCGCCTTGCGCTGCTGAAAGGGAAAAAAAATATGGTAGTGGGGATCGCTGAGGTCGAATGTCTATCACATGCTTTTCATGTACGTGTACGCGCATTTCAAGTGGATTCAGTGGATTACATGTTAGAAGTATTTCTGCCGGTCAAAAGATTTCCTGCTTCAACAAGGGTTTTTTTTCTTCTTTGTCATTTGCACAGTACTTGATGATTGTAATTCCATGACCAATCTACATAGATCAGATTCTAGATTTTATCTGGCCTTCCATGCACTTGTATATATCCTCAAAAATACGAGTTCCTTCAGGTTCTCTAGTTATGGGCGGTGAAAAAGGCGGGTCTTTGTTTCTACAAACCACTGTAATATTACCTATACATATATGTAGTACTCAAAGTGTTACTTGGCCACGTATCGACCCCTCATCTGCCCATGTGGACTATGTTATCCCACTTGAGAGGCATTGACAGGGACAACACGGACCAGTTGACACTTTCCAGGTTTTGAACTTCTTTGTCTATACACCTTGGAAAGATGGTCCAGTAACGATCAACACCAACCACATTGAGCTCATAGTAATTGTGACGGCATCTCTTCCTTGGCTGTCGATCCCGCTGCAAGCTTTATCAGATAAGCAGGATAATTCTGCGTAGACGAATCTTCAATCCTCAAGCTTGATGCAAAAAGTCGCACCAAACTCGGGAGCCATACCTCTTCAATTTTGTGATGCCCATCAGCTGATCTCGGGTAGAATCCGCCGCGACATGACGTGACTTCGGGCAGTTTGAATCTTACGGAGAAATTTCCGATCGAAACATCAAATCACGAGATTACATGGAAAATACCCCAACATCAGAAATTGTTCTATTGGTAAGCAGCTCGATTTATAATCAAACGAGCTGGACTTCCAATTTATAACTATAGTTAAATCTCAAAATACACTGCTTCAAAAGACAATGGTCAAACTGAAATCCTGACTGAAACCCGAACGTGGAACCTGACATCTCTATTGAAGAGACAATATCTCACTTCTCCAAGGTTCCAAGACCCCCAAAGATTGGAGACACTAGATAATTCAATAATTCAAAATGCCTGATAAAACAAAAATCAAAGCAGTCTTCTTCGACTTCATGGGCACCTGCCTGGATTGGCATTCTAGCGTTGTCAAGTCCATGTCCGCTTTCATCCCCGCCGATCAAGCTTCCGACCTTGCTCTGAACTGGCGGAGGCTGTACTTTCTTGAGAATGAGAATCGCTTTCAACAAAATCTTCCGTCAGAAGATATCGATTTGACCCTGGCTCGCGCCTTGGAGATTGCTCTTTCACAAGACCCTAATCAACCCCGCCTGGAGGCCAACGAGAAAAGACAATTGATAGAAGCCTGGCATTTTCAACCAGCTTGGCCGGAAGTACCTAGGGCGCTGCGAGATCTCCGAGATAACCTCGGTCTGGAGGTATTTGTGCACGCCAATGGAACAACTCGTCTCCAACTGGACCTTGCCCGCTCGTCGGGATTGGAGTTCCATATGCTATTTTCAAGCAAGCTGCTTGGATTATACAAACCCAGTTTGGATGCGTATCGGAAAGCGTTAGAATTGGTCCAACACTGCCCGGAAGAGGTGGTTATGGTGGCAGCGCACGCTTATGATCTTCGGGCGGCAAAGAAGATCGGCATGAGAACCATATACATTCATCGGTGGACCGATGATATCGACGAGGATATGAACCAGGTAAAGGTGGAGTTTGATTTCTTCTTGGAAAACATGGAAGAACTTCCCCCGACAATTGCCAACATGTAAACTCGACTCACCAGTGTGTAATTACTACCTCTTTAGAATTAGTCATATCAACCACGGATACCTAGGTATCAGAACCTACATAGATTTTACCATAAATCCAAAGCTCACCTAGAACCTTGGGACATTTGAATAGATGAATTGATGGATTCCAAGGTTGAGAACATACAGATGTCCATCTCTGTCGACACATGTGCAGGCGGTTCCGACATCTGGACGGAAGCTTAGCCACCCTTATGTATTCAGGTGAACTATATGTAAATATTTGAAAAAGAGCATGCAAGATCAAAGGGATCTTGATGTATGTTCAAAATTTGAAATACTCTATCAAGGTATGTATTTTATATGATACTTTTGAGTGTTCAAAAATGGACCGAAGTCGCCCCCATAAAACTGCATCGACATGTGGCTCCGGCCTGGGGAGGAGGGTATGTACGAATATGACATCTGTATCTACAAAACCGGCCCACGCTTCTCTTGCATCAACCACCGTCAACTATGCACATGTGTATTACATTTCACTTGGCTTGGGGCTCGCAGGAACAGTAGACACCCATGTCAACGGCGGAGACAAATATGTCCTCCAGGATATCGCGGGGCCGTATATGTATATGTAGTTTGTCTTTATGAGTATTGGTCTTGCTGGATTAAGGCTCTTCAATGTTTTGACCTTCTATCCTTCAATTTTTCAATACATACATAAGCACTTCCAGGGTGTACCAGTCAAAATGATACCTGTGGATTCAACCAGTTCAATGTTGACATCAATTGAATTGATCTACATGCTGTTCGAGTTCAAAGGTACGCACATTTGTATTGATATATACTAGTAGTAGGTACTACTTTCACGTGTAGATATGTAGTATGGATCACGTTATTTGCACATGCAAGGTTGCGCACATTTTCGACATTGAATACTCAAGTGCTGCATCTCAGACAGCACCCCATCCGCCACCACCCGCTGTCATGATGACCACTCGGTCATGCGTTTTCACAGATACAGTATTCTTGCCACCGATATCGACTTGACGCTCCTTGCCAGTCTCCGTGTCTCGCGTAATCCACTGGTTGAGACCAGTCTGAGCATCCTCACCACCTTCTAGCCCGTACGGTCGGTAAACCCGTCGCTCTGACAAAATTGAACACTGCATCGGGGCAAGAAACTCGATATCACGAATTACACCTTCGCCGCCAGGGTGCTTACCCCGACCACCTGACCCATCTCTCAATGTGAACTGACGAAGCATGGTTGGATAGCGTTTCTCTAGGATTTCTGGATCGGTGATTCTCGTGTTGGTCATGTGGACTTGGACGCCTGATTCGCCATTCCAAGTAGGGCCAGCTCCGCTACCACCGGCGATCGTTTCGTAGTAGCCAAATCCTGGGGTAATCACTGCACCATTGGGGTCGAACTCGGTATTGGTTCCGAATGTCAGGTTATTGCAGCAACCCTGAGACGCTGCACAAGCTGAAAATGCTTTGAGGACAACGTCCGTGATTCGCTGAGAAGTGAGAACATTGCCACCTACTACAGCGGCAGTCTTACTGGGCGACAGTAGACTAGGTGATGGCACTTGAATGTCAATTGGAGTTAAGCATCCTTGGTTGAGAGGAACATCAGCGTTGATCATGCATCGTAGACAATAGATAATGGCTGAATGTGTGATGGAGATGGGCGCATTCCAATTGCCTTCTACCTGGGAACCGGTTCCCGAAAAGTCAAAAACAGCAGATCCATTAGATCCATCAATGGTGACCTTGAGCCGAATAGGAGTGCCGTCATCCATGTAGTCCACCGCTTCTAATGGCTGTCCGCCAAACTTGCGATGCAGATCCTTGAGTAGATTTCGCACGGCTGTCTCGGCTGTGGCCTGAATGGCATACATGTATTTTTGCACAGTCTCGACACCATATTCGGCAAAGAGACTCTGGATCAAGATTATTCCACGAGTGTTGGCTGCAATCTGGGCTTTTAGATCTGACAGATTATCGCTGATGCACCGTGCACCAGAGCAATCCGGGTATTGCGAGGGTTTGGTGACCAGCAGTTCAATAAGGCGATCCTCGTCTAGGACACCGTTGCTGACAATTTTGTCTCCCTCGATCGCGGCACCTTCCTGCCAAAGCTCAGTGGACTTGGGTGGCATCGACCCGGGCAGGATACCTCCAATATCGGCGTGGTGGCCACGCGAGGCGACATAAAACATGATTTCGGTACCACCGGGGCGATCAAAGACCGGCGTGATCACCTATCAAACCAAAGAAAGGGAAAATCAATAACTTGAAGAGAAAGAGAAAGAACAGAAAAAAAAAACCTTACCGTGATATCTGGGAGGTGGGTACCACCGCAGCTAGGGTGGTTAGCGACAAGTACATCTCCATCCTTCAAGTTTCCCAGCCACTTCTGGTGCTGGTAGCGTACAGCAAATTGCATTGACCCCAGATGAACAGGAACGTGTGGGGCATTTGCAACAAGTCCACCGTCTGGGGAAAACAAGGCACAAGAGAAATCCAATCGTTCTTTGATGTTGGTAGATACTGATGTCTTTTGCAGAGTTCGACCCATTTGTTCAGCAATTGACATGAAACGATGGCCAAAGATGGTGAGACGGATGGGATCAATTTCTGATACAGGTTGCTCTGTATGCGAGGTTGACTTGTCCTTCAAGTCAATGACAATGCAAGTTTCCAAGAGATTTGCGACAGCGTTGGGAGCAACGACGATTGTCTGTGTCTGATCAATGATGACTGCAGGGCCAAAAATGCGACTGTGTTTCTCCAATTGATCTAGCAAGTACACAGGTGTTTCGGTACGGCTCGTCGAATTACCGTCAAAGTAAGCAGCGGTTGTGTTGGCAGGAGGAATAGAAACATCCTTCATGCTAGCGTCCTTCAATTGAACCAACGGACTACGTTCCGTGCGAATCTTACTCGAAGCAATACTGCGTACGCGAATATCATCAACCAGAACCGGTCGCTCGGAGTTAAAGTTGAATTCGCGACGGTGGCGTTCCCTGAATTGACCAAGAAAATCCGTTGAGCCCTCTGGTTGTAGGATCATAAGGCTGGTGTCGGAACCTTCGTATCGCATGTTGAGGTATTTCTCATGTCGCACCTGGCTGGCGGAGAAGCCCTGGGCTTGCATTTCCTCTGTTGAAGCAGCTGCTATGGTGTCAAAACGATTGAGAAGGGCGGAGTGTGATGAAATATAGTCAGATGACACTGGCTCTTGTGATTCCTTCACCACCTCAGCAAGGGCCAAGCCATATGCCGATAGAACGGAAGAATACTTGTGGATAATAATTCGAGATATTCCTAGCGATGCAGCAACTGAGCAAGCATGTTGGCCACCAGCTCCTCCAAAGCAAGCGAGGTGGTGCGAAGAGGTCTCAAAGCCGCGAGCTTGGGTAAGATTACGGATGGGTCGGGCCATCGACTCATCAGCAACATTGAGAAACCCAAGCGCAATCTCCTCTGGGCTGTATTCTGGCTGGGAGTTTTGGCGGCGCTCAACATTCACCTTTTCTGTCAGTTCGTGGAATTTCTGCGCTGTGATTTCAGTATCCAAGGGTTGATCTTCATCGGGCCCGAAGATGTGGGGAAAGTAGTCAGGAAGCAATCGGCCTAAGAAAAGATTGGCATCGGTTACGGTTAAAGGGCCACCTTTGCGGTAGCAAGCTGGACCAGGGTGTGCACTGGCGGATTCAGGGCCAACATAAAAGAGGCCATTGCGCCAAGACAGGATCGAGCCACCGCCAGCAGCCACTGTGTTGATATCGAGCTGGGGTGATTGAATCAAAATACCGGCTACTTTTGATCCAAAGACATGTTCCAGATGGCCATCGAATCGAGATACATCGGTAGAAGTGCCACCCATGTCGAACCCGATCACTGGGGTCTTTTCAAGAGGGTCCCAGCTTGTCGCAGCGAATCCTACAACTCCAGCTGCAGGACCGGAAAGAATAGCCTTCAGACCACTGAACTTCCGAAAATCAACCAACCCTCCGTCCGATTGCATGAATTCAAAGCGACAATCTTGTTGCCTTTCCAATCCACCTTCGAAGCTTGAGGAAATGGAGTCGATATAGGTTTTTATGACTGGCGTAAGATACGCATCAGCGGCGGCAGACATTCCTCGGGGCACCAGTTTAATCATCGGTTGTAACTTGGAGGACAGTGTCACAGAGAATCCCATCTCTTCGGCAATTTCCCCAATTTGGAGTTCGTGATTCGGGTAGGCAAATGAATGCACAAGTGCCACCGATAGCGACTGATAGCCCTGTTCTTTGAGCCTTTGAAGCTCGGCTCGTACATGTTCCAAGTCCAGTTCTTGCACGACTCGGAATTTCTCGCCAGTGATCCCTTCGACCATACGAGCATCAGGAAAGCAATCGGTGCTTGCATTTGGGTGGCAAGGAACCACTCGCTCATTAACTTCAACGACCCTCTCCGGAAGCACTCCAGGTCGTGCCATAGATAGATCGAATATTGCAGGACGGGATTGATCGCCAATCTTAAGAAGATCTCGGAAACCTTTAGTCGTGAATAATACTGAACGGGCCCCCTTTCGCTCCAGTAATGCATTTGTAGCAACCGTGGTACCCATTCGAAGGCAGCCTATACAATCAAGCTTTAATGGTCGGCCACGGGGATGCGGCTCTCCTGTAACAAGCTCGAGAATTTGGCGAATACCTTCGGTTGGCGCATCTTGGTAGTGTGTAGGGTCTACCGAGAGTAACTTCAAGATAATATCCGAGCGACCAGGCACAATAGCGTGAACGTCTGTGAAGGTGCCACCTCTATCAATTGAGATAGTTATTTTTCCCGATGAGGTCATTGTGAGAGTGATGATAGATGTGTGAGTATGTTGAGTGTCGGACTGCCTCGGGTTTGAGACGATTGCGATCCCATATGTAGCATGTAATACTCAATGTATCGGGAAATGTGATCACGTGTCGGGATGGAGATCCCGATGCCTATCGGCGCGCGCCTATCATCGGCCCGATAAGCGGACATGAGGGGGAAAACGGGCAGAAGACCGAGTAGGACATCGGATTTTCAAGATAATACAAGTTATACAGCCACCAGGGCAAAAAAATACAGATATGCACCCGAAATACATAGAGATAAGGCGTAAATTTGAGTGTAAGTTCAAATTCCAAGGTAGGTTCACCATATAGTACTAAGCTACTTACCTACCCAATAGATAGGTACTTCCAAATCACTTGTACTAGTATCTGGCAAGAGAAGACTGGAAGTATGATAATGTTTCTGTTTCTGTAATTTACAAATTTCATAATGTTTGTTTTGATGGCCAGGGTTGTTTATTTTATTTCAATTGTCTTCAATGTTTTACTACGTAGATATGTATATAGTCTCGTGATTTTACCGTCGCAGGGTATTCTCAATCCAGTCCGTATCCATATCAATATCAATACGATCCAAGGCACCCTCCCACAATGCAGAGTCGTCATTGAGATCAAATTGAAAGGAAATATCCTGGAGAGGGTTTAGGTCGGGTGGATGCTGCCACACCTCTGCAGGCACAGGAGCACCATTCTGCCGTGGATCCGGGCCCGGATCTGTGAGTGTACTCTTGGGTGTAGCTAGATCGCTGGTGGGGGATATGATGTCATCAGCGATACTAATGGATGAACTGGGCTCCATGGCAGCTCGTAACTCCAGTAGTAATGAGTGGCGAGATGATAGATAAGTATTTCCCCGATCAGCCATACTACGAAGCAGACCGAGGGCTGTTTCCATTGCACGGGCATTTGGTTCATTCTGTGGAAACGCAGCGTTGACCATGACGAGTAATAGGGCTGCGGAGAAGATGTATTCACCATCAAGATAGCCGTACGTAGCTGCAGAGTATTAAGTCAATGATGAACCGAAATCTGAAAACAACAATCCAGAAGGTAGTGTTGAACCGTTATCTTACCGATGAGATTATGTTTTGCCGCTGCATCCATAATTAAGGTCGTCGCACGGGCGGCTGTGATGCAATTATCAATCACCGCAATTGTGTTTGGTGCCAGAGCTTCCTTCCAGTCTTCGGTGCCCCCAAGCAGCCCGGCATCAATTCGACGTTGAATGATGTAAAACACTAGAGGACGTGCGGTCATGTTGACACATGAATAGAAGTGCAAGTTGATTGATACTGTCTCGCGATTGACGTGAGTATCGAGCGTCGTGAAATTGATGCGGAGACGATCAGGGGCCTGTCGAAGCCAGGTCGACAGATCATTGGTGATGCTTTGCACAGACACTATTAGACTTGAGCCTGATCGAGGTTTCTTTCGATATATCTCTGCGATTTACATTTTCTGTCAGAAAAAAAGAAGACTTATATGGCATATAGGTGGAGTCTCACCCTCGCCTATTCTGCCTAATATACGCGATAATTGCGTATAATGTGTTAAGACGATTGATGGCCATGGATCGGACATGGACCCGTCCTATCAAAGACAATACTCAACACCCCACTAGTCAATAACGCATGTAGACAGTAGTACATACCGAGGTTGATGGCCACATAATGTCGATATCCTCATCATGAATGGTGATTGGGTTCCCAGACTTAACGGATAGTAGCCTGTCCAGGCTGTAAACCGACCACCAGGCCCGTCTTCTCCGGTTCCGATCGGCTTCGCTGATACCTTCCTGAGACACCTCTTGGTGAAGACCAAGAGATATGGCCATACGCAGGGCGAGTCCAATCTATTAGTGATAATTAGTTTATAGCTGCACGGAGTAGAGGTTAACGGATACTGACATAGAGAAAGGCAGCATCTCTTCGATTCAAATTCTGTAGGTAGTATGCGATATAGCATAAGACTTCAACGTGTAATATCGATGGGTCCTCGTGAATATCAGGCAAAAAGCGCAACGCATACTTGAAGTACTTGAAACCTGGTGGTCCATCATCGCCGGACCATTGGTTGACGGAGTACATCAACCCGAATGCAATGACAAGCAGAGTTTGACAATACACCAAACATGATTCACGACGAGAAAAATCCGATGGTTTGTTGTAGACAAGGTCAAGCCTTTCTTCAAACTGGGCAGGCTGGATTAGTGAGAAAATGGTCCCGATGTAAGCGTATTGCACCCAGAAAAGCCGTCTGGAAAATTCAAATGGCGGCAAGGGTGGCAGGATACGCTCTACTGGTCGGAGCAGAGATGAAGGATCGTACAAAGGATGTGTATCCCACAGATTTGTCGAACTTGGATTAAGACGTTTTGCTAAATGTGTGGTCGAGGATGCTCCCACAAAATCTAAATTTATTGTTAACGAACAATAATTGCTTTTTTTTTGGAGCAAAAAACTCCCCCCTCATAACAACACTGGCACATACGATGTTCACCTGACCTGTTTAGAAAGAGATTGTCGGCACCTTTATACCACCAATCATCTCGCTCCAAAGGCAGATCACTTTCCCAGTATTGGTTCGTTGCGGAGGTGGGTGGGATATTTGATGACACGGTTGACGATGATGTCGACTGGCTGTTGTCTACATTTGAAGGTCAACAAATGTTCAAGTTCTGTCATAGCTCATGTCGACCCACCTCGGGGGGTTCGAGCTCGCGACTGTAGATGCCTGTAGTGACTGCATGTGGAATCAGTCGAATATTCACTCCGAAAAAGATAATAGTAGGGTCTATTAGTTTTACCTCTCTGTAATAGATATGCGCTTTTCGGCCTCCGAGTAAACACAAGCCTGGCCCACATCAACGCAGGCTGCGCAGGGAAGAGGTGGATTCCCGGCACATCGGGTTTTGCGGTTCCGGCATCGATTGCAGCTGCTTGAATCAGCGTCCATGCGCGTTTGGGAAGTGAGGGCCTGACACCTACGCCACTACGGACCGCCTGGCAGACAGATCTTGCGACCGTGACACTCTTCTGCCATGAACCATTTCCAAATGTGCTAAGAAAACAATCAAACAAGGAATGTTGGCAAGTTAGCGGGGAAGCTGGGGTTCCTTATCTTATCTCCATCGGCCCGATATTCAATACATATTACGCAGTTAGTAATGAATCAATGATACTCCTTGGTGCTAACATTGAATACTATGTGCCTATTCAAGGTTCAAGCTTGAAAGGGTATCTTACTATGACCTCGGAGTAAGAATTTTTCACAAGGTCATACTATGCATCTGCAGCCTTTGATCTCGGAAAGGGTAGCTTCGAGTAAACGACCCGGACGTGGCGCAGGTGTTACTTGAGCTGCGGAGGTAGGGCCTAGGGGATTCAAATTATGGAAGAATACGGGATAATGCTGGCTCAAGATTCAACATTCAACATTCAAAACAAACATTGGCTCTCTGGGATCAGACTTTTTTTTTTTCTCCTTGCGGAAGCTTCGAGTCTTGACTCTTGACTGCCATAGGCGGCTGGAAACGAACATTTGAACGGAGTTGTGCATTTCCAATGACTACTAGTAGGGTCTTATCCAGATTGTGGGGGATTGTAAAGAAAGCAGTCGCAGGTACTAATTTTAGCCAAGTGGCATTTTTGAATGTTGATTGCAAGACACATCTCCATAAACCGTAAGAGGCATGATTAGAATGACTGACCATATTCGTACAACCGTGGATATAACCGTATCAATGATTAATCTTATCGATTCGCACCACCGTGTTCCCGCATAGAGGGGTAACATGCGATGCGCAATGTCAATAACCAAATACATCAATACATCACTGCATGTGGACTTCAAGACTTGCGAGTCGCAAGCATCGCGTTTCCTTTTTCGATCATGATATGCAGCGCTAATCCCGATCAGGTAAAGGGATCCGGCTTCTCTCATCATTGACATTGACATTGAACACTCCATTACTCCCAAAAGAATTGAGTGCTCATCGGCTTTTATCTAATCAGAAAACACGTATACGTGGTGAGACAAAGTTTACAGCAGCATAAATAATCAATGAGCTGCCCCAAGAAACCATCAATTTCCTAGGATTCTAATGTTTATTTAGGATTGAGGTCACGACGCACGACCACACCACTTACAACCAGTGACCAGGAGTGACCAGGAGTGCTCGAGTCCAGGTTTATCCCTCTAAAAGGCCAACTTCAATCGTGGAATTGATACCTTGACCAGATCAATTTACTTCCAGCTTTCCGATACCTACCCAGGATTTGCCATCGGTCAGGAATCAGGATGGTTCTCGACAGGCTTCAGCAGTTGGCTCATCAACTCCAGGTTGACGCAAAACCATCTCCCCCGCATCCTTTTGATCCTCTGTCTACTGCAGAGATAGATACGGCCGTTGCAATCATCCGTAAGGAGCATGGCCCCCTCAACTTTAATGCTGTCACATTGTACGAGCCACGCAAGGCACAAATGATGGCCTGGCTGAGGGAACCTGAAAGCCCCCGCCCACTCCGCGCCGCTGATGTCGTTGCCATTGCACCAGGTGGCAAGGTATACGATGGTGTAGTGGATCTGGACCAAAAAAAGATCTTGGAGTGGAAGCACACACCTAATGTCCAACCACTGATCACTATGGAGGACCTTCAAGAAGTGGAACATATTGCGCGCAGGGATCCGAAAGTCATTGAGCAATGTGGGATTATTGGCATTCCACCAGAAGATATGCATAAAGTGTACTGTGATCGTAAGTGATGGTGATTTTAATTGGAGAATCCAGAATCAATGCTAATAATGATTAGCTTGGACGATTGGTTATGACGAGCGCTTTGGCAATGGAGTTCGTTTACAACAGGCCCTGATGTACTACCGTCCTCATATCGATGACTCCCAGTATACCTACCCGTTGGACTTCTGTCCGATCTTTAACGCGGAGACGAAGGAGATCATTCATATCGATGTGCCCCCAGTGCGGAGACCTGTCAACAAAGCGCCTCCAAACAACTATCTCCCCGAGTTTATCAAGAAAGAAGGCGGTTTCCGTACTGATATCAAGCCAATACATATCACCCAGCCTGAGGGTGTTTCATTCCAAGTGAAGGACCGTATCATCGAGTGGCAAAACTGGAACATTCATGTCGGGTTCAACTACCGTGAGGGCATTGTCCTTAATAACATCACATTCAATGACAAGGGAAATGTACGGCCAATATTCTACCGGCTCTCATTAGCGGAGATGGTCGTTCCTTACGGTAACCCTGAGCATCCTCATCAGCGCAAGCATGCATTTGACTTGGGAGAATACGGCGGTGGCTATATGACAAATAGTCTATCTCTTGGATGTGACTGCAAGGGGGCCATTCATTACATGGATGCCGCGTTCGTCAATAGCGCTGGTGCGTCAACGATCATCAAAAATGCCATTTGTGTCCATGAGGAGGACGCAGGTATTCTGTTTAAACACACCGACTTCCGCGACGAGTCAATGGTCGTCACCCGCGGTCGCAAGTTGATTATATCACACATCTTCACTGCTGCAAACTATGAATATTGTGTATACTGGATCTTCCACCAAGATGGAACCGTTCAGCTAGAGATTAAGCTGACTGGTATCTTGAACACTTACTCTATGAACCCGGGTGAGGATACTAAGGGATGGGGAACCGAAGTGTATCCGGGTGTCAATGCTCACAACCATCAGCATCTATTTTGTTTACGCATTGACCCCAACATTGACGGTCCCGATAATACTGTTTTTCAAGTGGATGCCGTTCGTGGCCCCGGAGAAGTCGGCAGTGCTGAGAATAAGTATGGCAATGCTTTCTACGCCAAGAAGACCAAATACAGCACTCCGATTGAGTCGATGTCAGACTATGATGGACTCACCACGCGTACCTGGGATATGGCCAACACCAACAAGCTCAATCCATACAGCAAGAAGCCAGTCAGCTACAAGCTGGTCAGTCGTGATGTTCCGCCACTTCTTCCCAAGAATGGTAGCTTGGTGTGGAAACGAGCCGGTTTTGCACGTCACGCAATACACGTTACAAAGTGTAAGTCTAGATCTATATACCAAGGGTGCCCCTTTAGTGCTTGTCTGTTAAAGCTAATCCTAACGATGATGAAGATTCCGACGAGGAGATTCATCCAGCTGGGCGCCATGTTCCTCAAACCTCCGGTGAACCTTCACACGGCTTGCCCGCTTGGATCGAGGCCGCTGGACCGGACTGCTCAATTGATAACACCGATGTTGTTCTGTGGCACACATTTGGTCTGACCCACTTTCCGGCTCCAGAAGATTATCCTATCATGCCTGCTGAGCCAATGACTTTACTTCTACGTCCACGCCACTTTTTTGACCGAAATCCTGTCCTCGACGTCCCACCCAGCTTTGCACGTTCCCCTTCGGAGGTAGCAGCAGGAGCAAAAAGTTGCTCCTGTAAGCGAACTGATGGATCCAGCGTTTTAGTATAGTATGTCAGTATAAGATGCACATGTGGATTTCAAGGTTTCAAAAATCGAATGTTCAGTTATGCAATTCATCCATTTTCCGAACACCTATCGACCTTTAACTTTTTCCATATAAATACATGTAAACACCCAGACAAAACAGATCAATAAACATTGAATCCATGTGTACTAATAAGTAGGACTTCGGGAGGCTTGGCCATCTACTTACAGTACTGCATCATGATCCATGGAAATGGTCCATACTAGTAGAGCAAACTTCCACATTGTAGTAAATTGGAACCTTGAACCAAACCAGTATCGGCTGAAATTACACAAACTAAGAATTAAATCCGAAATATCGTGGGACAAATATTTAAATCATCATCAACCATGTTGTAGGAGTAAGTACATAGAGTGACAAAAGTGTTTGTACACTTGTGTTTTTCCCCGCCAAAAATCATTGATAGCAAAACTCACCAACTTTGAAATTCAATATCTCGATAAATTTATCAATATATAGACTCTTTTTTTTTGATCATGGCTAAGTTATAAGTAATTAGTAAATAGGTGCTTCTTACAGTTAGAAATTCTGGTGTGATTTATTCTGGTAGAGCTGCATGACTTTAAAGTTGTGGATGAGAAACATCGTTAAAATTTGTTAGCAAACAGGCCGCATCCCCATAGTAAAAGTTCCGAGAAATGTCATGTCCATTTTCCATACCAAACATTTCCACAATGCAAGCATTTAAAACGAATTCCTAACTATACAGATCAATTCTCAGTCGTTTATTTAGAGTTGAAGCGATTTAAAAATCATCTTTTACATATAAAGTTGTTAAAATAATTGTAACCAAAGAGGGTGAGTTTTGCTACTTTTTGCGGGGAAAAATGGAAAATTTGAAGTGTACAAACACTTTTGTCACCCTATGTACTACATACTACTAGTACTATCTCTGGCCCCTGGCTTAGGACTGGGGTTAGTTATCGCAGGCTGCAGCCTCGGCCTCAAAATCACGTTAGTCAGCCGATAACGCGATAAAGTGCGGAGAAGAGAGCATCACCACTTCTCCTCTTTCAACCCCCCTCTCTCATAACACATGGTTTTTGCGGAAATGAGGGAGAAAACGATGGCCTCTTCGGAGACAACACCCCTGTTGACCGTTCAGGTTGCACCGCAGCGGTATCGCTACCCCCACCATACAATTCGTCGGACTTGTACATTTTTGCTCACCTCACTGTTGGTGATCGCTGGGACCCTGTTCTTGATTCCGTCTGCGATCCTACCTCGAGAACATGGCTCAATCTGGTCCTACCTTCCGTGGGCTCACCCTCTTCCATACGATTCATGGCCGCGCGGTAATGGACTTCCCTACGATCAACTGGAGCAAATACTTCTCAATACTCCCTCGGCGGCTAAGGCGCGGGAGTGGAGCTCCTACTATACCGCCGGGCCCCACTTGGCAGGTAAGAATCTCAGCCAAGCTCTATGGACCATGGAAAAATGGAAGGAGTTTGGTGTGCAAGATACTAGTCTCGAAACATACGAAATTTATTTGAATTACCCAGTGGATCACCGGTTGGCTCTGCTGAAGAAGACGGACAATCAAACCGAGGTCACCTTCGAGGCCACCTTAGAGGAGGATGAGTTGGAGGAAGATCCCACCTCCAGTCTACCTGATCGAGTCCCCGTCTTCCATGGGTACTCGGCCAGTGGCAATGTCACTGCCCAGTTTGTTTATGCCAACTTTGGCACATACAAGGACTTCGAAGACCTGGTCAATGCCAATGTCACCCTGGCAGGCAACATTGCGCTTGTCAAGTATGGCGGCGTATTCCGTGGCCTCAAGGTAAAACGTGCACAGGAGCTCGGAATGGTCGGCGTTGTCATCTACAGCGATCCCCAAGAAGATGGGGAAATCACTGAATTGAATGGCTACGAGGCCTATCCCAACGGACCCGCCCGGAATCCCAGTGCCATTCAAAGAGGCAGTACACAGTTTTTGAGTATGTACTACTTGCCCGTTTACTATGTCTTGCAAGCTCTTTCACTGACCTTGAAAAATAAATAAAGGTATCCTTCCAGGAGACCCAACCACCCCAGGGTATGCGTCCAAGCCAGGCGTGGAGCGACAAGACCCACACAATTCTATCCCTTCCATTCCCTCACTTCCCATCTCTTACAAGGAAGCCTTGCCCTTTTTGAAAGCCTTGAATGGTCATGGTCCCAAGGCTGCAGATTTCAACAAGTATTGGCAAGGTGGTGGTTTGGGACACAAAGGTGTTGAATATAACATTGGACCTTCCCCCGAGGATGTTGTGATCAATTTGAACAACGAGCAGGAATACGTGACGACTCCACTGTGGAACGTCATTGGTGTGGTCAAAGGAAGCATTCCCGACGAAGTCATTGTGTTGGGTAACCACCGAGATGCATGGATTGCTGGAGGCTCCGGTGACCCCAATAGCGGATCTGCAGCCCTCAACGAAGTTATTCGTAGCTTCGGTGAAGCTCTCAAGGCCGGGTGGAAACCACTACGAACAATTGTGTTTGCAAGCTGGGATGGGGAGGAGTATGGCCTCCTCGGCTCCACCGAGTGGGTAGAAGACCACCTCCCCTGGCTCTCAAAAGCCAATGTTGCCTACCTTAATGTGGACGTTGCTGCTGCTGGGACGGAGTTTGCTCCTCGAGCCGCGCCTCTGCTGAACAAACTTATTCATGAAGTTACTGGTCTCGTACAATCCCCAAATCAAACCGTGGCTGGCCAGACTGTTCGTGATGTTTGGGACGGGAAGATTGCCACAATGGGCAGTGGCAGTGATTTTACCGCATTCCAGGACTTTGCAGGCGTCGCTAGCCTGGACTTTGGGTTTGGCCGGGGGCAAAATGACCCTGTTTACCACTACCACTCCAATTATGACAGCTTTGCATGGATGGAGAAGTTTGGTGATTCGGACTGGAGTCATCACACCGCTTGCACCAAGCTGTGGGCACTGGCAGCGGCACGACTGGTTGACTCCCCCGTAATAGCCTTCAGTGCCAATGATTATGCCAAGGGCCTGCACTCGTATCTCCGCCACATTAAGCCCGCCGCAGAGCAGTTGTCTCCTGGATCGCACTTCGAGTTTGCTCCTTTGGATGTCGCCATTGCGGAGTTCCAATCAGCCGCGGAGAGATTCGATGATTATGCTGCTGAACTGGCTGATCAACTTGACGAGCACGTTCCTTGGTACCACTGGTGGAAGAAGGTTAAACTCTACTTCCAGATTCGCATCGTCAATGATAAATACAAAGGTTTGGAACGCGCTTTCCTTTATGAACCCGGGCTCGACGGACGCAATTGGTTCAAGCATGTTGTTTTCGCCCCGGGGATCTGGACGGGTTACTCTGGCGCCACGTACCCTGGTATCGTGGAAAGTCTGGAGGCCCAAGACGTAAAGAATGCCGAGGTAAGTTCATGCAATATCTCAATATATCAATACCTGACCATTATATCTTCTCACTTGTTGTGGAATAATTTTCTAATCATTCTTTCCCATCAGAAATGGAGCCGCATCATTCAAGAGCGGATCCATGCGGCAACCACCCTCTTAATCTGAGCGTTCTATGATATACCTACCAGTAGAAACCCGCATCGGTGGGTTTTACGAAACGAGTCCAAACGATCAATCTTAGGAAACTCAGGATGAAGAGAACTCTTGAATGCTTGAACTGGAATGAAACATAAGTCATGCAGTATAATGTAGCTTGAGCCCCAGTTATTAGAATAAGTACATCGTCAATACAAAGTTCAGACGGCACTTTGCCAGACCAAGAGGCATCATGCCTGAGCGTATTGTTGCGAGAATCAATCATCATCCTGCTGCTTTCTTCGCGGCATTGAGATCCTCTCCCGTGACGAGCGGAAGAAGCTCTTCACAAGCGACCTGTAGATTGTCTTCCCCTCCACGGTATCACTGGCAAAGCCAAAGACTGTTAGGAGAATCAGAGTCACAAAGAAAATGACAGCAAAGCTGACCCAGTAATCCGCTTTTGTATAACCCCCTTTCACCCCCTGTAGTTCAGTCGAAAAGTAGGCGGTCATGAGACTGACAGGTAAGAACAACATGGTTGCTTTGGCCAATAGTATTGTGATCCGGGTGAGCTTCTCTACGGCCTGTGAGTCTTTCAAGGCGATCAGGTTAAAGTTCTTCCAAGTGTTAGCATGTCACCTCTCTGACTGGGATAGTTTCCAATGCTGGATGACACTTACTAGGAATGTTAAAGACTCCTTTTCCAACAAACATGATTCAATTTCGCTCAAACAGTACAGGTTGATGCGATCCACGAGTCTCTCAAATCTTGCCACGGCGGCCGAGCTCAGGATCACCCCGACCGGCCTATCCTTGCGGTCTGACAAGCTTCCATAACTGACCAGGCTCCCCTGTCGCATGTCTGCGAACTCAATATCGCCAAAGGTGGCACCAAAGGCTAGTGGCGGGGGGTGGGTCGAGCGGGCCTCATCACGAAGTAAACGCTGGCGCTGTAACACACGTCGCATGATGAGTTCATAGCTCTGGTATAATCGCTTCAGAACGGCCAATCGTCGACCCAGCCAGTGGAGCTCATTGACCAAATCCACGATCGGGCGATCAAGCATCTGACGTCTCAGTCGTTCCAGGGCCACGCCATATTGATGTTCTCGTTTTGCAATCAGACCGTAACTGGACACCCAGTCGTCAAAGATGTAGTAGTAAAGCAAACTCGGTCCATCCTCTTGCTTAATGTTTGCTTGATCCGGACCGACCTCGTGGAAATGTCGAACTCGAATCGTGACCAACGAATCGCTTTCCGACATGTTCAAGTGTTGCTTCGAAACCCCCGAGACTATGAAGCGGACATTGCGGCGCACAATGTCCATCATTTTGAGCTGATCTGGATCTAGAGGGCCCTTCTGATGTGGGAATGGGTTTTCCTGCATTGAGATGATCGTGCCGTCGTCACATAGTACCAACCAGTTCCAGAGTCGTTTCCCCTCAGGCAAATCGATCCCATTCTCATTCTTTTCCTTGGGCACTCCGGGGGTGACGAATAATGTATTATAACCGATGCAGGTGTCTAACACGACCGTCAGCTTTGTATTACTAAGTATATCTTTCACCTAGGTGGAGTCTTCTTTCTTTTTTTTCCCTTCTTCTTCTTGCCTCACAGAGCAGTAAACTTACATCTTGGACCATGATCGACTGATGAAAAATGCCAGATTTGGTCTGTGACTTGAGAAAAAGTCAAGTGCTTAAATGACGAAGTATCATGAAGGTCCTCAGTATCTCGTAGATTCTTCATAGCAAATGCATTCTCCACATCATCTGATTCACGATCCATATTCAAATCGTGGGTTCGTGATCGTCTCTTTTTTGGCTCGGCGTTCCCAGCTGATGGACGTATGACGGGCGCAGTACACATTAGGCCTTGTAGTCTTTCAGACACTCCGTAGAATGACATGATTCCCTTGATAGCATCCGTCTGTTCTTCAGGGGCCCATAGATGACTGCGTTTTGTGTTTTTCGTTAGTTCTTGTTGTTTTTTTGGGGAGTTTTTTCCCCGTCTGGTTTGTTCTTACATCCATCGTGTGCCAAAACATTTAGATCTCTGTCAAGATGATTGATTTTAGTACTGGAGCAGGACCACGTCCATGGAAATGTCTTCGTACCGGTTGATTTGGGTTTAACAATGCTTTAAAATCTTTCGTCACTAGATCAGTCGCACAGTAGGCATCTTCGTTACCAAAGTCTAGAACAAAGTTTTGCGTATTGGGCTTCTTTAATCGAAGCATATATGTTTCGAAATGACCCTTTTCATCAATATCATTAAATTTGTCCTGGAGAGATCCATGGGCGCCCTTGAGTCCGTCGTAATATTTTTTGGGATCCAGGGGGTCGCGCAAAGGGGGTTCAATATCTTCCATCGGGATAGATGAGTAGCTTCAAGGTGCGTTCAGCGGTTGTTGCTCAGTTGTTGTAGGGGGGGGGGGGCAACACAAGAGGGGATAGGGAGAAGTCTGAAAACCACAACAGAACTTTTTCTAAAAGGCAACTCGCTGACATCTGGATTTGATTCTCTAATAAATACGAGGATTTCAAGCCAAGCCAAGACAATTGTAGCGAGTGACCACTAGCCGCTGAACAGATCACGCTTAACCGCTCGGCATCAGCTGCAGCATTTCCCCCCACATGAGCCGCGTTTCAGCTACGAAAATAGGACATCTGGATATGTACGTAGCACAGTGGATGTTTACTATGTATGGTAGTGTGCTGGAGATATGATGAGTGGAATAATTCAATGTTGAAAGAAAATGGGATTCTAATGTTAAAGGTGGGATTTACATGTACAGTACACTGCGCCCGTATACTTAGGACTGCGCCACATGCACTACGCTAATAAAAGATTAAAGACAGCGATTACTATACTATACTAATATAGTGTAGTATTATATTAGTATTATTATATTATTATATTATTACTATATATTATATATCAGAAACTTGGTTACTTTTGCACGTCATCCATGGAATCGCTTTTTTTTTTTTTTCTAAAAGACAAGCTTTCTTGCAGGTGACGTCGTTGGGGGGGAAATCGTAGATCGCGCCAGTCCCACTTGGAACTCTCCCTCTTGAATCTCCATTTCTTTCCCTTTGGCTCTGCTCTCGTGGCGACAAGTCGCAAATACATCTCCGATCATGGCGACGACAAGCGAGGCAAATGCACAAGGGTATAACCTTCAGGTGGACTTTGTCATCCAATATAGCTTTGGGGATGTCGGTGAGTGACCTCCCAAGCTTGGTGATGATGGTCCGGCAGGCGTTGACCCTATTCTTGATCCTTCCCTAGATCAACCACAGGCGATTGAGCAGCTTGAGAAGCTGCTACGGACCCTTTCCGAGGTCGGCCTTCAAACCGAAGTTCGACAAGGTGATGAATCTTCTCTGCTTGTCTTCGTGCGAGCCTCTAAGAAACAACTGAAGCGGGCGGTGTACCGATCGCGGTGAGCATTCATCCTTGCCCCTTTTCATCAACAATCCCCCTCCCTCTTGATTCAATCATCGTTCTTTTTTCCCCTCGTGGAAACCCCCCCAACAAAGAAAAAAACAAACGCAAGGGAATGAAACTGACTGGGGCTTCCACGATGACAGTGTCCGCGATTGGCTATATGGAATCCGCCATGCCGAGCCCGAACCCGCCGATGCGATCGACCCCCACACTGAGACCGAGGCTGAGCGATTGCGGGTGATCAATCATATGATAACTCTCCCCACTCACGAAGGAGGTGCTGGCATCACCCCACAACATGGCGAATGGAAAAATGTCATGGCCGTCTTCCCGCTGCACGATGAGGAGACAAATGGGCGGTGGATGCGAGAATGGAGCCAGAAGACCTTCCTCTCAGAGGAGGACTTGGACCAGATCCGCAACAAGTTCGGAGAAAGCGTGAGGAGATGAAATTCCTGCTTTCACTCTTATGGCAGCGGTGGCGCTAACACAAGAATAGGTCGGCTTCTACTTCTCCTTCCTCCAGTCGTACTTTCGCTTCCTTATCTTTCCTGCCGTATTCGGTTTCGGTTGCTGGTTTCTTCTAGGAGGCTACTCCATTATCTACGCCGTTGTGAACTCGTTATGGTGTATAATCTTTGTTGAATATTGGAAGCGCCAGGAGGTCGACCTACGCTGTCGGTGGCAGACTAAAGGGGTCTCCGCCGTTCAAACCAAACGGCGCCAGTTTAAACCGGAGAAGGAGGTCAGAGATGAGAGCACTGGGGAAGTACGGGGTGTCTTTCCGGCCACCAAACGCATGCAAAGACAATTACTGCAGATACCCTTTGCCCTGCTCGCCGCGACTGCGTTGGGGGCTATTATAGCCACGTGTTTTGCTATCGAGATCTTTATATCGGAGCTTTACAACGGTCCCTTGAAGACGTACTTGGTATGCGACCCGTACAACGACCCTGAAATTGATTCTAAACAAAATCTGACAAATCCAACCAGATTTTCATTCCCACAATTCTCGTGTCTGCACTAGTCCCTACCATGAGTGCTGTTCTGGTGTCCATTGCCACCAAGCTCAATGACTACGAGAATCACGAGACTGACGATGCATATGATGTTGCGCTCACCCAAAAGGTCTTTGTCATTAACTTCATGACATCTTATCTCCCGGTCATCCTGACGGCCTTTGTGTATGTCCCGTTTGCCAGCCGGATCGTTCCGTATCTGGATGTATTTCGCTTGACCGTCCGGCCCTTTGTGTCCAAGGAACATTCCAATGCCAAGAGATCGAATTTCCAAATTGATCCCGCTAGGCTTCGAAATCAAGTGATCTATTTCACAGTGACCGCTCAGATAGTCGGATTCGCTATGGAGACCATTGTTCCCTACATCAAGCAGCATGCCTTCCGAAAGTACAAGGCCTTCAACAAGAAGCGGAATGGCAAGGCTGACCGTACCGGGGAGAAGGAATCGCCTGAGAGGCCGCTCCCGGTGGTCTTTGATGACCCGGCAGAGGAAGCACACTTCCTCACGCGGGTTCGTAATGAAGTTGAGTTACCGGAATACGAAGTTACTGACGATCTGCGGGAGATGTGCATCCAGTTTGGCTACTTGGCGCTATTCTCCCCTGTTTGGCCTCTCGTCCCTGTGTCATTCTTTGCCAATAACTGGGTGGAACTCCGATCGGACTTTTTCAAGATCTGTAATGAGTTCCGCCGTCCCACGCCACTCCGGTCTGATACCATTGGACCCTGGCTCGACACCCTTGGTTTTCTCTCTTGGACCGGGAGCATTACAAGCGCTGCTCTCGTCTACATGTTCAGTGGCAACGCACAACAAGGTCCCAATGGGGAACCCACCGATATCAAGGGATGGGCACTGCTTCTCTCCATTTTTTTCTCTGAGCATCTCTATCTGGCCATTCAGTCCGTCGTTCAGATTTCCATGACCAAGCTTGAGCCGCCCAATGCCCGCAAGGAGCGTGCTGAACGCTATCTAATGCGGAAGCGTTACCTGGAAACGACTTTACGAGCACAGAATGATGACGAAAACTCAGAAGTCACTTCTTCCAATGCTCCAGGGCTGTCGCGTGCCGCCCTGGAAGAGGACGCTCGGCAATCCTCTTTGCAAGATACAGACCCTGCTGAGCGCTTCTGGATGCGCCAGCGAGGCTGGATGGAGTCTGCTCAAGTTGGCTCTGGGATCATTCAAGCGCAGAGTACCGAAAGGCACAAGAAACAGCAGTAAATGTGTCTAATGAAGGCGTAAGACCAGATTTGCGATCATCCAAGGGACCTTGGATAATGATTCGTCGACCTTTGACCTTCGGGCTCGTGTGGGACCTCCGCTTGACCCGTTGATTCCCTTCCTTTGTTACAAATACCGTTGTCGCCCCCTGTGAAAATGCCTCCTGTCAAAAAAAAAAAACAATGGCAATTTGTATCTAGGATTTTCGGGCGGCAGAATCCACGGGAGCTTCCTGGGTTTACCTTGCATGCTCATGTGCTTTATACGTGCCGAATCTTTCTCAATCTTGGAATGAATATATGCATACGTGTTATACAGGTACATTTCTTTTTTTTAGTGATCTTTATCAATATCAGAGATCACATCAATGACACTCAATGTTGAAATCCGGGGTGAAATCTATTATTCCTTACATATCAATCTTGGAAACGTTGGAAAGTCCGCAGTGGATCTCATTGCGGAGGGCGCCGGTTGCCGCGGGGAAACCTTGCCCGGAACAACTTCAAGCTTGGAATCAATTTTTTTTTCTCTGAACCCGAGGTTGCGTTCTTCCAGGAAGTGCCTCGAGATCCATTGCCGATGGGGCCTAGAACTTATTCCTTGTACTCAATATCGAAACGCATGGATCGAATTTTTGTTTACTTTCTGCATTGGTTCGTTCGAATGTTGTTTTAGCTTTCCAAGCTTCAAATGTTAGAATCTTTCCGGAATACTCCGTGGGTAGATCAGGTCATGTGGCATTTAATTTTCATCATCGCGTGTTCCTAGAATGCTTTTAGCTAATGGATTCCCATATTGACCTAGGTCTGTGTGCTTAGCACGATGCTACTCGCGGGCTTCGCCGAGCTCGGTATAGAACACCAGTATATTAAGGCACCTGTGCATGCTAATAAAAACATCAACCTAAATATTGCCCTGAAATCTTCCAAGGTCTTGCAGTCGTAGAAGCGTGCCTTGGTGGATTCTAGTGCCACCCTATCAACTCATTGCCTGTAAATCCTACGGATTTATTCTCCTCTGCCCCCTCCCCTCAATTTTGGTTGTTTGTTTTTTTTTTTTTTTTTGTCAGAAACTTGCTCAAGTATAACCTTGAAAGGAGGTTCGAGTCTACTATGGACGACCAAACCATCATCGTTAGGGATGTGGAGAAAGCCATCTTTAATACCGAAGTCAATGGCCCCGGAAGTGATGGATACCAAAGTCCAACACTAGTAGCCTCCCACCCCCTCCTTGCACAGTCTCTTCTTCCAAAAACATCGCTACCGGGCCATAGATCACCATCTGAATATAGCAGAGGAGCAAAAGCCGACGAAGTCCGAAGATTTGCAAATCCGGCTCCGCTAGGCCTTTGTGCCTTTGCACTCACGTCTTTCGTCTCAAACTCTACACATGTATATGTGACCGATATTCCATCGACTGGTGTAACCTTGGCACTGCCACTTGTGTATGGCGGTGTTGTTCAGCTGATTGCCGGTATATGGTGAGTCAAAATATATTGGGGATTGTTTTTTTCCCGATCAATAAGCATGGCACTGAGTTGGCAATTCTAGGGAGATGGCGGTCGGAAATACATTTGGAGCGACATCGTTCTGCTCCTATGGTGCCTACTGGATTACCTCTGGAGTTATGTCGATTGTTGAAAGTATGAACTCAGAAAGTGATGATACCTGTGGCGCTGAAACTCTAATGGGGGTTTTTATGATGGTATGTTCTCTCCACACATGCATGCATGGATGTTATATTTAATACATGTGAATTGACCAGATTAACCACTAGGCCTGGTTTATCTTCACTACTTTGATGCTTTTAGGCACGATCAGATCAAGTCTTGCTATGTTCCTCTTGTTCTTTTTCCTGGATATGAACTACCTGCTTCTCGGCATTGCTCATTTAAAGTGCCATTCAGATGGTCAGATTCTGGCCTCGGCCCAGAAAGTCGGTGGGGTGTTTGGCTTGTTGGCGGCTGCAAGTGCCTGGTGGAATGCTCTGGCCGGCGTGGTTGATAAAAACACTTGTTTTTTCACTATCCCCCTCGGTCATTTTCCATGGTCACCTGCGGCCCGTATTAATCGAACCAAGGTCAAGAACGTTTGAAAGCAACCAAATCCCCCCATCTTTACTCGGTGTACAGGCAAGCGTTAGGCTTGGCAGTCGACTCAACGAGAGCTTCAATTCCAACACAGTTTGAATTGCCAGCGGGGTTAGAAACACCAGCCGATGCCCAGATAGACCAAGCACCATCAACGCTGTCTGGGCAAGCAATCAGGTCATTACCGGCAAACTGCAGATGCCCATTCTTGATTGCCCAGCCAGCTCGCTCGGCATTTTTGGGTGCGGGCTGAGCACCTGTAGTATATCCGATCTTACCCTGACCTATTTAGCGAACAATAATTAGTGACTGTCAAGCGTCAGGTCAATTAAGATAATTTGAAATCTTACCCATTCCAGAGCGATCAACATAGATCTCCTGAGGGGTGGCAGACTCATCATAGAGATATAGAGCTCTGTCCTTCAGGTAAAATGTGGCATCCTGTTCTTTGGGACGCGCACAGCTGGCTTTCTGAGAGCTGAGACCAGCAAAGATACTGCTCAAAGCAGCGTTGAAACTGCTGTATTGCACACGAGATCCGGAGTGGATGGCGACAATGCCGAAGGTATCCGATTGGACGCTGGGGAGTGCAGTGGCACTGGCGGCAAAAAAACCAGCGAAAGCGATATTCTTGATCAGCATGGTTGAGAAGATTATAGGCGATTGAGTATGGGTAGTTCTTTAGATTTAGAACCTGAAGGGATGGTAGATGAGGTGCGAAAGAGCGTGAGATCTGAGATCAGTAACAGGAGCCCAGGAGGATGGTTGGGTTCAGTATTCAATGTTATATCAAATTAGGAAAATCCATTGCATCTGTGGAGGTGGACCTCTATTATAGTAGGTACTATGCCTTAATCCGAATACCATGTGCTACCTAGATCTTCAGTCGTCAACGTCTCCACTGATCTACCACCTGAGTACCGCTGAAGGCGAGACAGCTCCACATAATTTCACCCACAGAACATTACATATGTATAAAATTTGAATCATTTGATATATTAACTCGCCACTATAATTCTATTTTTAGCGGCTGAACCCTTCAAGCGGATACGATGCTGCAAGTTATAGCGGCATATCCACTAGTGAACATGTTAGCTGAATACACAGGCGGTGCTGCCGGTGCAACTTCGGCGAATCCGACCTTGGAAGACCATCCATAGATAATCAATCCCCTGGTGCCTAAATGCCAAGAACTCCACATGTCTCGTCCATGTCTCTCCGAGCCGACCGACATCTGCAAATGCCTCAAAACTTGTTTTCACGGATCATGACGGACGTTCCTCGATATGTAGACTTGCTAGAGACGGGTTCCAGGGCTTCTAAATAATACTAGTACACAACGGATATTGGATGGAATATCGGGATCATTGAATCAAGACAAAAGCGCCCGATCAGCACGTGGATAGCGGTGGCTTGGTCTCCTACTAGTAAGTTGGTGGGATGGGTTTTTAAACCTCAAGTGCTTCAAACATTGAATGTTATAGATTATACCTACTAGATACCTAAGTGTTTCATGCAAATCCATCCACATGAATGGATGGATGTTTTCGGTCAACTGGTCATCTGTCACGGCTCTGGAAAATGTAAATCTTTCAAGGTTAACCATTTCATTCCTTCCGTCATTCAATGCGATGCTTAGATTGATTTATCAAATTTTCACATGTAGCTAGTACTATCACTTAGCAGGCTTCTCGCCCAATGACACCTTCCACTCGGCAAAATCAAAATGCGCCGGATCAAAGCATGGCTTATCGTAAGCACCCTGTGCATATATGGCAAAATGCGCTCCAGTATTAGGTGATTCTTTTCCAGCACGCCGGTGTGTCAGCGCCGTGCTAGAGATCTCGCTCAGCTTGATGAGACTGGAGGTGGATTCTTCATTGTCTATCACCGAAAATAAGAGTTCGTATCGCGTAGGGTATGCGCGGATGACAATCTCGAGAACATGACTTTTCTCCGATAGGCGATGGGTGGTTTCCTGGAATCAATTAGAATATGTGCGACGCAATCTTACGCGATTAGAAAGCATACCTCGAATTGATCTTCAGTCTCATTGTAGCAACGTGCTACCATCTCCAGCCCCGAAGCTTCGGCATCAAATGGTTTTCTTAATCCAATAGAAGCATGGGCAAACTGAGACCACCAAATGGCCGCTCCGGCTTCGTGGCCAACGTCCGTTGGCGCGAAGTCCATTTTGACCCTCCAGTCACCTGAGAACCCAGTTTGCTTTCGCAAAAGCATAGATGGGCATTCGGAACTATCAATACGATAAGCGTTTCCGTATAGGCTCAAGGAGCCGTGTCGTTCTGACAACGAGTAATCGCTTTTCAATGGCGTTCGTAGATGATACCAGCCAAGCTGGAGGTTTGGTTGATCAAAGTCATCTCTCCAAATATCCGGCTGGGCAAGAAGCTGCATATCCTCTGCCTGCATGACAAGACTGATTGGTTGCCGAAGATTGACAATTGGCCATCCATTTATCCATTCAACCGGACTCATGAATGTTTCGCGGCCAAGTTGCGACTTCAATTCAGAGTTATCGCCCTGTGGCCGGACCCCCAGAAATACAGCAAACCATCTACCGTTTGCAGTCTCGATAAAGTCCAAGTGTCCCGTATTGCGGATCGAAGGGTCATCGTCGTTGAAAATGATTGGGTTAACGGTTCCTACGGGGCCCACTTCCCAGGGGCCAAAAGGCCCTGTTGTGCTGCGGGAAATCCACTGCTGGTGACCTTCGTCGGTGCCTCCCTCAGCAGTACTCAGATAGTAATAACCGTCTTTTTTGAAGATGTGAGGACCCTCTGCAATGCCAACACCAAAATCCGATAGTCGATTCCATTTCGCAGGCCCTAGGCAGCGACCAGTAGCCAGGTCGATTTCGGCAGTGAAAGTAGCCAAGCCAAGCCCATGCTTTTCAACTCTGGGGTCAATAATCATGTTGACAGCCGAGAAGTAAACCTTACCGTCGTCATCGAAAAAGAGCTTTGGAAATCAGCCATATCCAGCACTTCGTCAATTCGGTGGGCAAAGACAACAGGTTTGTCGACTTACATCTTGGTCAATTCCGGGCACATCAAAGAAGGTTGGGTCAGACCAGGAAGATGAGTTCCATATATCGGTGGTGGAGACGTAAAATCCACGCGGAATAATAATGTCCTATTAATCATATGTTATGAGTCGCTTCTGGCTGTTTGGGGTTGGATGTAAGAGTAACTAACCCACTCCTTAGGTCGAAATCGATTGGTGCAGCCTACGGCCACATAGAATCGCCCCTTCTGATAACGAATCGTTGGCGCCCATAATCCACCAGAGGGCTCGGTCGTTCGCATATTTAACTGGGAATGTTTTGTAATGACATGGCCGATGAGCTCCCACTGTAGAAGGTCTTTGCTATGATAGACTGGAATACCCGGATAGTATTCAAACGTCGATGTCACCAAATAGTAATCATCATCTACCCGACAGATCGAAGGATCTGGGTTGAAACCAGGGATGATAGGATTGTTAAATGCCCCACTTGAAGACATGATAAAGATAATTGTCCCTGACAGGTTCTATCCCGGAACTATGGCAGATATAGTCCCTTTCAAGGTCTTTTTTTTGGCCTGTGCGAACTATGTAAGAAACAATTGAAGTGGGCGGAAAGAAGCAATTTTGTGAAGCAAAATAAGGTGGGGCGAATCATAAATGAGGATGCCGAGCGTGGAAGAATTGTGGAGGTGGAGGACCGAAGTGGAGGCGGACGGATCGGCATCTACCATATGCCGAGTCCCTTTACTACCGAACGGGCTCACTCAAGAGCCGTTCGAGAGTATTTCCAAATACCAAAGCGAGGCGAAGGCATTTCAAGACACGTAAGCCATTGCAAGCATCTGCAACCTGGGCCATGAGTGAATTTTTGGCTGTCTCTTCAGGGAGATAGACAGTATCTTCCGGATGCCGATTACGACTGTCGCTGCTACCATATTTCTGGTTGGGAAATCCGGTCAACGTTGGATCGAAGCTTGCGAACCGGAACATTGCCCAGCTGGTGAGTCCACCGATGAACAGACAGATGGCCAACTCGAATCCACTCCGCTGCGCATCACCGGCTGCAATTGCATCGTGCGCCGCGTTAAGCATTAGACTATTGTAATCAAAGATCTTCTGGGCTTTCTCCTCCTGCAACCAATTCTGCAAAGACTGCTCAGCTAATATTATATCAGCATCCGAGCCAGCTCTACCAGCAACAACATGTAGATCTGAAAAGTTTAGATGAAGCGCCAGAACTGCCAGATGATGGAGGAGAATTCCAGCTGAGTTCTTCGAGCTAGTATTGACCGGCTCGGCTCTATTTTGAACTCCATAAAATGTGTCCCAGTTTCGTAGACAGGCTTCTAGCCATTCCCGACGCTCGAGTAAGGAATTTCCAATATTCTGCGGTGCCAGTGATAGAGGAGAAGTAAGAAGCCCAGTTGGATTGAGCATGCAAATGGTCTGTCTCCACTCAAAAACATGCGAGTGCAAGACGTAAGCATAAAGAGTCTTGCAAAAGTTGTCCAGCGGTGGGAACGGTAGAACATCAGGAATTTCGTTATACAACAAGATAGAGGTGAGGGTGGTTAGATAATAGATACTCGGGGGGATGTCAGCTGGCCCGAGTAAAGACTTCCATGCCCAGGCTGTTGGTGCGCTCCAGAAGGTTTCTGAGCATGGCAATGCAGAATTCACAGTCTCAGCTTTGCCTATGTAAGGCTGGCGCTGGTACACAGCCACAACTTGACAATCAAGTAACTGAAGGCGCTTTTAGTCAAGGCACTTTCCTGTCCTATCTTCAGACCGGGACTCGGGAAATAATACTTACGTATATGCAGAGTCCTAGGCGTTTCTTCTGTTCGTCGTTGATCCACTCCTTCCATTGCTCCTCCAATCGGTTCCGGTTGGATCTTAAAGGACTCTGAGATGCTCTCATATGTTTTGGTCGGCAATCTAGTAGCTGAGCACGTCGGCAATAAACAGCCAGGTCACCACGGTCACCCTCGGCACGTTCATATGCCGCCTTTTGACCAACCCACATGGCGGATAGTGATACCAAGAATAGTGCGAAAAGATTTGATGATGATCGTAACTGAAAAGGAATAAAACAGTCAGTATCTAGACAATAACTAGAGCGGAGAAGTCTCACATAGCTCTGGTCTCTTTCCTGCATTAATCTGATCGCCATTCGTACTCTTTTGAGATACGCCGAAGTGAATTTCCCCTGGTTTGACTCAGAGTAGCTAGATCCTGAAATTGCCATCGCTAGCAGGAGATTCGGCGAACATTCATTAGGATCGAACGTCGGCACGTGCAATACTGGGAATCGAGGCTGTACGTGAACAAAAAACAGGCCCAAAAAGTAGACGATTGTTGATATCGCTGGGAATGAATGTGGGCGCTTGCCTTTTTCGCTACAAATCTCATCAAGTAGAGGCGCAGTGACAGTCTCCACCATGGACTTGTAGCTATTCTCGGAGAGTTGTCTTTTCATAAGAAGAGTCGCTGATTTTCCAATGAAGACATCACGCTCGTGTATCTCAACGTATGCAGTTCGTCCTAGACTTTCGCATGCTGGTCCTTGAGCTTCGGGGCTAACATGCTCATGCCCTTGATCAAGCCATTCTTGAGACTCCTGTTGTGTGAAATCAGCACCGCGCTGAAGCTGATCATGGCGGCGATCTTGAGTGGGCTCTGAATTAGCCAATGCGGTCGGAGCCATCATTCCTTCGCGACCGTTGATTGAATCCAGAGGACTATGTGTGGATATACCATTGGACAAAAAGTCCAAAGTCCAGTCAAGGTTGACATCAGGTTGTAGCCCTTCGCCATAGAAGGGGCAATGCAAATCCCAGTCTGGTACATTTTGCACGTTTGGGGCAAGTGGGCTTGCAGCGAATTCAAACAACAGTGATTCAGTATTGGGGGGTTGCTCATGAGTTGCTTCCTGGGGATTTGATGAAGTATTTTTTGCGGGGGAGATTTCTTCTGCTAGCGCCCTGGGTCCCGCATTTTCACTATCCGAAATTTGTCGCGTACGTTTTGCAGGGGCGTCCGGGACACGTTCAGCTCGGTTCAATCCACGAGAAGTGCCTCTTGTGGCATTTTCATAATCATCCACATCATTTTCATGAACTTTTCTATGTCTGGATAACAGATCGCTGGTAGTATGTTTTACCGTGTCAGAATCTACTAGGACTCCAAGAGCTTAAAAGTGGACGGCGTGGCCAAAAGTCTTACCTTCTAGTGAATCGACTGGGGCATACGGAGCAGACGTAAGGCGCATTGTTTTTGTCATCTTGCATATCGAGTCAGCGACTATTACGGAGTATTGATGCTGACTTTCTAGTTTGACCCCATTCATTGGCCAGACGGGGGATTCTTACGTGCTGATCGATAATGTCTGACAAGATTCTCTCGGCGAGAATAGGACTTGTCGCACTGGATGCATCTGTGGGCTGCAGACCCAGCAGTCCTTTGCTGGGTGTTCATGGCAATAGGTGCTAGACATGCAAGTGGAGTTGATTCGCCTGAAAAAGAGCGGATAGATGAAGTGGACGGTTTTCCAATGTGAGGTGGAGGTGGAGGCGAAAGTGGACGGCACGTGCTCGGATCGGCTTCCGACCCCCCGAGACTCAAGGGAGTGTGAGACTCTATAACTCTTCTGTTCATTGGAATTAAACATTCCGTTTTTACTTTTATCCACTGCAGCTTGTTGACTCATTTAATTCGTCTTGTTAGCTACTAGGTATAACCTTGGGCTCAAACCGAATTATTCAATACTTCCCAAGTTCTAACTAGCAACGGTGACCAGGGTCCAGGGCAATCGGAAATCCCAAAGCTACAACAATTTGTCAAGAAATTCCAACTCGGGTTCAAAAGTATCTGTTAACTCTCCTCAAATTGATATCCAATATGCCGGGTATCGAAGCTTTCACATCTGCCAATGACATCACTTTGCAGTCGCGTTGCAGAGATCAAATATCTTTCTTGACCCTAGAAGAAAAAGTGTCTCTCCTTTCAGGTGTCAGCTTTACCAGCACCGCCAGTGTTCAACGACTTAACATCCCGGCCTTGAAGGTAGTCATCTTCCTTCCTGCCTCCGGAGAATCTTGATGTGGCTAACTGTCTTGCCGATCCTAGGTCAGCGATTCAATAAATGGAGTCCGGGGCTCACAATCACATCTTGAAGATACTGGAACAGCTTGCTTTCCCAGTTCCTCCTGTCTTGCTTCGACATGGAATATCGAATTAATGCAAGAGCTTGGTGAGGAAATTGCCTTCCAAGCTAAAGCCAAATCCGTTCAGGTTGTCTTGGGTCCAAACATCAATCTTCACCGGGATCCACGAGCCGGTCGCAACTTCGAAGCTTTCAGTGAGGACCCTCTAGTCACCGGTCAATTAGCCGCTGCTATCGTCAATGGAATTCAGTCACAAGGTGTGGGTGCTTGTGTGAAGCACTTTGTTGCGAACGAGAGCGAGACTGTGCGCAGACGTTACAACGTCGACGAGTCTGGCAACAACAGGACAATGCGTGAAATATATCTCCGCACTTTTCAATATTTACTTCAAAGATCCAACCCCGTTGCAATTATGACAGCGTAAGTCTATGGGAACCCAATTCTGTCTTTGCTTATATAAACGCTGTACATGTGAGCAGTCGGATCTAATGATTCATCTTTTCCAGGTATAATGCGCTTGACGGTCATTTCTGCAGCGAGAATCCCCTGATCAAGACATTACTTCGCGATGAGTGGAAGTACGATGGCTGCATGATGTCTGATTGGTATGGAACCAAGACCACCCTCGCCTTGAACGCTGGACTGGATTTAGAGATGCCAGGACCGTCTGTCTTCCGTGGCTCTAAACTAATGGATGCCATCAATGACAAGCGGATATCAGAGGAATCGCTTGATGCTGCAGTCACAAATGTTCTGACAATGATCGATCGGACGATCACCAGTCAGAGTAACAAGAAGGAAGAATCCCCGATCTGTAATCGAACAAGTGCCATGGCATTGAAAACAGCCTCCGAAGGGATCGTGCTCCTGAAGAACGAGCGCAATATTCTGCCTCTTGAGTCAAACGACAACATATCAACCGTGGCTCTCATCGGGGCTGCTGCTATCAGGCCATCTACCACCGGTGGAGGCAGTGCTTGCGCCAAGCCTCAATACCTGAAAACCCCCTTGCAGTGCTTCCAAGATGTCTACACGGATCCTAAGCAGGTCTCCTTCGCATATGGGGTCAATTCCAATGATGTTGTTCCTGTTATGCCTGTTGGCATCATGCAAGCACGGAATGGGCTCCCGGGCGCTAATGTGGATTATTATTTGGACGAATCGGACAGAGTCATCTACTCTGAACATTCTGAACAGCCCGTCGTGGTGATGCTTGGTAAATTAAAGCCAGGTCTGACTCAGAATGGATTCTACTTTGCTATTGAGACCACTGTGACCGTGAGAGAAAGCGGAAATCACAAGTTGGCTGTGCAAGCCACAGGCGAGTTCTCATTATCTGTAGATGGGATCGAGGTATGCTTTACACCGTCATACCCATTATCCACGGCTTCATCTCGGAATGAATAACTAATGAAGCTCTGTATAGATACTTTCTAAGCCCGTTCCTGTCATGACAGTCGAAGACTTCTTATTCGAGCCCAAGAAATTGCAGACAATTGTTGAGTTCAAAATGGAGGCTGAACGCCCATACAAGTTTATCTTGAAAACTCATTCGCGTGACGTTCCATCAGCAAATGGAGAAATATCTCCTCATTCAGCTAAACTATGCTTTGAAGAAGAGCATAACGATCGGGTTGCCATTTCTGAAGCAGTGAAAATCGCTGCCGATTCAGACTACAGCGTGATCTTTGGCGGTCGAACACACGAACACGAATCTGAAGGGTTTGATCTCAAGACACTGAAATTGCCCGAAAGCCAAGTTCGAATGATAAAAGCCGTGTCCAGTGTATCAGAAAAAACAATTCTTGTCCTGCACTGCGGAAACCCCATTGATGTCTCAGACTTTGTTGAAGATGTTGATGTCGTCATGGTAGCCCATTTCCCTGGACAAGAAGGTGCACAGGCTATTGTCGATATCATTACCGGGAAAACAAACCCAAGTGGGAAATTGGCTACCACATGGCCCATGCGTCTGGATGAGAGTTGCGTGCCTTCTTTTGGCAGTTTCCCAGCGAAGGATGTTGGCAATGGGCCAGTAATTCGATATCGTGAAGGTCTGCAGATGGGCTACAGGTCTCCAAATTCCGGATCCGCCGCCCGCTGGCCATTCGGGTATGGCTTGTCCTATTCTTCGTTTGACTATAAGAACTTAAAAGTTCTTTCCCATGGTGAAATTGACGAGAGGATTTCTGTGGAGACTCTCGAAGGAGCAGTCACAATCGCCATCGACGTCCAAAACACAAGTGAAATTGCAGGATATGAGGTTGTTCAGGTCTTTGGCGAGCCTCCAGTGGACGCTGTGGTCTGGAAGCCGCGCTTCGAGTTGATCGCGTTCTCGAAAATTTGGCTTGAGCCCAGTGAAACAAAACGCGTCGGTATGACAGTTTTGAAAAGAGACATCAGTGGATATTGGGATAGCGCGTCCCGATGTTGGAGGTCGCTCAATGGCACCTATAAGATTACATCCGGATCTTGCGCAGCTTATCTGCACATTGAAGACATGGGAACTTGGAATGGCCTGTGAAATGGCTTCATTTGTTTCCGTGAGCTTCCCTCCTAGAATTCTGCCCACAAATATCTCACTCGCAAAGCTTCATTTCATACGTATCAAACTATGGCAAGTCCGACTCCTTCCAAACATTGAAATCCAAATAACATTGAATTTGAAAGCTTTGGTCCTTTTCCAAAACCTGAATGTAGTGGCTGTAATTCAAAGGTTGTCTCGCATTTAGGCTATTTCGACTTAGTCTTTTAATATCCCAGCACTCCCCAGGTCACTTCAAATGTTGGTGTTTACTGGGGCTAGTGGAAAATACTGAGAAAATGTATGCAATTCGTACAGGTGAAAAGCCTCGCAACAAGTGCCAAGAACAACAATCAGTTCAATCTGCAGGGCTCAAGCAAATTATTAGGCAAAAACCACCTGGGCATAGATATTATACAGTCACGAAACAAATTCGGACATAACTTCAGCACTAGGGCTGAACATTGGAAATTTTTGGGTTCCAAGGTTGTTGGCCATGGAGGGGACTCAGGAGTCAGGGCCCAGGGGACATTGACTCCCGCCTCCACCTCCACCTCCACCTCCACTTAGCAGTTTCTAAACTGTTTTTTCCCCATATCGACCTCCCCCATACGAGAACCCCGTACTTCGGATTCTCCGTTTCCCCAGTTTCTCCACAACGTTCTCCTTGTGACCGACAATGCTCGGCAGTCACTCTGGTCGCATATAATATGTGAGCCTTGGCTTGGTCACAATCGTTATTTAGGATCTACGACTACTATTTGCACCACTAGGTGCGATTCAGAAGCCAGTCCGTCCTATATTCCAAGATCCCCCTCTTCTTTTCCTTCTCAAATCCTTGCTGATTTAACTCGCAATATGTCTGTTGACTCGGACTCGCCTGGTGATGGCCAGAAGGAAACCTCTTCAGAGATGATTGAAACGGTCTCCTATACCGATAGGAGCGTCGAGTCTGAGGACGCATGGACGTCGGCGAAAAAGAACCCTAAAGTAATCATTTACAGCCTCGCGGCTTGTGTCAGCTCGATGCTTTGGGGGTTTGATATCGGTACGGACCCCAATAAACAAACTGCTCGACTTTGACTGATCAAATTTAGGAGTCAACTCGATCACACTTGCCTTGCCGGGCTTTAAAATGGTCTTCGGGTACGAATATGGTGGCGAGCTCCTAATATCTGCCACCTGGAATGCCCTTTGGACAGCGATGACATCGATCGGAATGTTAATTGGTATGTCACTAAAAGGTTATTCAATGACAAACAAGGGTTTTCTTTGACAAACAATATCAGGAAGTATCATCTGCGGATGGGTCTCGGATCGTGGTGGTCGGAGACTCGGATTTGGAATAGGGTCAGCCATCTCTTTGCTTGGAGTTGGGCTTGAATATGCTGCCAAAGAGCCGGGCATGCTTCTGGCTGGCAAGATTGTAAGCCATCAATTCTAATGGCTTTCCTTGCCTTATTCTTTGCGTGCACTCACGGTCAATATCTAGATCAACGGTCTATCACTCGGCTTCTTCCTTACTTTAGGCTCTACATATGCCTCTGAGATAGCACCTACCGCTCTCCGTCCTTCTTTAACGGCCGCCGTCAACCTGTTTATCAACGCCGGACAGTTGACAGCGATTGGCCTTGGAAACACCCGATTCGCTATACTCACTCCGGCATCTTACAAGGTCATTTTTGCCGCACAGTGGTCGTTCCCTTGTTTTATTGCATTAGCATCCATATTCATGCCCGAGAGCCCTTGGTACCTGTGTCGGAAAGGCCACATCGAACAAGCAAAGAAGAGCCTGCGAAGGCTTCATCTTAAAACAACCAATACAGACATGATTCTGGCTGAAATCCAAGCTTCGATTGCGTCTGAGAATGCCATCGCAAATCTTCAAAAAGACACAAGCTATCTGGATTGCTTCAAGGGCACCGACTGGCGTAGGACTCGCATTTCAAGCGGAATGTTTGCCGTGCAGCAATTCACCGGTATTGCATTCTACTCCCAAGCATTGTATTTCTTGGGAATTTCCGGTCTGCCCACTGCTCTTACCTTTCAACTCGCTCTGGGGGGATTTGGAGTAGCCATATTCGGAAACATTGCCTCATGGTTCATTATGAATTATATTGGTATGCTCTGCCCATTATTAAATATCAACAAGTTGGGGTTTGGGTTTAACATCCTTTTTTTCGTGCAGGACGCCGACCACTTCTTTTGACTGGCATCGTTCTTAATGCCCTTTGTTTAATGTCTGTCGGGGTTGCTGGGTGCTTCACTACCTTGGCCGCTTTATACTACATTGGATTCGTCATGAACTTTGTCCAATTATTCTATGCTCCGACTGTTGGAGCGGTCAGTTGGGCCATCAGCGCAGAAGTGAGCTCGGTCAGACTCCGAGTCAAAACCCAAAGTTTGGCAATTATGACGAATGCGCTGGTCAGTTGGGCGATGAACTTTGTTGCACCATATCTCATCAACACTGATGAAGGTGAGTACACGATACGGTGATTCATTTTAAAAATCTTTGTCTGACAAATCTTTACTTCAGCCAACCTAGGAGGCAAAGCAGCGTTTGTGTGGATGGCACTTTCCTTGGTGAGTCTAGCTTGGGCTTGGCTGGAGGTCCCAGAGCTCAAGGGTCGAACTTATGGCGAATTGGACGATATCTTTGCACAAAAGATGCCAACAAGGAAGTTCACAGAGGCGACAGTTGAAATCAGCTCGATCTCTAGAAGCACCTAGTGTTTGTTTTGATCATGGTGATCAAATCAAGGCAAGCTCCATCCACATAAGAGGCCTGGTGTGAAGATGTTACCACCTTGATACATTGATATGGACAAGACGGAACAGGCAGAAGCCGGGCGAAGTTGAACCCCGGGCAGTAAATACACTACAATGTTGAATTATAATTCGTAATACTTTTTGAATTACCCAAAGACCCAGGGCATTAATCGTCCTCTGAATAATCTCCCCCTTTCAAATGCTACTCGGGTACCATGCGCAAAATCGTCACATGATTCGCCCAGTCAACAAGGTATGTAGTAGATCTTGACATCAGTACTAGGCATCAATTGCACATGTGACCTATTGATCAATCAATCTCAAGTGCTCAAGTGCTCAACTTGAGTGCTTGGAACACTACATGTGCGCGTGCGTGTGCAGCGAACCAACAAATGTTGTGATTTCAAATGTTGCAAACATCAATTTGAATTGATACTACATGGTCCCAACGTTATGTAAGATTAAATCGTGATGAATTACATATTGATCAATCATGAACTCTTAATGCTATATATATATGTACACATAACCAGCTGGTCCTTCGGCCAGAAAGGGATATCTATTGTCACAATGCAATGCAGTCTCTCTACCGTGCCCTGCACCGTGAAAGAATCTATATCCAAAACGGGAACCATTCAAAGCATTCTCCAACCAGGAAGACTGAACAATTCACTGATCATGACTCGGAAACAGGCAAACTGTCGTCGGCGCTTATGTGGAAGGAGATCCACAGGTGAAGACACCCCGGACGGTGCCGTCATTGTAGTTTTTTAACTGAGAATTTAATTAGTAGCAATACCAAAGTAGAGATTGAGGGATAACAGCTTACAATATCGTAGATACTTGAGTAGGTTCCAGCACCCAAGATCAGAATACCAATAAGGAAGATTCCACCATTGACGATGGCGAGCAACAGGTTTTCTCGGTCCATCCAGCTTCCCTTCTTAATAAGCAAGAACCACATCAAGGCAGGGAAGTAGAAGGTGAAGCCAGAGATAAACAGTGCGGATGAGATCGACAGCAGGTCATCGAAGAATGGAATGACCTCGGCGATGATAAAAGCAATGACTGTGGCAGCGGTGATGGTGGCCAACCAGGTGATCCAGCCCATCTTGGTATTAATGAACCGAATGGGGGAGTTTGCAAAGATTCGGCCATGAATCAGTCGGCCACAGACCACGGTATTGATTGATCCACTGATGAAAATCACAGGCAAGGCCACTCCGTATGCGATGCGCCCAAGCATATTTCCAGCAGAGGTCAAGGCAGGGGAAGAAACATCCTGCCCAACAAAAGCATAGACTAAGGCGCCAGTTAAAGTATACACTAGGATCTCAGTAATACCGAGGGCCCAGATAGACTTCTTAAAATCACGTGGGGTATGCATCTCATCCATGAAGGAGAACTGACACATAGCAAAGCTATAGGCAAAGACAATATTTGAAATAGCGATAAAGGCCTCAGCAAACTTAAGGTCTTCTTGCGGCCAAGCAGACCAGTTCACAGCGGCCAATCCACCCGGTGCGTTGGTAGCGTCGATTCCGGTACCAATGATAGTAATTCCAATAGCAATGATGATGGAGGCGAAGTCAACATAACCAAGGATAGCCATTTCGGTGAAGCTTGGTGGAATAGCTAAGATAAGCAAAATGATGGCGGACACGACGGCAAAGATGACCGAACAGATGGTTGATTTTGTGATATTTTGCCAAGCGATCGTACCGGTCAAGCAGTGGGAGCCCGTAAGAAAGATAAGTTGTAAGGCTAGCATGAAATTGATGAGCTCGTAGCCAAATCGACCCCACGCGACACCAAATCGGCCACCCATCAGGCGACCGGCGTCTGCATAGTTGGCAACCTCTGGGAAGAGTAATTTGACCTGTCCAACGATATAACTTGTATAGATGGCGATCAGACCGACTCCTACGCAACAAATCACACCTGCGACCATGCCCAGCTTGGCGAAGGTGGAAGGGATCGAGAGACTACCCAGGGCAATAGCCTCGACGATGAGCACCACAGTGAGGCGCTTCCATCCCAGACGACTGAACTTTTTTATTCCGTGATCGTAAACGTCTCGCTCCGCATCGGTCATTTCCCCCAGCATGGCGCCCTCGAATGGTGGCGGGGAGCCGTAAACCTTCTCACTGTCATTCTCGATAGACTTGCCATAGCCATGGCCGTTGGAGTCGTCTTCGTAGCCCATGATGACCGATGGGAGGTTACGAGACAGTGGTGGGAGGAGGAGGAGGAGAGGGAGGGAAAGAGAATGATGAGAGGGATAGAGCGACCAGAGAGCACAGTGGTGACGAGGATGGCGCTGGGTATAAGAAGGAAAAGCGGCCCCCGATTACTGGATCCGGCGTTATCAGAAGGCAAAAGAATGGGTATGGTGAATTTCGTTGACTAACGAAATCTCCCGCATCCTCGACTTTTGGTGCACTCCAACACGTGGAGTACGACGCTGCTCCACCGAAAAGTGATCGTCCACCCAACGACATTGCCGCTTGCAGCTTGGATCGGCCCACCGACATCCCATCGAGGCAATTCAACCTGTGCCCCGATACGCCTGATGCTGATTAGACGATAAGAAGGTTTGACTTGTTAGGTAAAAGAAATGCAACATTGGTTCCCCAGAAAATCCCGTTCGATGGAGAGTCCATTCTTGTTCTTTTCTCCACGATTGCGGGGTTGGAGGAAAGCGGGCATTTCAAAATCAAGTACGATTTGAATCTGTTGGGGGGGGTTTTTTTTGGGCTTCACCTTCTCTTTGCGCAAAAGAAAAAAAGAAAGTTACAGATGCAAGCCACCAAAAACAAGATTTTGTGTTTAAAGAAAGCCAATATGACGCCACAAGCGAACAAAATCAGCCCCGAGTTTTTGTGTCTTTTTCAGGGAATCAGGGATCAGTGCATGACTCAGCAGACTGTGTCAGCATGATCACGTGAAGCTTCACATCAGTGACATCAACAATCACTAATGCTTCTATTGTGACTTGTTGAAAATCTTCTGGAATGAGTTTCATCTTTGCAACTCCATCTGGCTTCTGATTCCTTCAAACCTTCTTTCCCGCTAAATTCGCGCATCAGGGGCGAAATGAGGGGGAAATTACAGGTGGCTGGAACTTGGAAGTTAGGGGGCCATGAGCATAGAAGAGTGTGGGGGAAAGCGCCACCAGAGCCCATCGGGTTTAGTCTCGCAACGCGCCGAGTAGCGCATTTGCTAATGCCGCTACAAACGGCTCGAAAAAAAAAGAAAAAAAAAAAAAAACTCTAGAACGCACCAAGATTTGGGGTAATTTCTGAATGTATTCTTGGGGTCTCTAAACAAGGTTCGGTTCTAAAAGTGCAGCGCCAGTCTATGTACAGTTAGGCGGAAACCTGGGCAGCTTGCAAGCCAAGGTGCATTATATCCTGTTACCTGTACAACCACCCATCCTCTCACCCGCCGCCCCCATTAAACATCTACCGATGCAAGGCACTGTTGCATCTTCTGTCAATGGCCCCATTTAGGATGTCCGAGGTCCCTGCAAGATCGGAGTCGTGTAGGCCACGCTCAACCCTGCCCTCTCTGCGTTCCGTCCACTGCCATCCCCAACTCGAGTGGTCGAGGTTGCCATAAAGTATCCTAGTTGATGCGCGGTCCGTAGCCGCGCCCGGATTAAAGCCAGCTGGATTCCTTGCCCTCGGAATTTAGCAATTGTACTGTCTAGGTAAAAATGTGCCACGGGACCATCGAGCGTGTTCATGGTTGCCATCGCTGCTGTTCCTGCAATTTGGCCGTTGACCTCCGCAAAAAATAACACATCCTCTCTTTGAATTGCGAGCTCTGCAAGGGTCCCAAGAAGCTCCCGAGATCGGCCATTATCATGAAATCCTTCAATAGATGCTTCGATGAATTTTTTGGTTTCATGCGGTTCTGCTAGCCGCACGGCCATGTCTCCGGGGAGATGCTGGACAGCCCCCATTGCCCATTTGTTGTTCTGGATAGTACACCAGTAGGTGCTGAGAACAGCGCTTTCGGTGTATCCCCGAAAGATCAAAGCCGTCGAGTCAAAAGATGCAAGTGGGCTTGGGTGGATCTCAGGCCCCAAGCCAATAGTAGCGAAGGCCAACTCAAGCTCTCTCACATCAGCTTCCTCGAGTGGACCATGGCTCCCAAGTCCAACGGCCCGGTTAAGTTTTCCTTCAAAGGCTGGCAA